GAGAAGGAAAAATTGTTCAATATTCAATTCCTCTAATAAAAATCTTCATTGTGGGGGAATGAAACATCAACAAACAAAACAAATTTCTCCCACAGCTGCTGATAATAGCGTTGAGAGGGGATTCCGAAACATTATGAAGATTTGTTACACCCACACATTGTTACACCCTCACACATTACAATAGAAGAAACGTGAATACTGATTTTTTTTTTCATTGTCAATAACATTAATTGCAAAATTGGAAAGAAATGGAAGGGGGAAATTTTTGTGTTATCATGCGTTTTTGAGGAAAAAATGTCGGGGAAAAAAGGGTCAAGGAAAAAATGGCAGTTGAAAAATGGAGTTACAGCACATTGTTTATGCGATTTCAAAGAGAAAATCGGTTTTTTCATGATTACTGAAAGAATCATCAGTAATAGCAATTAAATCAGGGCTTGAAAAGTATATTTCAATGCCTTCTTAATCAATTTGAAAAATGGTGAGACAGCACCATTGCTTATCAAGTTACAGAGAAGGAAAAATTGTTCAATATTCAATTCCTCTAATAAAAATCTTCATTGTGGGGGAAAGAAACATCAACAAACAAAACAAATTTCTCCCACAGCTGCTGATAATAGCGTTGAGGGGATTCCGAAACATTATGAAGATTCGTTCCACCCACACACTATTACACCCTCACACATTACAATAAAAGAAACGTAAATACTGTTTTTTTTTTTTTTTTTTTTTTTTTTTTTTTTTTTTTTTTTTTTTTTTTTTTTTTTTTTTTTTTTTTTTTTTTTTTTTTTTTTTTTTTTTTTTTTTTTTTTTTTTTTTTTTTTTTTTTTTTTTTTTTTTTTTTTTTTTTTTTTTTTTTTTTTTTTTTTTTTTTTTTTTTTTTTTTTTTTTTTTTTTTTTTTTTTTTTTTTTTTTTTTTTTTTTTTTTTTTTTTTTTTTTTTTTTTTTTTTTTTTTTTTTTTTTTTTTTTTTTTTTTTTTTTTTTTTTTTTTTTTTTTTTTTTTTTTTTTNTAATTGCAAAAGTGGAAAGAAATGGGAGGGGGAAACTTTTGTGTTATCAGGCGTTTTTGAGGGAAAAATGTCAGGGGAAAAAAGGGTCAAGGAAAAAATGGCACGAGGAAATTTTGGGGGGGAAATTTTGTTGAGGAAATTTTGTCGGGGAACAAAAGACGGGCCACCCCGTCATGAGCTTTTTATATCAAAATCTCTATCTCCATTAAACACAGGTAGCAGTCTATTATGTTGAATACTTATTCATATTGATTCATGATGCCGACTAACTTCTGACAGAATCTGGGTTAAACTCTGCCTAAATCCTGAATAAACCCTGATTAAATCCCGGCTATACACTGATTAAACCTTGATTAAACCCGGACTGAAAACGAATTCGAGTCTCGAGAGGGTCTGACTGTAGAATCATTTCACAGAACGAAATAATGCGCAAAATTTTGATGACATTTCAATTGATGATAGTACTATGACATGAAAAAATAGAAGAAGAGAATAGTGAAATGACAATTAAAAAGAAGATAATCCATTCGGAGGCAAAATGAAGGTGCATCTGTCGAGATGACAAATGCTGTCATATTTTTCTGGCTAATGCGGCAGCCTTCGCAAACGCCTCGTCATGTGATCGTCAGTAACAGTAACATGACCGTCAGTGACGCATTTGCATCTCTAAACATGGCGCAACGACACGGTGCACAGTGCTGCCCCTGAGCCTCGCCAAAACTGAGGTGAAAAAAAAAACCAATTCCCCGAAACCACAGCCGGCGTCCAAAATCACGCACCATTCCACGTCCCCATCATTAGTCACCGACTCCCCGCTGGCTTACCCCCTTGCATTTTTCAACTCATAAATTTGCATCTTATTTTTGACTAGTCATATCATCCCAGAATCATCTTCTCGTCTCGTCAATTCACCGCTGAACCTCGAAATGGCAACTCGTAAGTACTTTGACAACATCAAACTCTGAGATCATTGTTTATCAACTGTTATCTTCCTCATTCATGCAATCCTCCACTCGCTTTCGACTGCGCAGAATTTTCTCACTGCTAATTCACTAAATTTCGAGAAAAACTTTTCCCAAATCCCTAAATCTGAAGGAGACCAATTTTTTCTGATAATTTTTCGGGGCAAAATTAAACCTGTTTTCTGAATAAAAAATTTCATTTTCGCCTAAATTTCGCGAAAAAATTCATCTCAAACGAAATTTATTCTGTTATTTCTGTTACTTCTTCTTCTTCTGTTATTTATTTTAAATTTTGTTTCAATAAAAATGGCACGTGAAGACAATTCATTGAAAAACATTTTAATCTAATCGATAAAATGAGAGAAACAACTGAAGAAAAATTTATTCCATTCAAGTTTTCCTCAATCGCTAAATGGAATTATTATTTTTCCGCAGTTGAGATGTTTTGTTTCTCTATCTTTGTTTTACTTTTTATAATTGCTCTTTATTTTTCCGATAATTGGGATGTTTTGTTTCAATCAATTCCGAGAAACGGGAAAGGGAGTCAACAATGTCGAAGAATGACTAGAGTTTTTTTCGCATTGGTTGGTCTGGAGATTGCAGCTGTGTTATCAGTCACTCCCTGTTGTTCTCTCTCTTACCCTTGAAAATCCATCCACTTTCTCGAATAAGATGGCGGGCGTAGGAATGAATCCAGCGAAACTGCGAATTGCAGTTGAGTTTTTTGAGATGGTTTTTCACAGCATGTCCGGTAACCGGGACAATCGCGGATTTTCAGGGGATTTTGTCGGTCTCGAAGAGTTGGGGGATTATGAAAATTTTCTGGAATTTTTAAATTAAAAGTTTGTGTTGTTTACATGGAGAGATTTTCCGACATTCTTCATAGAAGGTTTTGTGTTCGAACAATTTTCATTGAAAAACCTCGTACATTGGATTTCTTTAGGACTTTTTTTCAGAATTCTATTGATTTTTTTTACAGTTCTATAGAAAAAATCCGCTGAAGCGTTTTTATTCGATTGAGGTGCTCAATAGAAAATATTTTACAGAAATAAATCTATAAAATTTGATTTTTCTATAGAACTTATTCTATTGAGATAGTTTTTATAGATATTTCGCTCTTTCCGCTGTTTTTCTGCGCGTTTATCGATTTTTATTGAACATATGTATGGAAAAAAATCTATAGAATTTGATTTTTCTATACAACTTATTCTATTGAGATAGTTTCTATAGAAATTTCTCGATCTAAATTTTTCAAGTTGTTTTGTTAGATTTTTTAAATTTGTGTACCAAAACCTTTTATTAAAAAACCACTTATTGAGTTTCTATAGGACTCCTATTGAAAATTCTATCGTTTTTTCGACAGTTTTATAGAAATAAATCTGCTGTTTTCTACGAATTTTTTTCAATACAGATATTCAATAGAAAATATTCTATAGAAAAAAATGTATAGAATTTGATTTTTCTATACAACTTATTCTGTTGAGATTTCTATAGAAATTTCTCGGTCTCAATTTTTCAAGTTGTTTTATTAGATTTTTTAAATTTGTCTACCAAAACCTTTTATTGAAAAACCACTTATTGGGTTCCTATAGGACTCCTATTGAAAATTCTATCGTTTTTTCGACAGTTTTATAGAAATAAATCTGCTGTTTTCTACGAATTTTTTTCGATACAGATATTCAATAAAAAATATTCTATAGAAAAAAAATCTATAGAATTTAATTTTTCTGTACAACTTATTCTATTGAGATATTTTCTATAGAAATTTCTCGCTCTCAATTTTTCAAGTGGTTTTGTTAGATTTTTTTAATTTGTGTACCAAAACCTTTCATTGAAAAACCACTTATTGGGTGTCTATAGGACTCCTATTGAAAATTCTATTGTTTTTTCGACAGTTTTATAGAAAAAAATCTGCTGTTTTCTACGAATTTCTTTCGATACAGATATTCAATAGAAAATATTCTATAGAAAAAAAATGTATAGAATTTGATTTTTCTATACAACTTATTCTGTTGAGATTTCTATAGAAATTTCTCGGTCTCAATTTTTCAAGTTGTTTTATTAGATTTTTTAAATTTGTCTACCAAAACCTTTTATTGAAAAACCACTTATTGGGTTCCTATAGGACTCCTATTGAAAATTCTATCGTTTTTTCGACAGTTTTATAGAAATAAATCTGCTGTTTTCTACGAATTTTTTTCGATACAGATATTCAATAAAAAATATTCTATAGAAAAAAAATCTATAGAATTTAATTTTTCTGTACAACTTATTCTATTGAGATATTTTCTATAGAAATTTCTCGCTCTCAATTTTTCAAGTGGTTTTGTTAGATTTTTTTAATTTGTGTACCAAAACCTTTCATTGAAAAACCACTTATTGGGTGTCTATAGGACTCCTATTAAAAATTCTATTGTTTTTTCGACAGTTTTATAGAAAAAAATCTGCTGTTTTCTACGAATTTCTTTCGATACAGATATTCAATAGAAAATATTCTATAGAAAAAAAATCTATAGAATTTGATGTTTCTGTACAACTTACTCTATTGAGATAGTTTCTATAGAAATCCCTCCGTCTAAATTTTCCGAGTTGTTTCGATAGATTTTGATAATGAGAAAAAATAATAGAGAGAATGGAATTGGGAAAATTTATATAGACGAATTTCGATAACTGTAGAAAATAAGGCAATAGAATGCAGGGCCTGGAAAGTCTTTGATCGATCTAGAAAAGGGAGGAAATTACGAAAATTCTATTGAATTTCTATAGGACCAGTTTTAAAAATCTATTTGTTTTTCACTAATTCTATTGACAAAATCCGAAGTTGTCACGTTTCTTCGATAAAAATGTTGAGTAAAAAATATTGCATAAAAAAAATAGAATGTTATTCTTCAATACAACTTATTCTATTGAAATGTGTTCTATAGAAATTCCTCGGCCTGAATTTTCGAAGTTATTGTATTCGATGTTTTCAATCCGGAAAAAAAATAGAATGAACAAACCTTGAAAAATTCAAGTAGACGAATTTCTATAGAAAATATGTCAATAGAATTTTATTTTTCTATACAATTTATTCTATTGAGCGATCTTCTGTAGAATGTCCTAGGCCTAAATATTTCAAATTTATTTGCTAATTTTTTTTAAAGAGAGGAGACAAAAAATGGGAAAAAAACTGAAAATTCATGTTGATGAATTTCTAGAGGAAGATCAAATCCATTGATTATATCTATAGAACCCTTTCTGTGCAGAAATCCTGCGGAATTTTCCAATAGAATCGACGAAAAACTAATAGTCTCCCATTTTTAAAAATCAAAATCTATAACTTTTTCCGGTCAAATATGTCCTAAAAATGTGACAGAAAGCCGCATAATCGCCAATAGATTCTATAGAATTCCAATCAAAGCATTGGATTTTCCTACTGAACTTGTTCATACGTCCTACGAGTCCATAAATTCAACATTCAGTCCTGCAAAACGTTTTCTGTGGTCAGGGCATTATCCCAATTTGATCTGGAAAACTGGAAAAAATCAGGGAATTTCGAAACTGTTCACTGGACACCCGATTTCATTATGGGGATTTAAAAGGCGTTTTTTTGTCTTTTCGGACAGCCGGTGTTTTGACGCCCGAGGTCATCAGCGAATTCAGGCAGAAGTTTTACGCCGATACGAGGAACGTGCAGGCGCAGAATGCCTGCGTCAAGAATGATCCCCTCGAGATATGCGTGTCCCGAAAGCACCTCGAGGAAACGAATCATGTGTTTCAACACAAGGTTGCTGAGGTCAAGCCCATGACGAATCAGAAGAACTCTGGGAGATGTTGGCTGTTTGCTGCTCTCAATGTCATGAGGATCAAGTTCATGAAACAGTATAATCTCGAGGAGTTCGAGTTCAGCCAAGCGTATCTGTTTTTCTGGGATAAGGTGATCATAACAAATAATTTTTTTGGGCAGATCTGGACATTATTTTACGCAAATCGAATCGAAAAACTGTCTGAATTTAATTTTTTGCAAATTGACTGTTTCGGTTGAACAACTAGGATTTATTTATTTTTCGTTTTGCAACGGAAATTAAATAGATATTTGATATTTCAATTCAACCGAAGAAAATATAAAATACTATTTACTAATTTATTTTACGATTTCACTAGTTGATGCACGTGAAAGTCATCGAGTTTATGATCTTATGCGATAATTAGTATCAAATTAGGTCTGAATTAAAGATAAAACTTTACGAATAATTTTCTTTTTATTCAAAAGAGTGACTGAAAAATTATAAATTCAAAATAAATCCATTAGAACATTCTATTGAATTTCTATTAAATTAATTAATTAATTAATAAAGGCGTTTTTCATCAGGAGAAATGTTCAATGGGAAATATTCTGTAGAAATATCAATATAATTCGATTTTTGACGTGGATACGTCTTAGTCGTTGGCAGGGTTGGGCGTGTAAATTACGTTGGTATATTACGTTTTTTACCGACGTAATTTACGTAAATTACCTCGACGGGTTTTTGACATTTTTTACAGTACTTCGAAAAGCTTGCAACTTTCGGTTACTAGAGTTTTATTTTATTCCGACAGATGAACACGGACGAAAAAATTTAATAGAAAAACCTGTCGAATTCGTTAGAGAATTCTATTGAATTTCTATTGAACTGTTCTATTAGTTTTTGGCTGATTCTATTGACATGTTCAATAGAAAAAGTCAATAGAATTCAATTTTTCTATATAACTTATTCTATTGAGATATTTTCTATAGAATTTCCTCGGCTCAACTTTTCTAAGTTTTTTCGTTTGATTTTCTATTGACTTTTTCTATTGAACATGTCAATAGAATCAGCCAAAAACTAATAGAAAGTTTAATAGAAATTCAATAGAATTTTCTAACGAATTTGATAGGTTTTTCTATTAAATTTTTTCGTGCGTGAAGACGCAATATTGGACACATCCACATAATAAAAAATAGTATATTATGTCCCGATGAGGACAGATAAACCGCAAATTTTAACTTCACTTTGTTCCGTCAGAACGCGATTCTCGGTACTTGGGATATAAAATGCCATTTTATGTCTCTAGGGCCGTAAAAGAGCGGTAACATCGATTCCCTCGGTTAAATCGCGGTTTCCGGGCCCAGAGACATAAACTATTGTATGTCACAGGGCGATAAAAGTATAAACCGCAAGATCGACCACCTCCATTACCATCATCACCTCCTCACCTTCGGCTCGGATTATAAAGCTACATTCGCCAGATAATACTTTTATCGCCGTGTGACATAAAGAACCATTTTGTTCTGAAGAGTTCAATAAAGCTACCAAAGCCAATTAAATTAGTTTTGTCATTTTAGAATGCTGAATGAAACAAGTTAATGTCATAACAAAAGATGATGACGCGACGAATTCAATAGAGATAAATAAATAACGAGATTCACCCTTGTAAATATCATCCCTTACGAGGTGTGACCCTCGAGACGTATGATCCTTGCGAGGTATCTTCGCGAAATTTCACGTTTTACGATAGAAGCTATCGTCGGTTGGTTTTTTACATTTTTTTTTCATTTATTACGTAAATTACGGGTTTTTTACACTGTCATGTAAAAAACTGCGATTATCAACAGATGCCCAACCCTGGCCTGAAATATTCCATGTTGGGAGCTCCAAACACCTTATTATATTTATAAAACATTAAAAATCTGGCACGCCACACTATCAACAGACATTTCGCAGACATTTCCTCCCGTTATGACCAGTCAATACCATTTCATAAGATTACACCTCTAATCCGTCAACACCAATAATTTCCTTATAAAAAAAATGTGCAAAACACCCCCATAAAATGAACCCTGAACCTGAAAGCCCTGCCTCACCTTCCAGATCGAAAGAAGCAACTTCTTCCTCCACAACATCGTCTCAATAGCAAAACGTGGCGAGAAGATCGAGGATCGTCTCGCCTCATTCCTCCTGTTCGACCCAATGCCAGACGGTGGCCAGTGGGACATGCTGATAAACCTGATAAACCGTTACGGAGTCGTTCCAAAGAGCAGCTTCCCCGAGTCGTGGACGAGCGAGTCGACATCGAGAATGAATTCCCTCCTGAACAGCAAGCTCCGCGAGTTCTCCAGGGTCCTCAAGACCCTGGTGGACAGTGGAGCCTCAGACGAGGATCTCGAGAGCAAGATCACCGAGCAGATGTCAGTGGTATTTCGCATCGTTGGCATATGCCTCGGTGTCCCCTTGGAAACAATCACCTGGGAGTACTACGACAAGTCGAAGGTGTACAACTGCATTGGGCCAGTGACACCAGCAGATTTTTACAAAAAATACATCAAACCGTACTTCAACGTCGACGACAAGGTCTGTCTCGTCACCGATCCAAGACCATCGAATCCCTTTGGCCATTTGTACCAGGTTGAGTGCCTCGGGAATTTCGTAGGTGGACGGAGAACACTCTACAATAATCAGCCGCCAGAGTTGCTCATGTCACTGGCTGCTAACAGCATCAAAACCGGGGAGGCCGTTTGGTTTGGCTGTGAAGTCGCCAAGAGATTCGCCTCTAAGTCTGGAATTATAGATATCAAAGCTCATGATATCGCTGCGGTCTTTGGGGTTGACATACAGTTGGGACTCACCAAGGCTGACAGGCTCATCTATGGGGAGTCCGCTATGACACATGCTATGGTGTTTACTGGGGTTTCCACTGATGTGAGTTTCTTTCATTCGAATGGATTTTTTTGTGAAGCCCCGGGTGGACTATCTTTCGGACGTCATCTCGATTGTTTTTCCATCTTCATAATGTAAAATATATCACAATTTTGGTATTGCCTCTAGTTGTTACGGTATTGTGTTATTACGGCACAATTGATTACTAATATTCATCACGATTGTACCTTTAATCATTACGGCGCAATTCATTATACCATTTAATTACGGCACAATTTATTACAGCACATTTCATTGGGACTGAATTTTTCTTGAATTTTGATTAATGAAATTTCTATTTGTTTTCTGTTCTACGAGTTTTGGGATGAATGAGCTGTGATCAAATGCTATTGAAATGAATCGTAATGAATTGTGCCGTTGATTAATTGTTCCATAATGAATTGTTTCATAAGAAATTGTCTCATAATAAATAGAGGTACAATCCCAATTTCCATTGGATTTTACATCATGCAGGAGTCCCTAAAATTATAGGTGTAGAATCAAAAAAGTAGAAAAAAAATTAACTTTTTCAAAGAGCGTCTTAATAAAGATTACGAAATACGGCCGATAGGAAATAGTGAATGGATCATTTATCATGTAACTAAAGATCTGACAGCCATTAGATACATCAAATTATTAATTTGCAATTTCCTCCCTACTGGGTTTATTTCTCAATATTATTCAAAAACGCTCTTTGAAAATGTTCAGATTTGTTTCAACTTTTTTTTTTATTGTACAATCATAATTTTTGGAGACTCCAGGGCTATGTAAAACTGAATAGCAATTGGAGATCATTTCAGATTATCAAAATAAAAAAAACAACCAAGATCACGTTCGAAAGATAATTCACTTAAATAGTTTGAGGATGGATCTGGAAAAAATTGTGGAAATGACTTTTTTACTTTTTTGGGAAGATTTTACCCAAGAAGCAGAAAAACTAATTTTCAGCAATTCAGTTCAATTTTGCGTGAATTGAGACATTTGTTCTCATATTTTGAGGAAATTTTGGTGCTTGAATTCAGAATTTTTCCGTAGATGTTTTTTAATTTTCTTTTTCTCTTAGATTTTATTTAAATAAAAGCAAGTGGGAAGTTGCTTTGATATTAATATAGGATTTTTTTGCTAATAAATTAGCAATATGCCTCCAAATTGCCATTTTGCACATCATCTGCTTGTTTAGTAAATAATTCACCATTTAATATCATTTTATTAAATTCAGTGAAATCTCTTTAATTAATTGTGTTGTATATTTTATTTAGTTTAATATTTGATGAAATTTCAAACATAAAATGATATATGTGGACGTCCGCATGAAAAGGGACCACTTTGTCGATTCTATTTTCCGAGATATTCACGTTTTTCTCTTGCCAACTCCCATTTAAACCCATGTTAAATTATTTTTTCGATCGTCTATAGCGTCGTCACTCTTTACGCCATCAAGTTCATTTTTGGCTCTAAATTTGCAGAATCGGATCAAGATTATCGGCATATACATAACTCCAATAGTGCCAAAGTGGTCCCTTTTCATGCGGACGTCCACATATATCTATACCATCCATTTATTCGATGAAAGTGAAGTCAAAGCCTTAATGATAATTAAATGAATTTCAATCTTTCTTTCTTTTATTCAAATAATCAGTGAAAGCTAACTTTGAATGCTATGAGAATAATTTACAAAAATCTGTTGTTTGTTTGCATTACAGGCAGAGGGAAAAGTCAAGAAATTAAGAGTTGAAAATTCATGGGGTGAGGAGCGAGGTGACAAAGGATATCAAGTACTTAGTGCAGACTGGTTCAATGAATTCGTATTCGAAGTTGTTGTGGACAAGAAATTCGTGCCAGCCGATGTTATGGCTGTATTCGACCAAGAACCGGTGCTCTTGCCAGCCTGGGACCCCATGGGATGCCTAGCTCGCTCATAAATTTTTTTATCAATCCACAGCTGATAAGAATATTGATTTTTCAGCATTTCATAACAATTTTATTATATCTATATCCATGTAAGAGGAATCAGCATTTCTCACGACTAAAAATTATTGAATAAAGAGGAATATCTTTGCATTGCAAAAATTATTTCGCATTTCCTTAATCTTTTTCAAAATATTTACAAATGTACAATATTAATATTTATTTATATATATAGTTGGAATAATAGGGATATTTCACGCATTTTTTTAGGAAAAATCCCAATACTTGATGAATTTTTCAGTTTTATCATTTCGTTTATTTTATGAAAATTTTAAAAAATTATTCTAGGAAGGGAATTTTGGATTCCAGTCGTACAAAAATGTATTTAAAAATTTTCATCTTGAATTCAGACATAATTTGACGTGAATGATCGAATGAAAAAAATTTATGAAATATCCCTATTGCAGGTGGAGTAACTCTTCAACAAATTGATCACCTGTGAACCCTTTTATTAGATTTCTCCAGGAAATAGTGGTACTTCAGTTTGGCCCATATACCCTGACACATTTTCTTCAGATGAGTGTCCTTATTATCAACAGCATAATTATAAATTTCGGGTATTATTTGCCTCGGAATTTTAAGTTTGTTCTGTTGAATGAGACTCAGGGCAGCGAATAGCTTGCAACGAGCGACTAGAAGTGGATCCCCCAGACGTAGAGCTAGTTTGAATTGCTGAATTGATATTTTACCAGCAATTTGGGCCTGCGAAAAAATTTATTTGTTGTACATTTCACCATGAGATTGAATGGAAGTTTTGATTAGAAATTTTATCATTAATTCATCTTGGAGAATGGAATGACGAGTAACTCTTCATTTCACGCGTGAAAAAATTGAATAGAAAAATCCTGTGAATTCGCTAGACAATTCTATTGGATTTCTACTTATTAATTAATTTTTGTTTATCAATATTTTGACAATTTTAGAAAAAGTAAAGTTTAAAGTTTGTTTGAGACTGTCCACAACCCTTCACAATAATCGAATACCGCTCTCGGCTAAAGCAATTTTATCCCTGGATAATTTCAACTGGTCATAGCCAACTATTAATTCCAACTGTCCAACGTATTTCGACTCTCCGACTTATTATCATTGGAAAGATTGAAAAGCCGGATCAATTGAACTATTTCCACCAGAATTGTTACTGCTCCGCGGTTGCTTCCAGACTCCTTTGAATTTGATTTTTTTAACTTTTTATACGGTTTTGGGAGCCTCTCGACTTATGGGGGCTCCGAGTCGATTTTTAATTGGTCGAAAATGTCGTGTGATTTTTCTTAATATTTGTCGAAAAAGAAAGGTAAATGTACCTATGCCCGTCTTTGTCCCTACGCTCGTTCCGATCCTGCCAACTATGACATTTCAATCATTTTGATAGTCCCAAGAGTCTATTAAGAGTGAAGTACGATTGGAGTTATTATTTTAGTCAATAAGAAAAGTTATAGACACCAATGCAGAGTGATTTATTCAATAATAAGAGAGAAAAATAACATTCACATCAACTCGTGCTACGACAGAGTTAATTCTTAAGCGACAAGTTAAGAAACTCACAATTTTAAAACGTTGATATCTCCGTTACAATAGTAAAATGGAATTAAAAATCCCTTGGCTAAGGTTTCGAATAGTTAAAAATGTAATAAAAATAAATAAATAAATAAATTATAGCAATATCCGGATATTTCACTGAAATATTGGCAATTAAAAGAATAGGTACAATGAAAATAGCATTGATCCTACGCTCGTTTTGCACCCAACTGTCAACTGGTAACGGACTAAACGGATGAAAAAATCATTTAAAAGGTTGGACTGTCCAATGGAAATATAATTTTGTGCATCGAGATATTTTTTAATGTTGTTTTATCACAAAATAGGATACTCACGATGTAATTAGTTCGGATATAACCTTTCCATATCACTCAAATCACGAGACGAGGATAGGGACATGTGTCAAACGAGCATGGGGACAAATGAACGAGCGTAGGGACATGGGACTTTTCACATTCATGGACGATTATTTATTAAAAAATATTAATTATCATAATTAATATAAATAAATTCCAATTCTGAAGGTTTTACCCTCTGATATGTAATTTAAATCATCGCATCTTCACGCTCATTTCGATAGAAATATTGGACTAATGATGTGTTCACCTTAGCTAGACGAGCGTAGGGTCATCACCTTAGTTCACTCGGTTTTTGGGCTTTTTCGATTCATCGTTTCTCAATCATTCCTCCATGTGCGAATTTTGGCATTGGGAAACGAGGGCATGCCCAGTGAGGCATTTCATCACTGATGTTCTCAATTCCTTTGTTTTTTTAGACTTAAGAAGGAATTTTATTCAGTTCCATGATGGACAATTCCCTCTCTTATGTTATTTGGTTTGCTAATTAAAATTTTAGTTCAATTTTTATATTTCTCTTGCCCTAACAATTCTGTACATTACAAAACAAAAAAAATTTATTTACACAGTGCGCGAAGTGATCTCCCATCGCTGAGAAGGCACCACCGAGGGTGGATAACCAGGATAAAGCGTAATCAATCTCTCTCCTCTCCATTGCCATTTGTGTCACCCTCTCGCCCCTGAAATCATTATGAAAATTTCATTATCTTCCTTAGATTCGGAGATATTCCTCGAAAACTCGACGGCTAAGGGCTAAGTTATTTAATTATTTAATAATATAATCCACTTCTGTCGAGTTTTCGACTATCAAAAACGTTTCAGTCCGCCGACCTCTCCCCTAAAATAAAAGAAGAACTCTTACTAAATTGCCTCAGCAACAACTCGTTTAAAAAAAATGTGAAGGGCAATTTCCACCACAAGTCCTCATCATCAAGAGAATTCCATATCCAACAACAAAAAATCTATTCTAGGAGAGAGTGGGGCAAATGAAATAGTCGAAAAATTACTGTTTCACGCAATTCAAGCAAAAAAATTTTTTTTGGTCAATTTTTTCTTTTATTAACTTTTGTTTATCAACTTTTTTTTATTCTTGAGAAAATAAAGTAATAAGAATTTTACTAATGAGAATAATAATTTTCTATTCAGTAGCATGAAAAATTATTGAGGACACGGACGAAAAAATTTAATAGAAAAACCTATCGAATTTTAATCGAACAAATGGGACAACTCATGGGAAGTGACAGCTAGGTATCTCAATTTTCAAAACAGTGGTATGTAGCCATCTGCCATTTTTATGTGATAAAAGTGTGATTAAAAAATTCTCCAAAATATTACAATTTTTTTCAAAAAGCCTTTTCCGTAATAAATGTCTCTGTGCAGTGTGGGAAAAGATTTACGAAATCAGTCTTCCCCCTGCATGATATTGGGTGACAGGCCGCCACTTGTCACCGTAAATCAGATACATTTTTCAATTTCTTGTTATTCAACTTATTCTGAATATAAACTAAAAATGCTCTTTGAAAAAATTAAGAATCGTTTCTACTTTTTTTTGATTATTCATTCATAATTTTTCAAAACTTCTGCATGATGCAGGACTCAATTGACAATTTCAGATGACGAAAGATGAAAAAAAACATTGAGATAACGTTCGAAAGATAGTACACCCGGGCCTTAACAAAAAAATTTTTTTTGTTTGAATTGCGTCAAATAGTTATGTTTCGACTGTTTCATTTGGCCCCACTCTCCCCTATCTAAACCAATTGGAAGAAATACCAATTGTAATACCAGTACCAATTGTAATCCAGGAACTGTTTCCTCGGCATCCTGAGCCTCATGAAAACCACGGGCTCCTTCCCATCCTGGACTGCTCCCCAGGTCAACTCATGCAAAGGTCTAATAGCTGATGCCCTATAGACCCCAGAGGATCGCAACAAATGAACATATGCCGAAGCAACGTCTCCACTGAATCCCTTCCTATTCATCCGCACCCGAACTCTCTTCCCTGGACTCTCACCCCCTGCATAATTAACCACGCAATCCCGACTGATCACCACATCATCGTACACTGATTTACGTGAATGCACAATCAATCTCAAATCCATTTCGGATTACTGACACGAGTATTCTCAAACAATAATTGATTAACCAAGAGACATGTCAACGAGTCATTGTTTCGACTTCAAACAGAACTGCCACCGCAACTTTTCACGATCGACAACAAATTATTCTCCACATTTTCTTGTTTTGTTGTTGAATAATTAACGATAACGTAGAGGAAACGTTTTTTTCGGGCGGAAAATGTGATGAACGAGAATCGCGAGAATCATGTGCGGAGTTCACCGGTTGTGATTTGCCAACAGCTGATAAAAACTATTCAAATGCACCGGGCATGCGCAGGAGCTCGAGATTGTTCGATACGCGCTTGCATAAGGTATCGATATTGGAACATCGAAGTAAAAAATATTGTTTATTTAGGAACGGGAGGGGAAAAAGGGCGCGTATAAAGAAATTTTATAGAAAACCTGAGCGAATTCGCTAGAAAATTCCCAGGAATTCTCGTTAAAATTCGATTTGTTTTTTTACGCAGATTCTAGTAGATATTTGATACGAAACAGACAATGGATGTCGAATTTTCCGTTTGAATTTTTTTTTCTTGAGATTTTTCCTATTAAAATTATTGGGAATGGATTTTTTAAGGTTTTTCCATTATATTTTGTTTTGTTTTGCATTACAGGATCTGAGTGAAAAACTAGGAAAATTCATGGCCAAATATTTTTATAGAAAAAATTCCAAGAGAATATTCATATAGAAAAATCGACATCTATTGACTTTTTTCCATCAAATATCTCAGAATCAGCGCAAAAAATAAATAGAATATTAACGAGAATTCCCTAGAATTTTAATAAAAATGACAAAATAAAATGACATAAAATTTTAATAGAATCTTAAGGTTCCCGGATTGTTTTCCCCCGAAAAAAATTCCCCGGAAAAAATTTCCCTGGAAAAAAATTCTCCCGGAATAAATTTCCCCGGAATCATTTCCTCCGGAATGATTTCCCCTTACCACTGAACATGAAGGTTACACATACACGTATTACCAATATCAATTCAATTTATGACGTCTCTCAATCTTTCAAACCCAAATCAGATTTCAACATTTTCAAAACAATTCTTTTCGAAATTTCAACGCAAACTCTCATGCCTACATGATCAGTACAATACGATAAACATTCACAATCCATCAAACATCAAACTCACGGCATTCGATCGACCCTTCCCCCAATAATTTCACTTGTATTATAGCAAGATTTACTTGTACGTGTATATTTTTATTTTTGTCATTCCGGCCGTAAGGCAGCGTTTCACGGACGCTCCACTCCGTGTAAATGTTTTTTAGCTCGTGAAATTATAAACCTCCCACTCGCCAAAAAACACTTTTTTGCACTCGTTACGAACAATATTTTTCATCACGACGTGGCGGAAATTGGACTTTTAGGCACGCGGAGCGTGAAAAGTTCACTTTTTGTCACAGCGTGATGAAAAATATTGTTCGTCATACGGCCAAAAAAAAATTTTCTGACGAATATGATTGCAGCCCTCGCCTTCGGCTGGTGCTGCAAACCTCATTCGCCAGAAAAGTTTTTTTCGGCCTAATACGAAATATACTATTTAAAATGGCTATGTGCGTTCGTATATTCAAGAAGACAACAACCTAATTGCTCCAAAATGACAATTTCTTCTACATCTAGTATTCCATTAATTTCCAACGATGAAATAAATTCATTCATTCATTTTTCATGTCCAGAAAAACAAAATTCAGGGGAAAAAAATCCGGGGAAATTTTGTCCACGGGGAAAATTTTCCGGGGAAATAATTTCCGGGGGAAAACAATCCGGTCACCAAATCCTAATAGAATTTCCAGAGAATTCCAATACAATTTTCGTAGGATTTCATCCACTTTTTTTGGTTTGATGAAAAAGTTATCGAAAAAGATTGAACCCTATTGAATTTTCTCATGCCTGAATCCATAAAAAATCTCCAATTTCATAATTTCGTTTATTGCATAAAAATTACCAAAACTATGAAAAAGTCGTGCGTCTCTCACAAAATGTAAAAACTCGTTTGGATTCGCCAACTCCCCAAAAAAAATTGAAATCTTCCAAATTTAAATACTTCCAACCATCGATGACTCCGACAAATCGATCCTCGAAAAATCGACAGAAACGACCACTCCTACTACAATACCTCGCGTTCCCTAACCTCAACGAAATCAAAACAAAAACATAAACACCCTCCAGTGCCAGTGTTCGATCAAATTGTCGTGTCGTCCTCACCCAAAAATTCAAAAATCAACCTCCGAAAATCAGCTTCTGACCGCTCAGGCGAAACCCTGCCCCAAAAAAATCGAAAAAAGGTAACTGCTCGAAAAAATGCCATTCACGGCGGACGCAGCAGCGACGCAGATCCAGGAGCGCCTGAAGAGCATCTTCCAGCTGCTCCAGGACATCGAGAAGGAGCGCTCGAGGTCAGAGACTAACCTGAACAACCTGACAAAGGCCCACGAGAAGGCGGCGCCGGACGACAAAGTGACGCCGTACTACCAGCAAAAATTAAAGTCCCTGTACACTGCATCGGTGCAGGACGCCCAGCAGGAGGAGGAGTTGTTGAGGAGCGCCCTGACGAAGATAAACGAGATAAGATCGATAAGAAACGAGCGGAGGATTCAGGCGAGGAATGCGGGGAACAAGGAGACCATTCGCCGAGGTGCGCTGATGAAGATGCTGCAGAGCACGGCAGCCACACTTCCACTCTACATTGGAAAGACGCCCAGTGCCAAGCCCCCACCCCTCTGCGGGGCCATTCCAGCGGACTCCACGTACATAGCGAAGATGGGGGACATGGTGGCGGCGTTGGTGAAGGGCTCCGAGGAGGAGGAGAACTGGATTCTGGCGGAGGTGGTGCACTACAACCCGACGACTAACAAATACGAGGTTGACGACATCGATGAGGAGCAGAAGGACAGGCACACCCTGTCGAAGAGGAGAGTCGTCCCTCTGCCCCTCATGAGGGCCAATCCCGAGACAGACGCACACGCTCTCTTCCCCAAGGGCTCCATTGTCATGGCGCTTTATCCGCAGACTACTTGCTTTTACAAGGCTGTTGTCAACCAACTGCCCACGTCCGCCACGGAGGAGTATGAGGTGCTCTTCGAGGATGCCACTTATGCCGATGGGTATTCACCACCTCTCAATGTCGCCCAGAGATACGTCATTTCGATTAAGGAGGGCAAGAAGAGCAAGAGTTAGGGGCTGGGGGGGTGTGTAAATAATTTGTGTAAATGTGATGGCGATGAGGGGGACGAGGATGGTGACTGTATGGGACTTTTTTATGAATAAATATTTTAATTATTTGGGGAGATCGTGTAGAATAGTTTTGATTCATTACTTCAATTTCAACGAATTTGGAATAATAGATTGAATTGGGATATGAAGTTGTTGAGAACAGGTTTATAATTAGAAAGTCTTGAAAATCATGAGTGAATGAAGAATTTGGAGTTAAATCGTTGGAAGATTATTAATCCTGTAGTTTAATCAAGTTTGAATTTTGTGGGGCCATTCCAGACTTTTTGAAGAATGAATATTCGAATCATTTCAGAAGTCTTGAGGAACAGTTTCGATTCATTATTTTGATGTTAACGAATTTGCGGAGGTGGGGGATCGTAGATTGAATTTAGATATGAAATTGGTGAAAACAGAATGTGTAAATATTTATTGTAAAAATGATGATGATGGCAATGATTGCAGGAACGATTTTGTAGAAGAAAATGGGATAATTCAAGGCAATTTATTCATTCATTTATTTATTTATTTATCCTTTATTTATTTAGTGCGTATCCAACAGCATGAAGCCAATTACATGATCAAATTAAAAACATACATTATCCATAGTAGGGGAGGTTTTGAATTACATATATAAGAATTATTATTATTTTAATAATTACGTTACATTAATACTATAATACATTACAATACGTTACATTAATTGCATAGGGAAGGACGGGGTAAAATGGACACTAGAATTTTTTTTAATTATTCTTAACTCAGAAACAAATTTATCAATTGAGCTCAGTAGTTTATGCTCGTCACAAAGAGAAAGAATTGTTCTTTGTATTGAAAAAAATTATTAAAATTATTAAATTTTATCAACACTTCAACCCCTCATTAACATTTTTAAAAAAGTAAAGTGTCCGTTTTACCCCAACCTCCCCTAATATTAATTATTATAATTTTACTGAAAAGAATTATTATTATTTCAAATAATTGATTTTTCAATTTTATAATTATTACATTTTACTGTTATTACTATTATTATTATTCATATTAACTAATAATAATAATAATAATAATAATAATTTATTCCTCAAGTACATGAATTTCTTCTTTTGTACATTTTGTTGACAACATACAATAGATCTCACAGTGGCAGTAATAACAATAATCACACACATTGATAATTGCGACACTTTTTCCGAACTGAAAGTCCACTATAGGTAATACTATAGGTATATAATTGCAATTCTTTGCAATGCAATTATGTAAAATAAGTCTCAATTCCCTGTTTGCAGATTTGTATTTCGATTATGTATTTGATTTAAACTTCATACAATTGAAATATAAGACAATTTTCCTTGATATCTCTGAGGTTTTGAAGAATATCTTATTGGAGTTCAATATTTATGTAACACGAAACCCTGATTTAAGGGTGCCAAGTGAATTTGGCGATGACCTTGAAGATTGACATTCACCAAGAAAGTTATAATTTCTTTAATTAATAGTATTAGACAGATGGTGAACATCGGTGATAATTTTAAAATTTTAGAACTCATGGATATCGAGAAATTAAATAAACAAAATCAGTCTTATACACGGCCTCTTATGGAGTTTTGATTAAATTGAACGTTTCAACCCCCTAGGAACTCAAGAAAAATTTGAAAAAATTTGAAGATATGGGGAATGATGTGTTCAATGTGATGGCGACAAAAAACAATGGGGTACCGGCGTGAATAAGAGAGATATTTCAACCCGCCGTACCCATTTGACCCCATGCTATCTCGACGTTCGTCACGCGAAATAGAGGATTTTCCGCATTTATTTTCTCGATGTCTAGTTCCGGTTGCGGGTTTGAAATTCGTCGGATGGATGAATACATATTTCTCCAATGATGGAGGGAAAGAAAGATTTTTTTTTGAATATTTTTTCAAATTCACTTGACACCCTTAAGGACAAAAAATTCAAATCATGTGACGAAGCGCCAGTTTTTCCGATAAGAAAACATGGCGCTGTCGTTGAATTCCCAGGAACCACCGACACCGATCGAGAAATCTAATCTGCCAAGGTGGCTGTTGACCCGTATGATACAGCTAAATGCTGAGAAACGTGTCAAGATATTGAAGGGCATTCCACGACAATTGGAATACAAAAAGAGGCTCTAGAATGCCATATACTGAAGAATACATTAGAAGTAAACTGATCAAAGAGTTGGAGGCCTCTCACGTCGTAAGTACCAATACTTTCGTTGTTCCATAATACTTGGAGAGTTTTGGAGGTGAGGACACTGAGTCATACTCAGATATTTTCCAATTTTTTTTTCATTCAATTTTTTTCTTTTCATCAAGAAAATTAAACAAAAAACTTGGAAAATTTGAGCCGAGGAAATCCTATTTAAAATATTTCAGTAGAATAAATTGTACAGAAAAATATAATTTTAAAATTCATTTTTTGTTCTGTTTTCTTTTTTCCACTCCGATATGAGTGGTTAAAGCCCGGTTGCACCAAGCCCTGTTATCCAAATAAACCCCAGGGTAAAATTTATTCTCGTGGTCAATTATATCGTAGGGGTAATAATTTTTCAATATTTGACCCGAAGAATATTTTTTCTTATCCTGCAGCCCCATTTGAATTAACACTGATTTAACCTTGGGATTAAATTTTATTTTTTGTTCTTGGGATAAATTTGAGATACTCTGCCGGGTAAAACAATCCATCGAACATTCAAATTTACTTTTTTTTCCTATCTGACGTTTTCGTTACCCGCAGCTGGTGCAACTGGGCCTAAGATTATAAAACTTTGTTTTAATTATGTTTTGGACACAGACTATTTTGACTACTTCTGTGATAATTATGAGTAGGGGAGGATGGGGTAAAATGGACACTTTGGTCTTTTTTAAAATTATTCATAACTCAGAAACAAATTTATCAATTGAATTCAGTTTAGGCTCGTCACAAAAGGAAATAATTGTTCTTTGTATTTAAAAAAAATTACTAAATTTTATCAACATTTCAACCCCTCATTAACATTTTAAAAAAAGTGAAAAGTGTCCGTTTTACCCCAACTTCCCTTACATATGGAAAAAGCCTTATCGACTATATATGGATTAATAATAATAATAATAATAATAGTAATAATAATAATAATAGAAAAATATAATTCTATTGGCGGTATAAAGAATATTTTTATTGAACATTGCAATAAAATCGGTCAGAAACTAATAACAATACAACTACTAAAAAAACTACTAACGATATATTGATAATTAATAACTAATAATAATTGAATTTTCTACCGAATTCGCTAGATTTTTCAATGATTTTTTTTCATACATGTCAACAAGTACGAAAAAATCGTATAGAAATTTTCTATGCGGATTGCGTATAGAATTTCTACAGGATTTTCGTATATGATATTTGGATATTTCTATACGGATATTGTTTATAGAAATTATTTCTATACGATTTCTATAGGTTTGATCCTATAGGACCAACTGCCACATGTATAGAAACATTTCGCATGGCGTTGCGATATTTGTTACGTTTTTCTCTGGAGCGTTTAGACATCTTTCGTATGAAAATAAAAATTTATGTAAAAATTCTAATCGGCTGTATCCTTGAAATCCTCATTGGCAGTATCCTTTTTAACGTAATTCGTCACAAGAATTTAATGTTATATTCAATTCTATACGTCTCTATAATTTCGTAAAGAATTTCAAATTTAATAATTTAAAAATAATTTAAAAATTACAATTTTTGAAAATTACGAGCATTTTCTACAAATAATTTATAAACAATCGATTTACCACCATAAAAATGACTTGTTCTGGATCGTAACAAATTTATTCATATTTGGAATTTTACCAGGAATTGATGTCAGTCCTACGAAAATCAGATTTCCGAAAGTTTAAACAATTTTAATTATTTATTTCTAACCAGCGAATGTTTTAAAAATTAATAATTCTGTGCAAAATGTAATTTTAATGACACTCAATATTCAGGATTTTTTTCTAATTTTTCTCACGCAATTTAATCGACAAATTTGATGATTAAATTTATGATTTGTATCAAATCGTGATTAAAATCGTGATTTGTATCAAACTGTGAAAAATACTTGGATATCCTTAAATAAAAATTAACTTTTCCAAAGTTGATTCAAGTCCCGGGTAAATTACCTTTTGAACGCTATCTTGATTGTTTTTTTCATTTTTATAATGTGAAATGCTCTCCAATTGCTATTCAGTTTTACACAGCCCTGGTGTTTCCAAAAATTATGATTAAACAATCAAAAAAACGTTGAAAAAAGCTGAAAATGGTAAAATAGCGTTTTTGAATAATATTGTGAAATAAACCCAATAGGGAGAAAATTGCAAATGAATAATTTGATGTATCTAATGGCTGTCAGATCGTTAGTTACCATGATGAATTACCCATTCACTCTTTCCTCTCTACCAGACTTATTTCTTAATCTTTATTAAACCGCTCTTTTAAATCTTCAGTTTTTTTCTACTTTTTTAATTCTAAAATCATGATTTTTAGGTACTCCTGCGTGATGTAAAATCCACTGGAAATTCTGATATATTTTACATCATAAAAAAAAATCCAATGGAAATCGTGATATATTTAACATCATGAAGACAGAATAAAACCAATCGAGATAACATTCGAAAGATAATTCCCCCGTGCCTTACCCGCCTTTTTCCCACTTTCTTACACGCACCCCCAAGAATCCCCCACATTCCCACCCACATCACCGACCGCGTCAGTGCCCCTTCGACGATTCCTCCGCATCCCCGACCTCGACGTCGTCGCAATTCTCTTCTCTCTTTCTTCCAGTAAACCAAAGCCCCCCACCTCAAGAATGCCCGAGTGCGCGCACCTCGGGCTCCTAATCTCATCGGCGATACTCCTAAGATGGTCGACCACCTACCACCCTTACAGTGGCGCAGGCAAGCCCCCCATGTACGGCGATTACGAGGCTCAGCGTCACTGGCAGGAGATAACCCTGAACGTGCCCCTAGGCCAGTGGTACCGAAACACAACCGACAACGACCTCCAGTACTGGGGGCTGGACTACCCGCCCCTGACGGCGTACCACAGCCTCCTCCTGGGAGCAATCGCCAACTCCCTGGACCCGTCGTTCGTCGAGCTCGAAAAATCCCGGGGCTTCGAGTCAGACGACCACAAGCACTTCATGCGCCTGACAGTCCTCGCAGCAGACGCGCTGATCTACATTCCCGCGGTCATCCTCTACTTCTGGACCTCAGAAATTCCCGACAGTAAAGTCCCCCCCAAAGCCGAGAGGAACATCTTCGGCTTCAGGCGCCAGCACCTCCTCATCCTCTCGTCGTTGCTGTACCCGGGGATAATCCTGATCGATCACGGCCACTTCCAGTACAACTGCGTCTCCCTCGGTCTCTTCGTTCTCGCCGTCGTCGGGATCATGAGGGACTCCACAGCCCTCGCCTCCCTCTTCTTCGTCCTCGCCCTCAACTACAAGCAGATGGAGCTCTACCACGCCCTTCCCTTCTTCTTCTACATCCTCGGGGTCTGCCTGAGGCTCGGGGAGAAGTCCCTTCTCTCCGCTCTGAAGCTCCTCGTGAAGACCGCTCTCGTCGTCCTGGCGACGTTCTTCGTCATCTGGGCCCCGTTCCTCGACAGATGGCCCGCTGCACTCGACGCTCTCGTCAGGCTCTTTCCCCTGGGGCGAGGCCTCTTCGAGGACAAAGTCGCCAATTTCTGGTGCTCTGCCAATGTCGCTGTCAAACTGAAGACCCTCGGCAATGATCGGCTTTTTAAAATGTCGCTGACGGCCACCAGCACTGCCGTCTTGCCCACCAATTTGCAGCTGCTTCTCAGGCCCAGTAAGGAGAGGTTTCTACTTTCGTTAGTCAACACCTCTTTGGGGTTCTTTTTGTTCTCGTTTCAGGTACATGAGAAGTCCATTCTTCTCGTCGCTGTCCCTGTGATGCTCTATTTTCGTGAAGATCCGCTTTTCTGCTTTTGGCTCTTGGGGGTCTCTTGCTTCAGCATGATTCCGTTGCTCATCAGGGATGGACTGTTCATCGCCTATTGTGGGGCCATGGGGGTTTATTGTCTGGGTGTTGTGGTGATGGTCCCGGAGGTGATGGAGACTTCTGGGTACTTTCGGGGGAGGGCGGGGAGGCTGGTCAAGGCTGCGGCCGTTTGCTCGGCTGCTGGAGCGGTTGCACTTTCGCTCGCTTGTTATTTTGTGGAGCCTCCGGAGAGGTATCCGGATCTGTTTCCACTCCTTGTGTCGGTTTATTGTTTTGCACATTTTTTTTTGTTTCTGGTTTATTTTAATTTGAAACAGTTTTTTGGCGGCGAGGGGGGGTGGAGCGAGCGTGTCGTGAGAGGCTTGTGAAATATTTGAAATGAAAATGGAAAAATGAATGATTTTTCAGCTTCCTGGATATTTTATTCTATTTAGAGTTTCTGCAAAATTTTCTATTTTGTACTGCATTTGTTTTCTTGATAAAAAATTGAGAGAAAAATGGAAAATTCGGGTTGATGATTTTTTGGGAAAAAATCTTGACAATAAGTTGGGGAAGATGAGGTTTTATTGAGTTTTTTATAGAATATTTTCTATTGAACATTTTTATTTTGGAAAATCAATAGTTTTTCAGCCAAATTTTTATTGCACGTGTTGTTGAAAATGTAAGAAACTAAATTCTATGTCAAACATTCTTTGATTATTGATAAAAATAATAATATATTGTAAAGAATTCCTGGACTGTAACGAATGAAAGAAAAATTCTGTGAAAGGTTCACGTGAATCAGTGACTGATTTCAATCTGTAAATATGAACGTTAAGTGAGAATGTCGTGAAATGATTATGAAATATTTGAAAGAAAATATTTTTGATTGTAAAAAATTGGAATTTTTAAAATTTTTCTGGCAAAAATTATGAAATATTTCCTTTTGAAAACTCCTGTTGAAGAAAAATAATAGTTTTTTAATCAAATTAAATTGTGTGGCAAACATTCTTTAATTATCAATAAGAATAAAAATTATTGATAACAATATATCCTAAACAATTCTTCGACTGTAACAAATGAAAGAAAAATTCTATGAAAGGTTCACGTGAATCAGTAACTGATTTCAATCTGTAAATATGAACGTGAAGTGAGAATGTCGTGAAATGATTATGAAATATTTGAGAGAAAATATTTTTGATTGTAGAAAATTGCAAGTTTTAAAATTTTTCTGGCAAAAATTATGAAATATTTCCTTTTGAAAAATCCTGTTGAAGAAAAATAATAGTTTTTTGATCAAATTAAATTGTATGGCAAACATTCTTTAATTATCAATGAGAATACAAATTATTGATAACAATATATCGTAAATAATTCTTCGACTGTGACAAATGAAAGAAAAATTCTATGAAAGGTTCACGTGAATCAGTGACTGATTTCAATCTCTGTAAATATATTTTGAGTAACAAAAACAACTCTTGTAGTGCTTCATGTATATTTTTTAATCGCTGTTTTTCAATAAATTTAATGATTGACATGAACGAGTGATTCATTCGTAATTTTACAATGTACTAGACTCCCGTAGTCCTAAGGGGTGGGCAAAACTGAAAGCGAAATAGAAAGTTAGAGGACTTTTCGGTGATTAATTGATTCTCATTGGAGCCAATAGACTTTAATTAATCGTTCGGCATTGTCTGTGATTCTAGGAGGTAGAGGATCAGTCAGACGGCTGTGGTGCCAAGTTCGCTGTGCTCATTGTGTCCGATAAATTCGAGGGCAAACCGTTACTCCAACGTCACAGGTATAGAAAATACACGTATTAAAAAATTTAATAGAAAAATGAGTCTTTTTCTCAAGAAATTCAATTGAATTTCTATTGAAATTCCAGGAGAATTTTATTTGTTTTTTGCGTCAATTTTATTAAAAATTATGCAACTTCCCCAAATAAACATTTATTATAAAATAAAATATCATTTTAATAATTCAAATGATATTTGATAATATTATAAAATAATAATAATTATTATTATTATTATTATTATAAATAATTATAATAATATTAATAATATAATAATTATAATATTATTTTATTTTTTATAAACTATCATAAAATATTGATTTAAAAATGCATGGGGAAGTTGCATAATTCTTAAAAGGTTTGACGTAAAAATAAATTGAACTTTTTAATCGAATATCGAATAGAAATTCTATATTGTCGAGTAGAAAATCTCAACGGAATAAATTATATGGGAAAATCGTCTATAGACATTTATAGACGTCTTATTCTGTTGGGATTTTTTTACAAGAATTATTCCGCATGAATTTTCCAATTTTTTTTCTTGAATTTTATTATGAAAAAAATAAAATACAGCAAAATACAGAAAAACGTTTAAAAAAACGCCCAATAATTACTATAGAAAAATCAAGATCTCTTGACTTTTTTCGAAGAAATATTTCTAAAAAAATGAGACGGTATTCTGAATTCTTGTAGAGCTCCAATAGAAATTCAATAGAGTTTGTCCGAGAAAAAGCTAGGTTTTTCTATTAGATTCCTTCATGCGTATTATTAATGAATCTGCTGAAAAACAAGGAAAAAACGACTTGCCCCTTCCACTTTCAGACTAGTAAACGCAGCATTGGAGGAAGAGCTCAAAGATATCCACGCGTTTTCGCAGAAGACACTGACCCCCGAGCAGTGGAAAAAACAGCAATCTTAGAGCTTCTCTATTACCACACACTCTCGTGATACTGAAAATTTATAAATACTCCATGTCATAGGAGTAACAAAAAATCTTATCTCCGCAGAGCCCACGTCACGAGCATTATTCGTTAAACTCTCGACTAGTTCAGTCCATTTCCTGTTCACTCAGCGATAAAATAATAAATACCCAGTTATAAAGTAAAATAATTCTCTCAGAATGGAATTCAGGGTATCAGCACCTGGGAAAATTGTCCTATACGGTGAGCACGCAGTGGTGTACGGTAAGACTGCTGTTGCAGCGAGTTTAGACTTGAGAACAACTCTAGAGTTCAAGGAGATTGAGGATCAGATTGTCGGATTGTCCATGCCAAAAGTGCGATTGCAGGTCAATATCCCAGTGGGTGATATTCACAACTATTTTTCCAATGAAAGCTGTCCAAAGTTCAAGGATGATCACAACAATTTTTACCTTCACGTGCAGAATTACGTCGAGAAAATTGGATACACGAATCTGCAGCAGAAACTGGCACTCGAGGCTTTCTTCTACTTGTTGATAGCTATTTCACAGGTAGGGACGTGTACGAAAATTTGGTGTCACGACTAAATAACTTTGCAAAAATAACTTCAAAAAAAAAACTTGTGAAAAAATAATTTCAACCATTATCAATTTCTACAAAATTGAGTGAAACAATATGCACAAACGGATGAGCCAATGTGGGATTGTTAACATCCCTTATAAAAGTCCCTAGGATTGATGAGGAAAATATTCGGTTACATAAATTCAGAATTGTTGAAATGTTCATTAGTAAAAATTCCATTATTGATGACAAATTCTGTTGATTTGTGGGAGAAAAAAAGTTGTAAATCCATTGAGCATTGAGAATGTTTCGGTATTTGATAGAATGAAAATCATTTTGTTTGAATCATTTTTTCCCGAAAATATTTTTTTTGAAGTTATTTTTGTTGAAGTTATTTTTCAGAAGCTGTATAGTCGTACTCTATTTGCTTTTGGGCGAGAAAAATCTAACGTTTTCTCTAAGAAATTCTATTGAATTCCTATTTCAATTCTATAAAAATTCTATTTAAAAAAATTTTCGCTTTTTGCGCCATTTCTATAGAAGATTATATAACATTACCATCATTAATTTTTTTAAGAGACAAAATGACAGGGAAATTTTTAAGAGAATATTTTACAAGTGCACTGTATTTTTATTTTTTCCTCATAATAAAATTCAAGTTAAAAAATTCGAAAATTCATGCCCAAGAATTCTCTTGAAATTAAATGCATGAATGTTACTGATAGTGTAAATAATCCGGATATGGGTTCTCTGCTTTAAGGCCCCGGTGTATTATCTTTCGAACGTTATCTCGCTGTTTTTTTTCATCTTTCGTCATCTGAAATTGTCAATTGAGTCCTGCATCATGCAGAAGTCTTGAAAAATTATGAATGAATAATCAAAAAAAGTAGAAGAAATTCTTAATTTTTTCAAAGAGCATTCTTAATTTATATTCAGAATAAGTTGAATAACAAGAAATTGAAAAATTCATCTGATTTACGGTGACAAATGACGGCCTGTCACCCAATATCATGCAGGGGGAAGACTTCATAAATCTTTTCCCACACTGCACAGAGACATTTATTACGGAAAAGGCTCTTTGAAAAAAGTTGTAATATTTTGAAGAATTTTTTAATCACACTTTTATCACATAAAAATGGCAGATGACTGTTTTGAAAATTGAGATATCTAGCTGTCACTTCCCATGAGAAGTTAGTGTTTTGTTATCCACCATGGAAAATGACAGTAATTTCTACTTTTTTCAACTCATTCTGAATTTCAATTAAAAACGCTCTTTGAAAAAGTTCAGAATTTTTTCTATTTTTTTTCATCTTTCTATCACAATTTTTGGGAATTTCTACATGATATACCACTCAGTTGACAATTTTGGATTTTAAAAAATCCAGATAACACTAGAAAAATAGTACACCCGGGGCTTAAACTAATAAAATTTTTAAAAAATAAAAAAAAGAAATCTCATAGAAAAAAATCCCAACAGAATAAGTTACATAGAAAAATGGCTACAGCTGTTGGTTATTTTATAAACAAATTGATACTAAACAAAGACTTTTTCGATGGACCTCCAACAGAAAATCAGTAGAAATTCTCAGAGAAGTTTTTCTATTAATTCTTTCACACGTGTGACCGTATTTTTGCGTTCGTAATCACAGGTCGAGGGGTTGAGTGTGAGGCCTTTCCGGATTGCCATAGACTCAGCCCTGGCGATTTCCTCGGGTCTGGGGAGTTCGGCGTCCTTCGCCGTCTGCATTGCCACCTGTTTCCTTCATCTGTCCAATGCGCAGAAGAACGAGCTCTCGAGTCTCGATGCAAACGAACTGGAGAAGATCTCCAGGTTCGCCTTCAGCTGCGAGAAGATCATGCATGGGACACCCTCGGGAATCGACAACTCCGTCTGCACTTATGGGTCCATTATCGAGTTCAGGAGGGGAGAGACGCTGGAGCCCATCCTGGGGGCCATGCAGATGAGGGTTCTCCTGGTGGATACCAGGGTTCAGAGGAGCACTAAAGCCCAGGTCGACAAGTTGGAGGCTTTGAAGAGGAGATACCCCAGTATTTTTGGTCCAGTGATTGAGGCGATTGACAATGTGTCGAAAGAGGCTCTGGAGGTGATCAAGACGGTCAGGAGTCTTCCTGGGGATGGGGGGGAGGGGCTGCACAGCAGCTATCAACAGTTGATGGTGAGTTGATGCATGAACAGGAGAATTCCCTGAGGAGAATTCTCTGTTTTAGAAAATTAGAGTTGAGGCCCGGGTGGATTATCTTTGGAACGTGATCTTGTTTTTTTTTTTTATAATCTGAAATGATCTTCAATTGCTATTCAGTTTTACATAGCCCTGGATTCTCAAAAAATTATGATTGTATAATAAAAAAAACGTTGAAAAAAAGCAGAACATTTTCAAAAAGTGTTTTTGAATAATATTGGGGAATAAACTCAAAAGGAACGAAATTGCAAATTAATAATTTGATGTATCTCCTGCGTGATGTAAAATCCAATGGAAATTGTGATATATTTTACATTATGAAGATGGAAAAACAATCGAGATAACGTTCGAAAGATAATCCACCCGGGCCTTAACTCAAAATGAAAGCATCCACCTAAATTTCTAAACTCAAAAATTCTTTGGTTTATCACACTGAGAAACAAAATTATTTTTGCCAAATATTCATTTAGTTGAGAGGAGCATTCATGTTTTCAAAATATTATTTCTCCAATCGAGTCATTCCCAGGCGAGTCTGATTAGGTTCCAATCATAATAATTATCTTGCTCTAGAGGATAAACTCCTGTAATGATTATTCATTTTCCTAAATTTCTTATTTTCTAGAGGGAAGAATTTCGATTAATTTTTCAATGTTGATAATTATTGAGGGAGTTCCTCAAGGTCATAACTAACATGACCGTTTTCTGGAGCAATATAATTGACATAATTGAAAAAATAACTTCAAATCTCTCAAATAAATGGATATTTGTGAAAAAATAATTTTTCCTCAGTGCAGACGTTCCCAAGGGAAACCCAAAAAATCCATCATAATCGAATTGCGATAATTTCCAGACATTAATGGAGGTGAATCAAGGTCTACTAGCAACATGTCAAACCTCGCATCCATCACTCGACCGAATCTGTGCTGAAGCTAAGAATTACGGATTAGCTGCCAAACTGACTGGAGCTGGAGGCGGTGGTTACGCCTACATTCTGCTATTACCAGACACACCAACCGAAACAATCACCAGTATATCAAAGAAACTCATTGCCAATGGCTACCTCGTCACTCTAACGAACCTCGGTGGTGCTGGAGTCGAGCTGCACACACTGTGACAAATCGTAACTTAATTATTTATTCTCATTCAGGGCTGTAGTTAAAATCATTATCAAATGATTTACACATGGTACATATTTTCTCTATCAATTTTTATACAGATCTGTGGGGGCATTTATTTATCTACTTACATGATTTAACGGGTCAACTCATTATAAAATTCTTTGTTCAATTTGTATACAAAATAGTGATCGTCGAAAAATTATGAAATTTAATTAAATTAAAATGACTAATTATACGTTGAATATGTACTTTGGTTTTATCGTATGAATTTTTTATCATATCCTCATGATTACTGTAATCATGAGGACTATTCAAAATCTATACAGTATACGTCAATTATCGTAATTGTTTTAATGGAGATTTATGGCTAGGATAAATACTGCATGATTGGGAACGACGAAATGCTGCGATTTGTTATTTACAAAATTAATTCGAATGGTTTAGTATTAACAATCAATGCAACCACTCTCTCTCTTTCATACGCATGGGAAAATTTAATGGAAAAACCTAGTGCTTTTTGTTTGAAATTAGGCTGGGGTTCTATTAGAATTCTATTGAAAAATTCTATTTGTTTTTTGTTAATATTTGTTTATAGGAAATTGTCTGTAGATGTTGATTTCTCTAAATAACTTATTCTGTTTTTCTAGGTTTTTTTAACAATTCTTGGACATGAATTTTCCAAGTTCTCTTGGGTTTTATTATGAAAAATAAATAAAAATACAGTGGAAAGGAATGGAAAATTAACGCGAAAAGATTTTGGTAGACAAATAAAATCTGTTGACTTTTTTTGTATCACAATCTTCCAAACAAATGGCGCAAAGGTTAAATACAATTTTTTTTATAGAATTCTAATAAAACTACGAGAGTTCTTGCAGAACTCAAACTCTAAGAGATTCCATTCAGTAGTGAAGCGGTAAACCGAGTTAAGTCGATTTTGACTATTAGCCAGTTTTTGCTGAATATCTCGGAATCTAAGAGAGATAGCAAAATTTTTCTCATGACTTTTTTTATAACGCTCTATTGGCTCTACAAAAAAGGTCATGACAAAAATCTTTCTATCTCTTTTAGATTCCGAGATATTCGTCAAAAACTAGCCAATAGTAAAAAACGACTTAACCCGGTTTACCGCGTCGCTACTGTATTGAATTTCCAATGAAAATTCAATAGAATATCTTAGAGAAAGCGCCAGGTTCTTCTATTTAATTTCCTCATGCGTGCTCGTATTGAATAAAAAATAAATACGTATTCAAATGATACGTAATCCCATCGAATGGTAATTAGTAATCCCAAGTGTTAACGTTTTGGGATTGAAATTTTAAATTAGCAAATTAATTACAACGGTCACGCACGAAACAATTTAATAGAAAAACCTATCGAATTCGTTGGAAAATTCTATTGATTTTCTATTGGACTGTTCTATTAGTTTTTGGCCGATTCTATTGAAATGTTCAATAGAAAATATTCAGTAAAAAAAGTCAATAGAATTCAATTCTTTTATATAACTCATTCTATTGAGACATTTTCTATAGAATTTCCTCGACTCAAATTTTCCAAGTTTTTTCGTTTGATTTTCTTGATGAGAAGAAAAGAAAAATAGAATGAAAAAAACTTGGAAAATTTGAGTCGAGCAAATTCTATAGAAAATATATGAAAAGAATAAACTATATAGAAAAATCGAATTCTGTTGACTTTTTCTATTGAATGTTTTCTATTGAACATGTCAATAGAATCAGCCAAAAACTCATAGAAAGTTTAATAGAAATTCAATCGAATTTTCTAACGAATTCGATAGGTTTTTCTATTAATTTTTTTCGTGCGTGGTGTATAGCCAATGGTGAAGAACCTAGCGCTTTTTTTGTGAAATTCTATTGAAAAATTGTATTTGTTTTTTGCACCAGCGCTATTAAAAATTATTCAATTTCCTCGATCATTTCAATAGCGAAATGATAAAACTGTGCAAGTCAATTTTGACTATTGACCCATTTTCAATGAATATCTCGGAATCTAAGAGAGATAGCAAAATTTTTGTCATTCCCGTTTTTGTAGAGCCAATTGAGAGCTACAACAAATGGAACTATGAAAATTTCGCTATCTCCCTTAGATTTAGAAATATTCCTCAAAAACTCAACTGAAAGCTAATGATTTTTATAAAATTTGTTTATAGAAAAATGCTTATAGCTACTGAGTTTTCTTGGACATCAACTTCCCAAGTTTTTTTTCTTGAATTTTATATTGAGAAATAAAATTCAAAAAAAAAACTCGAAAATTTGCGCCCAAAATTTTCTGTACGAAGATAAAAATCTTCTGAATTTTTTCTATAAAAAATTTCTTAACAAAATTAGACGGTAAAATTTCACATCAATTTCTATAGAAATGGAACAAAAACAGATAGAATTTTTCATGTTCTTGTATTAAATGGTTTCACGCGTGCACCTACGTAACAAAAATAAATACCTATTTAAATGATACTTAATCCCAACGAACGGTAATCAGTAATCCCAAGTGTTGACGTTTTGGGATTAAAATTTTAAATTAGCTCAATTAATTACAACAGTGAACAGCCAGTTTCTCATCAATATTCATGATAATCATCCACGTTAATGCAATCGGTATCGCTATTCAGATATTACTCCACGATACCACGAGATTAGGAAATGCCACTTTGAAAAATTAAAGATGGGAATGTGTCGTGCAGTCAAGCATACGTTACACCACGGAACTATCTCAACATTGCTGAATAATCGTTACACAATTATTAGGACTAGTTAATAAATAATCTCTCGCCATCAAATCCCTTCACAACTTTTGAATTGCACTTAAAGGTTCATCAGTTCGTTCTTGCACGCACGAAAAAATTTCTTGGAACAGCTGGCGCATTTGATAGAAAATTCTATTGGACTTGAATTTATTGAAAAATTCCACAGCTTTTGTTCGCATTTTTTCCAAGTTTTTTTACTATTTTTTTTCTTATCAAATAATTCTTGGGCCGAAGAAATTCTATAAAAAATATTTTAATAGAATAAACTCCATGAAAAATTGAATTCTATTGAAATTTTCTTTAAAATATTTTGTATTGAACATTTCCATTGAAAAAAAGCATAAAAATGGATTTTTTCACAGCAAAAAACTAATAGTTTTGAAAAGAATTTTTATAGAAAACCAATAGATTTTTGTATGAAATTTTTTCGTCCGTGTTCTTGGATAAAAAAAACGATGGAAGGAAAATAGTCATGAACCACCTGGACACGAGGGTGAAAATTAAAACTGCAGGTGAAATCAGAGAATGAGTGGGTTTCCACTGTTTTCCAGTGGTTTTCGATCGTAATCTCGATGTCAGAGTTACATGGGACTCGTTGTTACGCCATTGCGGTGATGCAGAGCCCGCTCACGACTGAGAACAACTTGTTCGGGATCAATGTCACCATCCTCTATTCCAATTTCATCGAAACTGTTACCAGCGTTGGATCTCACGTCTTTTTCTTCCAGTTTTGCCTCGGCTAACCACTCGAATATCTCGTTCGTGTACATTCTCCTTTGGAGAACTTCACGGGTTCTTGGGCGAGAGCCAATGTATGTTGTTGTACTCTGGAGAAAATTTATTGTCAGTTGTTTATAACTGGTTTTTAGTTGATTCTTTTCAAGTTTCGTTCGAATAATATTTTATAAGTTAGAGAAAAAAGTCAGGAAGTCTATTTTTCCGCTCATAGAATAGTTGGAGAATCGTTATTGATGAAAAAGAAATTTCCGAACCCAAGAAATGATTTTTTGAAATCGTAGTTAATTTATTTCAAAGAAATTCATTATAGTTCTCTCCTTTGAGGAATTCAGCATCTCAATTTTTAAGGAAATTGAGGTGTTGTAGAAGCTAATTTGAATCATGCTAATTATTTATGAATTTTTCCAAATTTTTGTCATCGATGTCAATTGAAAAAACTGATGATTTCAAATTTGAAATTGATTTAAATCACTAAAATCACTTTTACTAATTAAACTTGGTAAATAATTTCAATTATTGATGAACAAGAACGATGAAATCAGATGATTGATGAAACTTGATAAATAATTTAAATTATTGATGAACAAGAAGAGGGTGGAAGACCCTCTTACCCAGGAAACAATTTTAAAAAATGGTAATTTAAATCAATAAAAATCACTAAAATCACTTGAAGTTACAAACATTGCAAAGTTTAGTTATTACAAATTTTTCTCATTCATTTCACTTAACAAAATTGATGATTTCAAATTTGAAATTGATTTAAATCAATAAAATCACTTTTAGTAATTAAACTTGTTAAGTAATTTCAATTATTGATCGACAAAAACCTCTCACCCAGGAAATAATTTTTAAAAATAGTGATTTAAATCACTAGAAATCACTAAAATCGCTTGAAGGCACTAAAATTGTTGAAGAATTGCATTTGTCAATAAACAAAAAATTTTCTATCCTAGAACTGATTCTTTAAAATCGCAATAAATTCATTCTAAACAACTTCATCATTTGAAATACTGCAGAACCTAATTTGAATAATGCCAATTATGTATGAATTTTTCCAAATGTTTCTCATCCATTTCAATTGAAAAAAAACGATAATTTGAAACTTGAAATTGATTTAAATCACTAAAATCACTTGAAGGCACTAAAATTGTTGAAGAATTGCATTTATCAATAAACGAAAAATTTCTTACCCTAGAACTGATTCTTTAAAATCGCAATAAATTCATTCTAAACAACTTCATCATTTGAGATGCTGCAGAACCTAATTTGAATAATGCCAATTACGTATAAATTTTTCCAAATTTTTGTCATCCATTTCAATTTAAAAAATTGATGATCTCAAACTTGAAATTGATTTAAATCACTAAAATCACTTGAAGTCACTAAAATTGTTGAAGAATTGCATTTATCAATAACCGAAAAATTTCCTACCCTAGAACTGATTCTTTAAAATCGTAATAAATTCAGTCAAATGCCAATAATGTCAATTATGTATGAATTTTTCCAAATTGTTCTCATTCGTTTCAATTAACAAAAAAATTATTTCGAACGTGCTATAAATCCCTAGTACCTGGGATGAAGCCAATGATTTCCAGAAATAATTAGCAACAATTCTTCACATGAACTCACCCCCACCACCAGTAGCCCCCTCAACTGTTCCAGCAATTGAAAATCTTGAACAATAGACTGGAGCTCGTCCCACCTCAGTTCAACTTCCTCATGTAACATTTTTTCCTCATCCCGTTTCGACGTCGACCTTTTGTACTGAATTCGGAATCGGAAAGCCTCGAGGAAGCTCGACACGACAATCGTGAGAACAATCATGGTCACCAGGTAGAATATCATGAAGTAAACTCTTGTGTAATGGCCAGCAGTAAATGCATAGGCATTCATGAATATGAACCAATTATTGACTACTGTCAATTCGAACAATGTCATGCTGCTTGCCATCAGATTGTCGAAGGTATTGAGGTAATAGTAGCCCAGGGCTGTGCTTCCGTTTGCTGAGTATTTGTAGAAATCTTCAACTGTTGTATTTCTGCAAGAATAGCAATTGATTCAATTCAATTAAACCGTTTTCGACTGTTGACCAGTTTTCAGCGAATATCTCGAAATTTAAGGGAGATAGAAAAATTTTTGTCATTACCTATTTTGTAGCTCTCAATTTGCTCTAGAAGAAAGGTCATTACAAACATTTCGGTATCTCCTTTATATTCGGAGATATTCCCCGAAAACTCAGCTAAGATTCAAGTTTACTTGGACAGTTTTACCGTTTCGCTATCGAATTTGTTTAGTTGAATGTTTTTTCAAAAGAAACATTCAAAACATACATTTCCAGAAATGATTTTGTGCTTTCGTTTATTGTACTGATGAGTTTCCTCCAGTTGTCATGTAAAGTAATTGGAAAAAATGAGGTTTTAATTTTTATTGAGCTAAAGAGGCTTTAGAAGAATAAAATCTTCAAGTGTTCTCATGACGCTATTCTCAACAGCGTGACTCAAATTTTGGTTCACAATCTATTATGCATTAGGTTTTTGTCATTCTTTTCTCAAAATTGACAGCAATGATAAATTTACGAAATTTATAGAATTCAACTGTATCATAAATCGTAGAAGTATGAATTTTATTCAGAATATAACGAGAAAAATCATGAGAAAAAGTGTGATTTATAGAATTACGCAGTAATTTCGCCTCTAGTAATCTAGATAATTTTTATCCAATTATTCCCTTCGTGCAGCCTCGAGATTATTTCCCAATATCAATCATCTCTCCCCAAATATTAAGCAAACTCACTGATACTTACACACAACAATTCCTCATATCGTACCCGGCGAACATTTCCATTCCAATAATAGCAAAAAAGTAGTACAAAATCAGCATAACAATGGCGGTGGAGCACATCAGTGGTGATAAAATAACAAGTGTTCCAAACACATCCCTGTATCTCTTCTTCATTTTGAATAATCTCAGTAGCCGGAGAGGTCGGAATATTACCAAGAACGTTGCCCCTGGGAATAGTGTGAGCGCACAAGAGGCAACGAGGGACATTATGGAGGCCCCGAGATCGAAGAGATTCCAGCCAGAGCTGAGGTACCTCCGCATCCCCAGTCCGAGGACTTTTATCAATGCTTCAGTGACGAAAACTGAAAGGCCAAGATCCCCGGGATCGGCATCATTAATTAAAATTTACTCATCTTCATTGAAATTTGAGAAATAATAAAATAACTGATAATTTAAGTTTTTAATTGACTATGAATTCAATAACTGACAATGTGAAATTGCCAATTGACGAAACAATCATTAACAGATTGAATATTTACTTGACGAGGAATTTAATAATTTAAAAATTGTTAGTAATATTGACAATTGACTTATTCAATATTTAACTGAAATTTATGATTATGCCGATGTCTGGGCCACACGGACGAAAAAAATTGAATAGAAAAATCTATCAAATTCGTTAGAAAACTCTATTGAATTTCTATTGAACTGTTCTATTAGTTTTTGGCCAATTCTATTGAAATTCTCAATAGAAAATATTCAGTAGAATTCAGTAAAAGTCAGTAGAATTCAATTTTTCTATATAACTTATTCTATTGAGATATTTTCTATAGAATTTCCTCGGCTCAAATTTTCTAAGTGTTTTCGTTTGATTTTCTTGATGAGAAGAAAAGAAGAATAGAATGAAAAAAACTAGGAAAACTTGAAAAACGAAAACTGAAAGCCCAACCGGGGATCGGAATCATTAATTAAAATTTACTCATCTTCATTGAAATTTGAGAAATGATAAAATAACTGATAATTTAAATTTTCAATTGACTATGAATTCAATAATTGATAATGTGGAATTGCCAACTGACCAAACAATCATTAACAAATTGAATATTTATTTGATGAGTAATTTAATAATTTAAAAATTGTTAGTAATATTGACAATTGACTTATTCAACATTTAAGTGCATTTAAAATTTATGATTATGCCGATGTCTGGGCCACATGGACGAAAAAATTGAATAGAAAAACCTATCGAATTCGTTAGAAAATTCTATTGAATTCCTATTGAACTGTTCTATTAGTTTTTGGCCGATTCTGTTGAAATGTTCAATAGAAAATATTCAGTAGAATTCAGTAAAAGTCAATAGAATTCAATTTTTCTATATAACTTATTCTATTGAGATATTTTCTATAGAATTTCCTCCGTTCAAATTTTCTAAGTGTTTTCGTTTGATTTTCTTGATGAGAAGAAAAGAAGAATAGAATGAAAAAAACTAGGAAAACTTGAAAAACGAAAACTGAAAGCCCAACCGGGGATCGGAATCATTAATTAAAATTTACTCATCTTCATTGAAATTTGAGAAATGATAAAATAACTGATAATTTAAATTTTCAATTGACTATGAATTCAATAATTGATAATGTGGAATTGCCAACTGACCAAACAATCATTAACAAATTGAATATTTATTTGATGAGTAATTTAATAATTTAAAAATTGTTAGTAATATTGACAATTGACTTATTCAACATTTAAGTGCATTTAAAATTTATGATTATGCCGATGTCTGGGCCACATGGACGAAAAAATTGAATAGAAAAACCTATCGAATTCGTTAGAAAATTCTATTGAATTCCTATTGAACTGTTCTATTAGTTTTTGGCCGATTCTGTTGAAATGTTCAATAGAAAATATTCAGTAGAATTCAGTAAAAGTCAATAGAATTCAATTTTTCTATATAACTTATTCTATTGAGATATTTTCTATAGAATTTCCTCCGTTCAAATTTTCTAAGTGTTTTCGTTTGATTTTCTTGATGAGAAGAAAAGAAAAATAGAATGAAAAAAACTTGGAAAATTTGAGTCGAGCAAATTCTATAGAAAATATATGAAAAGAATAAGTTATATAGAAAAATCGAATTCTGTTGACTTTGTCTATCGAATGTTTTCTATTGAACATGCCAATAGAATCAGTCAAAAACTAATAGAAAGTTTAATAGAAATTCACTAGAATTTTCTAACGAATTCGATAGGTTTTTCTATTAAATTTTTTCGTGCGTGCATACCCGCATGTTATGAATTCATTGATCCAATGTTAATGATGATTTTCATGGGGGTAACTCACATGCACCGAATAGGAGAGTATCCCAACAGCCAGCGAATCTGTGGGCTGATTCAATCAGATCAGCATTCGATTGAAACAGTCTGATGAACATCGCAACTCCATTTCCGATTATCGTAGCATCTAAACGTGAATTAATTCGATTAGTTAGTTAATTGATTTGGCTTTTTAATGTTTTTTTTGCACTTGAAGAGATACAAGAGCAGTTAAGAACGAATTTAATATGAAAATCGCAGAATTCAGTGGAAAAAGAAATTCTATGGAAAATATTTTAGTTTAAAATTCCCTTGGAAATTATGTAACTTTAACGCATATTTTCCGATGCATCTTTTGATTGAAAAAAATCAATAGCTGTTGATTTTGATTCTTTGAAATTCAAATAAGTTGAAAAATTTTCGTCTTCCTGTAGCTAAAAATTTATAATTAAAAAAAACAATAATTTAGTTAATTTAATTAATTTAATTTAATGTAATGTAATTAACTAAAATAAAATTCAATAATAATAACAATAATAATAACAGCAATAATCAAATTCTATTTTATTTAATTAACTGATTATTATTATTTTTAATTATAATAATAAAAAATAATAAAACAATAATAATAGTTATAATAATAATTATTTTATTTGTTAATTTAATAATTTAATTTAATTTTTTTTTATTGTAAAAAAATTTATAATTTTCTTGAATTTCTATGAAATCTGAAATTTCAATTTGTTTTCTAATCGTGCAATGATAATAATAATTCCCCCGATTCAGCCAATTTTTCCTCTCCCCATACATTGCCGCATTATTTTTACCGCCAACAGATAATTCTTATCATTGACTAATTACTCGAGAAGATATAAATAATCGTGAGATACTCACAAACAAAACTCTCGAAATATGGCCACATGATAGCGGCATTGGCTCCAGTGCACAGCATCTGGAGCGGTGGCCATGCTGTGTGATACCAGGGTATCCCAGTGAATTGTGGCTCCCACTGAAGTGTTGTAACATCGTAGACCGATAGGAATTCCTCGCAGCTCAGTGCACCACTGCCTGATGCGTTCATGTGCCTGAACATGAGAATAACGTCGAGGGTGCTCTTCTGGGGGGCGTAGTAGCGCATCAGTCCCTCGAACTGGCGGAACCGCATTTTATCGGGGTTCTGCTTTGAGACGAGAAGCTTGAAAGCGTGCTGACATGCTCTCCTCTTGTGGAGAAAGAGCTTCTTGAACTTGTCGCGCTCGGCTGAGGTGAATGTCTCGTTCACAACTGCCAGCATCAGGTTCATCATCACGTACAGCATTGTGCAGAGATATGTTACGAAGTATATGGCGTACCACTTGCTGCGGGAGTAGGAGGGCATCATGACGTCGGGGAAGCTGGAAGAATATAGTTTTTTTTTTAATTATTATTTTCAGGCCCGGGTGTACTATCTTTCGAGTGTTATCTGGATTTTTTTATCTTTCGTAATCCAAAATTGTCAATTGAGTGGTACATCATGTAGAAATTCCAAAAAATTATGATAGAATGAAAAAAAAATAGACAAAATTCTGAACTTTTTCAAAGAGCGTTTTTAATTGAGAGCCAGAATGAGTTGAAAAAAGTGGAAATTACAAATATCTGATTCGCTGTGGCTAATTATCTATTAGCTGTCATTTTCCATGGTGGATAACAAAACATTAACTCCTCATGGGAAGTGACAGCTAGGTATCTCAATTTTCAAAACAGTGGTATGTAGTTATCTGCCATTTTTATGTGATAAAAGTGTGATTAAAAAATTCTCCAAAATATTACAACTTTTTTCAAAGAGCCTTTTCCGTAATAAATATCTGTGTGGGAATAATTGAATATAATTATTCATTCATTCATTCGTTGAATCATGCACTTATGTATTTATTTCTTCATTAGTTATTTATTTATAGATCACAAAAAAGTCAGGTTTTTTTCATTCGGGCAATGTTTATTTTTATTTAAGGTCCGGGTGTACTATCTTTCGAATGTTATCTGGATTTTTTTATCTTTCGTAATCCAAAATTGTCAATTGAGTGGTACATCATGTAGAAATTCCAAAAAATTATGATAGAATGAAAAAAAAATAGACAAAATTCTGAACTTTTTCAAAGAGCGTTTTTAATTGAGAGCCAGAATGAGTTGAAAAAAGTGGAAATTACAAATATCTGATTCGCTGTGGCTAATTATCTATTAGCTGTCATTTTCCATGGTGGATAACAAAACATTAACTCCTCATGGGAAGTGACAGCTAGGTATCTCAATTTTCAAAACAGTGGTATGTAGTCATCTGCCATTTTTATGTGATAAAAGTGTGATTAAAAAATTCTCCAAAATATTACAACTTTTTTCAAAGAGCCTTTTCCGTAATAAATATCTGTGTGGGAATAATTGAATATAATTATTCATTCATTCATTCGTTGAATCATGCACTTATGTATTTATTTCTTCATTAGTTATTTATTTATAGATCACAAAAAAGTCAGGTTTTTTTCATTCGGGCAATGTTTATTTTTATTTAAGGTCCGGGTGTACTATCTTTCGAATGTTATCTGGATTTTTTTATCTTTCGTAATCCAAAATTGTCAATTGAGTGGTACATCATGTAGAAATTCCGTAAAATTATGATAGAATGATAAAAAAAATAGACAAAATTCTGAACTTTTTCAAAGAGCGTTTTTAATTGAGAGCCAGAATGAGTTGAAAAAAGTGGAAAATACAAATATCTGATTCGCTGTGGCTAATTATCTATTAACTGTCATTTTCCATGGTGGATAACAAAACACTAACTCCTCATGGGAAGTGACAGCTAGGTATCTCAATTTTCAAAACAGTGGTATGTAGTCATTGCCTTTTTTATATGATAAAAGTGTGATTAAAAAATTCTGAAAAATATTACAACTTTTTTCAAAGAGCCTTTCCGTAATAAATGTCTCTGTGCAGTGTGGGAAAAGATTTACGAAATCAGTCTTCCCCCTGCATGATATTGGGCGACAGGCCGTCATTTGTCACCGTAAATCAGATACATTTTTCAATTTCTTGTTATTCAACTTATTCTGAATGTAAATTTAAAATGCTCTGAAAAAATTAAGAATTTTTTCTACTTTTTTTTGACTATTCATTCATAATTTTTCAAAACTTCTGCATGATGCAGGACTTAATTGACAATTTCAGATGACGAAAGATGAAAAAAAACATCGAGATAACGTTCGAAAGATAGTACCCCCGGGCCTTAAAAAATAAAAAGTGTGACCCATTTTGTCCCACCCTCCCTTTAAGGTCTACTCACTTGGCGGTAGTCAAAAGTACAAAAAGGCTGACGAAACTATCCTGCAGTGTGCCAAAGTTGCTGTTGCCCTCGGAAAACATAAAATACCCGAGAACCATGTACGTAGTGATGAAGAACAGGAGAAGACCCAGCATATCGAGAATCGGTGGTAATGTCTGGAGAATTTGGCGGATAAATCGCCTCACACCACCGCAGTATTTGGTGTCCACCAGGAAAATTGGCCTCAGTGCACGGGTCACCCGGACGTGAGAGGATTGACGGATTAGAACGGTTGTCGCTTCCAAGAACATTATTGCCAGGGTGATGCACTAGGAGAGAGGAAAAGGCAAACTTCATCATTTTTTTCGCACGAAAAAGTCAAAAGAATTAGATTTTTCCATACAACTTATTCTATTGAGCCATTTTCTATGAAATTTCCTTGGCTCAAATTTTCCAAGTTTTTTTGTGGGATTTTCTTCAGTGATAGGCATATCAATCAATCATAATTACCGTTAAATTGTGAAGTTTTCAATTTTTAACATAAATCTTAAAATTTTAAATATTAAAGTAACCATCAATTTGTACATTTGAATTTCGAAATATTCTGTCAACCAATAATTTAGGTAGGAAGATTGACGATTATTTGGATAATCGAAAATCAAGTACCTAAATTTAGAATTAGCTTGTTAACTGAAAAATTACATTTCAGTATTATCAAATATTTTACTCACCATCAATCGAAAAATTTAGTTAATAAATTCTATAATATTTTAAATGTGTCAAATATAGTTAAACTTTGAACAATATAAGGAGATAATCCCTTTTTAATATTGTCAAAATCTAATATTATTGCCCATCCCTGATTTTCTTGATGAGAAGAAATGAAGAATAGAATGAAAAAACGTAAAATACATCTGAAGACAATAACTTACAAACAAATGATGATTTTTATACACAACTTTTTTTATTCTATCGGAATTTTTGGCCCTAAATTTTCCAAGATTTTGACAAATCTTAAAATTTAAAATTGAAATATTAGATGTAAAATCTAAGAAGAAACCAGGAAACTCATGTCCATAAATTGCTTTATCAAAAAATCATAAAAGCATAATTCGTCTGGAAAACTAAAGTTCATTGACTTTTCTATCCACTGATTTTTTCTATAAGATCTCTTGAGTATGAATTTTTCAAAATTTTTTCTTGCATTTCATATCGAAAAACAGAGAAAAAACACTGAAAGAAATTAGAGAATTTATGCCCAAACAATTTCCACGAAAAATCAATAGCCATCAACTGTTATCTACCACAAATCTACCATGAATACAAGCGCCAAAAAATTTACTAGAAAAACCTATCGAATTCGTTAGAAAATTCTATTGAATTTCTATTCATCTTTCTATTAGTTTTTGGCTGATTCTATTGACATGTTCAATAGAAAACATTTAATAGAAAAGGTCAACAGAATTCGATTTTTCTATATAACTTATTCTTTTCTTATATTTTCTATAGAATTTGCTCGACTCAAATTTTCCGAGTTTTTCTCATTCTATTTTTCTTTTCTTCTAATCAACAAAATCAAACGAAAAAACTTATAAAATTTGAGTCGAGGAAATTCTATAGAAAATATCTCAATAGAATAAGTTCTATAGAAAAATTGAATTCTATTGACTTTTACTGAATTTTACTGAATATTTTTTATTAAAAATTTCGATAGAATCGGCCAAAAACTAATAGAACAGTTCAATAGAAATTCAATAGAATTTTCTAACGAATTCGATAGGTTTTTCTATTAAATTTTTTCGTTCGTGTACGCTGTTCTTCTCTCAATGTACTCCCGCAACGTAAAATAAACCTTTTCTTTTTCTGGATTATTGCACTGGTTTGAACCAGTGATTTCCGGTTGATAAAAAGCCGATTAGTATCGCCGTAAACTATCCGGCTGAATGGATCACACATACGTAATGAGTTTATCCCTGATCTCATCTGGATCACTCCGGTATCGATCTCCAAGCCTCATTTGTTTGTTGACAGAGCCCCGGCTGCTCGGGTGGAACGACTGAATATTCATGAGACAGTTCAACTGGTGGAGTCTAACAACGCGAGTGCAAAATTTAGGAGTATCTCACCTTGAGCATTGTTCTCTTGTGTTTGAGAATCGTACCCCAGCCGATCCATCGAAGTTTCAATGCCAATTCCACCCCTATTGTGATTAATGCCAAGAGCTCGATGGATCCGTGGGCCCAGACTGGCAACTAGAGTTGAAAAAGTGAATGCACGCATGAAATAATTTTACGGAAAAATTAATGTATTCTATTTAAAAAATCTATCTGGTTTTCGTGGAATTTTTCTATCTATAGGAAATTATGCAACATTGGTGTGTCATTTGTAAAGGGATATTTGATTTTAAAAAGTCAATAGATCTTGATTTTTCTACAGGAATTCTTGGGCGTGAATATTCCAAATTTTGTTGCTGCATTTTTATTTGTTTCTCATCATAAAATACAGCAAAAAAAAACTTAGAAAACCCACACCCAAGAATTCTCATTGCATAAATCTCAGCAGAATAAATTACATTAAATAATCAACATTTATTGACTTTTCTCTATCAGAAGGCTTCCATTCAACAACAATAAAATTATGAATTCAATATGATTTGTTAGAGAAATCCATAATAATAAATAAGAAATTAGTAATAATAATAAGAATAATAATAATAGTAATAATAATGAACTGTAATAATTGTAAAACTGAAAAATCAATCATTTGAAATAATAATAATTCTTTTCACTAAAATATACTAATACTTTTTTTGTTATTGTTTTTGTTTAATATTATTATTGTTATTAAACTTTGTCCGACGTGAGACTTTCTATAAATGACAAAATTTAATATTATTAATTATTCCTATACAAAATTATTGAAAAATACATAAAATAAAATGCAAAAATACGTGACTATTGATAAAAAAAAAGATTTCCCCTAGCGCTGAGATTGTTGTTTTGAATTATAAATACAGGAATTCACTAATTATTTTCTGAATTTAATCAATACAAATATAATAATAGTAACAATTATTATATTTTACTGAAAAGAATTATTACTATTTCAAATAATTGATTTTTCAGTTTCATAATTATTACATTTCATTATTATTACTATTATTATTATTTGTGAAACAAATGTCTCAGAAATTGTTGAATGGATGAAATTTCAATTGCAATCAATTCAGCGGAATAAAAATATTCAGTGGAATAAAAATATCTTGTTAATACACACCTGAAATAGAGGTACTGCTGGTTCTTCAACGACTGCTAATGCCAGTAGAACAACCGATGTGAGAAGATCAAGGCCATAGTACCAGCTGTTGTGAACAAGAAGATAGGCGGGAAGATCCTCTGGATGTCTCGGGTGCGAGTCAAACTTCTCATTGTTTCTTCCTTCCTATAACCCATTAATTCTTATCTGAATGGGGAAAATTACCAGACGTGCTTCATCGAAGATTTTTAATTCACATTATTGATTTATCTGCATTATGTCTGCTCGTTAATAATTAGTAATTGTTCCATATTGATTAAAAAAATTTGGCTTCTTTTGCAGAAATTGTGATAGGGGCATTATGCTGTGGAATGTTTAGTTATCTCGCTTTTTTCGAGTGAAACAAGTGTGGAATAAACAGATAAAATAAAATGGGGGATTAATTATGATTGAAACTACTGGATTCGAGGAGTTTTCCATTGCGTAAAAAAATAAAAGCTGTTTTGTAACAATACAATTATGATGATCGATTTTTTCCCTATTGTCTGCATATCTACATCGACAAAGTTATGTTAGGAGGTGATAAATGTTCCCCTAATTGTTTTACAGCTTTCGAGCATTCGAAAGAAATTCAATTTCTAGTGGATAGTATTTTATGGAAAAAAATTGACAGATGTGGATTTTGCTATTCAAGAATTCTTGGGAATTTTCTTTTCTTTTCCGGGATTTTATAATGTCGAAAACATAGAAAATAACTTGGAGAAAATAATTTTTTTTATGTAGAAAAATAAAAATCTGTCGATTTTTATCTGTAATTTAACATATTTTGAAGATATTCGTATAGATATTCTTTAATACAAAAAAGTCAATATATGTTGAATTCTCCATAAAACTTATTCTGTTGAAATTTTTTCGCAAGAATTGTTGAGCCTGAATTTTCAATTTTTTTTTTAATTTTATAATGAGGAACAGATAAATTGGAAACGAGTTCGGATGTCTAGACCGAAGAATTTCTGTAGGAAAATTTGTATTTGTATCGAATATTTTCAGTTTTTTCCTGGATTTTGCAATGGGGAAAAAAATACAGTCCAAAAATTCAAGTTCATAGACTTTCCCACTATGACAAATTTATAGAATGTCCATGATTATCATATGTTACAACCGACACATCTGAATTTCTCTTCTCAATTTTTGCATATCTATTATTATCATCCTGATCTTGATCTACATATATTAATTTATTCTCAAAACTGGTATTCTATAAATATGTAATTAACATTTAATGTGTTCTTTTGACTCTATTGGTCTGTGGGCTGTTGGCTTTGTTGCAATAAATAAATAAATAAATAGAAAAATCTACCCAATTCCATAGAAACTTTTATTGGATTTTGACTGAACGTTTATTGAAAATTCTATTAGGTTTTGGCCAATTCTATTAAAAAATTCGGCAGCTTACTGCGTGTTTTTTAAATAAAAAATGTCCAATAGAAACTATTCTATAAAAAAACAATAGAATTCAATTTTTCTATACAACTTATTCCTTGAGATACTTTCTATAGAATTTCCTCGGCTCAAGATTTCCAAATTTTCTTCATTCAATTTTTTTTCTTCTCATCAAGAAAATCAACCAAAAAACTAAAAAAAATTGAGCCGAGGGAATTGAATAGAAAATATCTCAATAGAAGAAGGCGAAATCCATAAGTAGAAATCCATAGAATTGTCTAGCAAATTCGCTAGGTTTTCATATTAAATTCCGCAGCTTATTGCGTGTTTTTTAAATAAAAAATGTCCAATAGAAGCTATTCTATAAAAAAACAATAAAATTCAATTTTTCTATACAACTTATTCCTTGAGATATTTTCTATAGAATTTCCTCGGCTCAATATTTCCAAGTTTTCTTCATTCAATTTTTTTTCTTCTCATCAAGAAAATCAAGCAAAAAACTAAAAAAAATGGAGCCGAGGGAATTGAATAGAAAATATCTCAATAGAAGAAGGCGAAATCCATAAGTAGAAATCCATAGAATTGTCTAGCAAATTCGCTAGGTTTTCATATTAAATTTTTTCATACGTGTATTCAGTACTATTTTTTTTCACAATACTGGGGCCAATCCTATTAAAAAATTCCGCAGCTCATTGCGTGTTTTTTAAATAAAAAATGTCCAATAGAAGCTATTCTATAAAAAAACAATCGAATTCAATTTTTCTATACAACTTATTCCTTGAGATACTTTCTATAGAATTTCCTCGGCTCAAGATTTCCAAGTTTTCTTCATTCAATTTTTTTTCTTCTCATCAAGAAAATCAACCAAAAAACTAAAAAAAATTGAGCCGAGGGAATTGAATAGAAAATATCTCAATAGAAGAAGGCGAAATCCATAAGTAGAAATCCATAGAATTGTCTAGCAAATTCGCTAGGTTTTCATATTAAATTTTTTCATACGTGTATTCAGTACTATTTTTTTTCACAATACTGGGGCCAATCCTATTAAAAAATTCCGCAGCTCATTGCGTGTTTTTTAAATAAAAAATGTCCAATAGAAGCTATTCTATAAAAAAACAATCGAATTCAATTTTTCTATACAACTTATTCCTTGAGATACTTTCTATAGAATTTCCTCGGCTCAAGATTTCCAAGTTTTCTTCATTCAATTTTTTTTCTTCTCATCAAGAAAATCAACCAAAAAACTAAAAAAAATTGAGCCGAGGGAATTGAATAGAAAATATCTCAATAGAAGAAGGCGAAATCCATAAGTAGAAATCCATAGAATTGTCTAGCAAATTCGCTAGGTTTTCATATTAAATTCCGCAGCTTATTGCGTGTTTTTTAAATAAAAAATGTCCAATAGAAGCTATTCTAAAAAAAAACAATAGAAGAAGTCGAAATCCATAAGTAGAAATCCGTAGAATTGTCTAGCAAATTCGCTAGGTTTTCATATTAAATTTTTTCATACGTGTATTCAGTACTATTTTCTCTCACAATACCCCAACTTCATTGGTACCTCCAAGAATATAGCAGCCTCGTGATAATTCATCTCCCAATGCATGTCAGCGTCCATCAGGGCGGTCTGCCTGTCGAAGGCAGCACTCTCAGTGAGATCATCTCCCTCGAACCCCCGTGTCTGACTCCTCTGGCTCAATTCATTAGGAGAACTCGCGTCCTCCCTCGGTGACATCCTCAATCGAGTCTCTGGAGAAGCGCAAGACAACATAGACCCATACTCTAGAAGAACAGATCGGAGGAAAAAAACGACAAGCGTGCAGTGGTAGTACCGCAAAGCATTTGCACAGGTCAAAATTTAATGCACTGAATAGTTAGAGCAGAAGAGATTCACCATCACCAGATCAATGTGAAGTGTTAATCAGACTTTCAGCTCGTTATCTCCTGCCTTAAATTAACAAAGAGGAAATCTTGCATTTATCTTATGCAAACAGTGGCATGAGTTGATGACAGCAGTGGGGGAGCAAGTCATTGCCATTCCATTCAACATGTGCGAAAATATTGAAGAGAAAAAGAAATCATTCATTCGCTAAAAACATTCAACTGGAGATTTCAGTGGATTTATATCGGATTTTTTGACGGGGTTCGCGATCAATTCAGTGGATTCTTCAGTGGAAAACATCCGGGTGAGAAGAAATTTGATAGGGAAAACTGACACTTGATCTAGGAAATTTTATTGAAGGTCTACTCGGCAATTTTGCGATTTTTTAATTGATCTTCGATAGAAAAACGTCGACAGATTTTTGTTTTCTTATATGAATTATCTTCTTCTGATTTTTGTATAGAAATTCTTGGACATACATTTTTCCATGTTGCAAAATCGAAAAAGAAGAGAATAATTATGCACAAAAAAGTTTATAGAAAAAATCCCAAGAGAATTTTACGAGATTCTAATTAGATTATGTAGAATTCCCTACAAAAGTCTGGGGCTTACCTCGGAAAATCTGTTATTTTCACTGAATTTTTTGCGTGTGAAGAGAACGAAAGAAAAATAAAGCAGCAAAATCATAGAAATAATTGAAATTTCTGCTAATGCACGGCTGGAAAATTTTCACAGAAAAATCAACATTTATTATGAATTCAGAGAAAATAAAAAAATTGTGATGTCGATAAAATTCGACATCATTAATAATTAATAATTAAAATTAATTAAAAATACATTAAATCAATCAATTCATTCACCTATTTAGATATAATCCAAGAAGATAAAAACAGAAAATTCAACAATAAGTTACATAGATGTCCCAACACTCCTCGAAAATTTGAAGAAATGTAAAGTCTGAATAACAAACTCTGTAAAGCTCTTCCAGAGTTCTACAGATCCAAAAATCCTAAATATTCTACACTCGTTACTAAAGTTCTGAAACAATCTGAACTTGCATCCTACACGGAGAGAAATTTTTTAGAAAAATTCTAGTGATAGCACGGTAAAAGAGGCGGAAAGTGACGGCCGGGAAAAAATTCCAGTGTTGGCACTGGAAATTTTATTTGGGAAAACGTGAATTTTTTCGCGTATTTCTGTGAAAATTTTACAGAAATCCCCATAAATTTTACCAGAAATACCAAGAAATTTTACCTTAACAGCACTAGAATTTTTCACAACCGGTGGATTGTGATTTTTTTCAGTACGCATACTAGAATTTTTCTAGAAAATTTCTCTCCGTGTATGTATTTTGTTTCAGAACTTTAGTAAACGAGTGTACACAAGTGCGTCCAAGCAGGTAAAATAAACATATGATGCACAATGAAATGTAACCACATATAAAAACAATGTTGAAACGAAAACTGTAAATCCGTCACAGACAGTGTACACAAATCATGTAGATTTTCGCACTTTAAACGATAAAAAAAGTCATATAGAAAAATCACCATTTATATGCACTTGTCTACAGCCAAATATCTATTAAAAACCGCACGGGAAAGTTGCATAATTTTTAATACAATTGGCGCCGAAAACAAACATAATTTTTTAGCGGAATTCTCCAATGGAAACACAACTCCCACTGAATCCTTACAAAGTTCCAATAAAAATTCAATAGAATTTCTCAAAGAAAACCCTCAGTTTTTCTACGAAATTTTTTCATATGTGGACTCAAAGTGTAAACAATCAAATTAACATCACTACTAAGCCTACTGGAGCACTAGCCCGGCAATTGCATAATGCACCAAGAAAAATTAGTACCATCGACTGAAAAGCATCATTCAAAACTGTTCGAGTGAATGGAAAAATAAAATTCACAGAGGAAGTAGACAATGCCGTAACAGACACTCAATGATTGCAAAAGGAGAGAGAACAACGTGATTTCTCAATCGCAAAGGATCTGGCGAAGCGTCTGCTAAATTGAAATAAATAATAATTTTTGAAGGACATCCAAGTGTTTTTTACAGTTTAATAATTTTACAATTTAAATTTAAATTTTACAGTTTAAATTAAATTAAATTTTGTGAGAAAAATTGGAAAAAAATCATGAATATTCAGCGTTATTTAAATTACACTTTGCACAGAATTATAATTTTTTAAACACTCGTTGTTGGTAAATAAATAATTTAAATTGTTTAACCTTTCGAAAACCCTATTTTTTCAGGCATAAAATCGATTTCTGGCAAAATTCTGAATATGAATAAATTTGTTATGATTCCGAACAAATTATTTTTATGGTTGAAAATTGATTGTTTATAAATTATTTACAAAAGATGCTCGTAATTTTCAAAACGTGCAATTTTTAATTATTTCATCAATTTTTCTCGAAAAGTAAACTTTCTAATTTTTTTTCAGATTTTTAAAATGTTTTCTAACGGTTCAAAGTCGAGATTTAAAGTCCGACCTCCAAAGTTTAAATAATAAAATCATTGAAAAATGTCCGGAAACTTGGGGTCAAATGGGGCTCAAGTGAGAGCTCCGATTGTTCGACTGGAGAAAAAAAGTAAAAGTACTTGGATATTCTTAATTCATCACACGTATGAAAAAAAATCACAGAAAACTCTAGCGAATTTGCCAGACAATTCTACTGAAATATTAAATAAAAAATATTCCACAGAAAAAGTAATTTTTCTATACACCTTATTCTATTAAGGAATTTTCTATAGAATTTCCTCGGCTGAAATTTTCTAAAAAAATTTGTTCGATCTTCCCGACGAAATGAAAAAAACTCGGAAAGTTTGAACCGAGAACATTTTATAGAAAATATCTCAATAGAATGAGTTGTAAAATCGAATTCTATTGTTTTTTTTCTATAGAATATTTTCTCTTGACCATTCCAATAGAAATCCACTAAAATTGTCAAGCTAATTTGCTAGGTTTTTCTATTAATTTTTCTCGTCCACTCAGCGCGAAGGATTGTTGATACTCACTGGGACTGGTGCTACCGTATCCCTCGGGTCCATAATTAGAGCAGGAATCCTCGTCGAAAACTTGATAATTACTAGCTATTGGTCGCTGATAATTCGAACTCATTTGTTGACGAAGCCGAGTGACTGACGATGAGTTTTGATGATGCTCTTAATTTTTTAATTGACGAAGTGGCTCGAGTGAAGGTCTCATCGATCCACCTTGGTGGCAAATACTTGACTGGGCTGTTCAGTCAGTTGTTGAAGCCACGATTGAAGGCTCCCAGGAGTCAGCCAACCACTAATGCCATACGGATATGCATAGTGGGTATTCGGGTGGATTTATTAGTCATGCACAGGGGGAGGGGCGAGGTGTGCGTGGGCGGCTGATGAAAATGGTTGTGTTCATTATCGTTGAGCTGCGCAAGCGGACATGTGACGTCAGGATCATGTGTCGGAGGAGTTATCTGTTATATCGACACAAGCATAAACAAATTTTATCGAAAAATTTGTTTAGGTGTAAAAAAATTGACAATTTTGTTCGAATTCATTAGAATTTATTAGAAAAAAAATTTTGTTTCTTAAATAATTGATATGAAAAACATTATAAATTTTTATTTTTCCACATTAATTGTTCTCTTGAGAGTTTTTCTATAGAAATCTTTGATAATAAATTTTTCAATTTGTTGTACTCAATTTTTTTATTTCTCATTGCAAGAATGAATAATGTGAAAATCTGATGGAAAAAAATTCTGTTGAATTTCTACGACAATTCTATTTAAGAGGATGATTAGATGAAAAAATGTATATATTTCGATTTTTCAATATTTTTTTTCTTCACTTTCTTTCCCTAGAATTCTTCATACTAAATTTTCCATTTTCTGCTGCATTTTTCTTCATTTTTTATTGTAAGAATGAGAAATAAAAAAAAATCTTTTTTTTTTATCGTTATTTTTACATCGCTTCGACCCGGTTAGGGTATACTGCGATGATGATCAAGACTTTAAATGGTTAGATCGCACCATTCTACCCGGCCGGGATTTGAACTCGGAACCTTTCGCATGTGAAGCAACGAACTTACTCACTGCGCCAAGCCACCGGGCTTGAAAAAAAAAAAAAAAAAAAAAAAAAAAAAAAAATCTGATAGGAAAAATTCTATTGAATGTCTATTAAAATTCTCTTAGAATTCCTTTTTTGAAACCGACAATTTTTTTAATTACGTGTCTATCATTGTCCTGAAGTGACAATCCATCAAATTTTAATGAAAACCATCAAAGTTGACTTGCAATCCCATGTATAAATACGAAAACATCATTTTATTAAACAACAATGTTCATTCCATGACAATTCACAAATTTTTGTGATTAGGCCTCCAAAACCCGTCCAAATTGACATCCACTTGCACACAATTGCACTGATATGAGCTAAAACACTCCACCAAATCAAATCTCCCCATCATTTTCAATTTCCGTCTGGAATTATTGAAGTTTTCAAAATCACAGTCTTCATGAATAAATAAAATCCCCACAAAATGCGTCGATCAGAAGAATTCCCCCACAATAGAAATCCTCTGTAGGAACGGCTGCGCAGAGCACGAGATGACTTGATAATCCCCAGCAAGTGTCACGTTCTTGGGATACAAATTGAGCCTCCGAATTTTCTCGAGCAACGCTTGAGGAACGAAAGGCTTCCTCCGTGCTTCCTCAGGCTGAGGAGAAGATTTCGTTGTGTTTCTGGGCTCCGGCCCTTTGGCCTGTCCCCCAGAGCCCCCAGAGCCTTCTCCACCCTTACCCTCATCCTCCTCAGTCTCCACAACAGCCCCAGACCCCTCAAGACGCTCCCCACTGTCGTCAGTTGAACTCTCCCCAGAACTTTCACTGATGTCTTCATCAATAATCATCTCCACTGCACTCCTCTGCTTCTCCTCCTTCAATTTCATATCGACTAATCTGTCAATTTCGAACTCCACAGTCTCCCCCACCTGAGAATTCAGCTCCTCTTCGTCATTCTGGGGAGGAGTCGCAGGCACAAACTTCCCCATGACCGATTTTTTATCATTGAAGAGACTTTGAGCAGGCCTGCAGCAGCTCAAAGCTCCAGGATCTATGGGATGGGCCTCGGTGTTGAAGACATACCCACCAGCATCCACTACACACTGTCCCCACTGGGTCCTCACCACGTCCCCCTTCTGTCCATTGTTGTGAATGAAATTATCGGTGTCGAATAGGAGGTACAGGTATTTAGTCGTTTCAGCCAGGAAGAAGGACTCCATCCTGTCGGCTTTCTTGTGGTCCCTGACGTCGTTTATGGTGGCGTAGCCACAGGAGGTCTTTGCACTGTGTTGGAGACTCCTGAGGATGTCGACCTGTGGAGAATAGAATTTTATATTTTTTGAAGGGGAAAATTTAGATTTGATGAACTGAGCATTCGAATGAGTGACTAATTGCTCGTGTTTATTGCGTTCTGTTGTGAATTCAAGAAATGGAAACTCGGGAAATTCATGTCTAAACAATAAATAGAACTTCAATAGATTCATTATGGAGGTCCTATTGAAATTATATGGAGTTACTTTAAAAAATCTCACATATGGAAAAACTGAATGGATGAATTCAGAGGTTTCTTGAAGAAATTCTGGTGGAGTTCTACTGGAATTCCATGAGAAGTCTGGTGGAGTTCTAGTAAAATTCTGTCTGAAGATATTTGATAGGAAAAAATTAAAGCATTATTCTCTTGAGAGTTTTGCTATAAAAATTCTTGGGTATGAATTTCTTAATTTTGTTTAAATTCATTCCACAGAGTTCTAATAGAACTCCAATAGCGTTCTTACAGAGTTCCAATAGAAATTCAATGGAATTACTTTAAAAATTCTCACCTCTAGAGAAACTGAGTAAATTAATTTAGAGTTTTCTTGAAGAAATGCTAGTGAAGTTCTACTGGAATTCTATAAGAATTCTGTTGGAGTTCGACCACAATTCTATCTGAAGGTATTTGATAGGAAAAAATTAATGAATTATTCTCTTGAGAGTTTTGCTATAGAAATTCTTGGGCATGAATTTCTCAATTTTTCAAAGAATGCATTTTCAAGAGTTCTAATAGAACCCCAATAGCGTTCTTACAGAGTTCTAATAGAAATTCTTGGACATGAATTTCTCAATTTTCTCCCACTATAGTCCTTCATTTCACATTCCAAGAAGAAAGACTCAAAAAATGCCTCCCCAATAATTCCAACAGAGCCCCAATGGAATTCTCATAGAGTTCCAATACGAATTCTCCGAAAAATCTCCAGATATTTCTATTGAAATTTCCCCTAAATGTCAAGCAAAATTTAAAAAAGTGAATTCTCACTCACTCCAAACTATTTCAGATAAGGATTTCAATAATTCCAACAGAACTCCAAAAGAATTCTCACTGAGTTCCAATACGAATTCTCCGAAAAATCTCCAGATATTTCTATTGAAATTTCCCCCAAATGTCAAGCAAAATTAAAAGAAGTGAACTCTCACTCACTCCAAACTATTTCAGATAAGGATTTCAATAATTCCAACAGAACTCCAAAAGAATTCTCACAGAGTTGCAATATAAATTCTCCGAAAAATCTCCAGATATTTCCATCAAAATTTCCCCCAAACGTCAGGCAAAATTAACAAAAGTGAATTCTCACTCACTTCAAACTGTATCAGATAAGGATCCCAATAATTACAACAGAATTCTCACAGAGTTCCAATACGAATTCTCCGAAAAATCTTCAGATATTTCTATCAAAATTTCCCCCAAACGTCGGGCAAAATTTAAAAAAGTGAATTCTCACTCACTCCAAACTGTATCAGATAAGGATCCCAATAATTACAACAGAATTCTCACAGAATTCTCCAATAGAATTCTCACAGAATTCTCCAATAGAATTTTCACAGAGTTCCAATACGAATTCTCCGAAAAATCTCCAGATATGTCTATCAAAACTTCCCCCACACGTCAAGTAAAATTAAAAGAAGTGAATTCTCACTCACTCCAAACTGTATCAGATAAGGATCCTTGGTCGCCCTGTACAGGTACATAACCGACTCGATGAGCTCTGGTCTCAACGGATAGCTCTCTCTGTTGGTCCCGGCCTCCCCCTGGGCAATATTATAGAACTCCGGAGTGAACCCGTACTGCTTCCAGACCCTGTGATAATTATGCAGCGACTTCATGGCATCAGTTATTTCCCCAAAGAGACTCAGCACCCCAGGCCAATAGGCGTCCAGGGACTGGAAGACCGGCAGGGTGACCTGTCCCTCGGTCATGGACACCCACAGGTGCCAGTCCTCTCGTCTCAGGTACGTCTCGATGGCCCCCCTGTACTCATGAAACATATTCGCGAGGAAAGGATCCTGGAGGAGCAGAGTCCCCTTCGCCAGGTACTCGAAGTAGGAGTCGACACCAGCACCGATTCCAGAGTCGGTGGCTGTCCAGTGACCAGTCAGAACGTCCACGTGATTTCCAACGAGTCCAATCTTCGATCTGTAGAAATGAAGGGCTTTGACGGCGTTCATCGCCACTTCCTCGTAGATGGGATCACCAGTCAATCGGGACAATGTACCAAACTCCAGGATAAATGTGCCGATTCCTGCGGTGCAGGTGACACTGGTCTCACCATCAGGCACTCCGTACTCTAGATTCACGGTTCCGTAGGGCATGCCTGGGGGGGATGAAAAAATTACTCTGTTAAAAAGTAGGTGAAACGCTTTCCATCGGCAATGTATTTTGTCAAGCTTATGCCAGACTTGGGATTGGCTCAAGTGCTTAGCTTGAAAAGTTCTTTCTCGAGATCTTTTTCTATCTTCATTCTTAAAAAATAGTTTAAGGCCCGGGTGTACTATCTTTTGAATGTTATCTGGATTTTTTTTATCTTTCGTAATCCAACATTGTCAAGTGAGTGGTACGTCATGTAGAAATTCCCAAAAATTATATAGAATGATAAAAAAAATAGAATAAATTATGAACTTTTTCAAAGAGCGTTTTTAATTGAGATTCAGAATGAGTTGAAAAAGTGGAAATTACAAATATCTGATTCGCTGTGGCAAATTATCTGTTAGCTGTCATTTTCCATGGTGGATAATAACACACTAACTCCTCATGGGAAGTGATAGCTAGGTATCTCAATTATCAAAACAGTGGTATGTAGTCCTCTGCAATTTTTATGTGATAAAAGTGTGATTAAAAAATTCTCCAAAATATTACAACTTTTTTCAAAGAGCCTTTTCCGTAATAAATGTATCTGTGCAGTGTGGGAAAAGATTTACGAAATCAGTCTTCCCCCTGCATGATATTGGGTGACAGGCCGACATTTGTCACCGTAAATCAGATACATTTTTCAATTTCTTGTTATTCAACTTATTCTGAATATAAATTAAAAATGCTCTTCGAAAAAATTAAGAATTTTTTCTACTTTTTTTTGATTATTCATTCATAATTTTTCAAAACTTTTGCATGATGCAGGACTTAATTGACAGTTTCAGATGACGAAAGATGAAAAAAAACATCAAGATAACGTTCGAAAGATAGTACACCCGGGCCTTAAGTGAATTAAAAATTCCCACTCCTGTCCCATTCAATAATTAAAAATTCGGGAATTTTTAAGCATGGAATTCTGTTTTTTTAATTATTTAGCACAAAACCGGTTGTTTTATACAGCATATGCAATTCTGTAATAATTGTTTGTTAAAAAAAATATTCATTCATTTATAAATAGATTTTTTTAGTAAACAATTATTACAGCAAAAATATTTTGTGTTAATTTTTTTTTATCAACTTTTGTTTATTAACTTTTTTTATTGTTGAGAGTATTGATAAGAATAATAATTTCCCATTGAGTAGAATGAAAAATTATTGAGAAGTTTTGACGGGAGAAAATTTTGTCAATGGATTATTTGAAAACAAAAGGAAACAGCAGAATCCAAAGTCCAGAGTCTAATCAATTGAATTATAAGACGGATAGAGCAAAATAAGCTCATATTAAAAAAAAATATATTTTATATTTTATTAAATTACATTTTAATAAAATACAATTTTTTTTTATTTTTATTTTTATTATTTTCATCAGTACTCCCAATAATAAAAAAAGTTGAAGAAAAAAATTTTTTTTTGTTAATTTTCTGGGGAGAAGGCAATTACGACGATTTTGGTGAATTTATCGCAGTCGAAAAATGACTGTTTGACGCAATCCCAAGCAAATAAAAATTAACAAAACAATTTTTTTCGCTTGAATTGCGTCAAACAGTCATTTTCCACCTGTTTTATTTTGACACCCCCCGCTGTTTCATTTTGCCCCACTCACCCCATCTAATATTGCATTGACTTTCCAGTTTTTTTTATTACTTTAGCAACAATTCTACGATATATATTCTAAAATATTTGGGGTGGATGGAAATTATTTGCAGGAATCCTACCTGTGGGAGTGTCGAAGGCTGGCAGAAGTCGCCTGGCCATGTCCTCAGCCAGACGAAGAAGAGGACCATTGCAGGGCCAGCCTGGCTCCAGTCTCACTCCTGCCTTCTTCGAGAGGAGGTGGGCTGACAGGAGACCCCCAACGACTCTGATGTTCGTCTCGAAGACGGAGACATTTATGTTCGCCTTGAAGTCCTTCCTGGAAGAGATGATCTCAGCTACTCTCCGGAATTCCGTGTAGTTTCCCATCACTGCGAGGGTGTCCAGGGCGTCGATAAGCGTGAGGGAGAAACTCCCCCAGGTGTCGAAACCGTCGCAGCTCAGGGAGCGCAGCTCGTCGTAGGGGTAGGCGTACTTGAGGTAGCTGGAGTAGGCGTGATCGAACATGGATTTCACTTCGTTCTTCAGGCAGATGAGGTGCTTCTTCTGGTACTCGTGGTTAGCTTGGACCAGAGCCAGGATCGAGGTGAGCAGAGCGAGACGGCTGAAGATCATTTTCTGGGGGAGAAGGCAATTATGAGGATTTTAGTGAACAGGGAACTTGCATGCATTTTTTTTCAATTTTCTAATCTCAAGTTTGGGACCTGAATAATTCATTTTTCACTCACAAACGTTCGAAATATTGCTCATTGATTAATAATTGATTGTTAAAAGTGGAAGATCTCAAACGCTTTGAAATCGCTGATGACGTCACAGAGACGGTCGAGTGCTGGACCAATCGCAGAATGGCTGGAGCCGACCTACCCAACCTGGAGGTGCGCCTCGGCCAATGGAAGACAACAAGTCCCCACTCTCTTCTTTTTCGACCAATGAAGCGTCACCTGACCGTCTTCGTGACGTCATGACCGAAAAATTGGCCTCGAAAACGACTGATTTTCAATTAATTATCCACGGACGAAAAAATTTAATAGAAAAACCTATCGAATTCGTTAGAAAATTCTATTGAATTTCTATTGAACTGTTCTATTAGTTTTTGGCCGATTCTACTGAAATGTTCAATAGAAAATATTCAGTAGAGAAAATCAGTAGAATTCAATTTTTCTATAGGGAAGGATGGGGTAAAATGGACATTTTTGATTTTTAACTTTTTAAAAATTATTCATAACTCGGAAACAGATTTATCAATTGAGCTCAGTCTGTACTCATCACAAAGAGGAAGCATTGTTCTTTCTATTGGGAAATAAAATTATTCCATTTCATGAGCAATTCAACACGTGATGAATATTTCAAAAAAAGTCAAGTGTCCATTTTACCCCACCCTCCCCTATAACTTATTCTATTGAGATATTTTCTATAGAATTTCCTCGGTTCAAATTTTCCAAATTTTATCATTTGATTTTCTTGATGAGAAGAAAGGAAAAATAGAATGAAAAAAACTTGGAAAATTTGAGTCGAGCAAATCCTATAGAAAAAATATGAAAAGAATAAGTTATATAGAAAAATCGAATTCTGTTGACTTTTTCTATTGAACATGTCAATAGAATCAGCCAAAAACTAATAGAAAGTTTGATAGAAATTCAATAGAATTTTCTAACGAATTCGATAGACTTTTCTATTAAATTTTTTCGTGCGTGCCCATATAAATTCGTGAACATTCGCTATTAGATTATTACAAAGAACATCAAAGAAAAAAACTTGGAAAAATTCTGCCCACAAATTTTCATGACAGATATATAAATATATTAATAGTAACAACGGTGAAGATGATAACAAATAAATGAATACGAATACGTGAGCGACTTGTTGTCAACAATAAAATGTTCTGACAATTATTCATTAATTACTCACTTCTTTGTTGTCTGCGTAGCTCCAGGTGATAAACAGACAAGGTCATAACTGGTTATTTACATTAACGACTGTGTATTTTGTTTTCAATGCTTGTTCTTCCATTCATTTAACTCAAGATTTTGGAGTGTCGAGGTGCATTGTCACAGAACTGATGTTTCTCATGAATTCAGCGACAATGTGGGACAGTTGTCCATTCAAAACAGTCCACGTCGGAAAACAACAGCAATTCGAGGTTAGAGATGTACCAGATCAACACTAGAGTGCGTTAATTCGTTATTGATTACATTACAAAACCAAAAATGAATTTTAATTGCTCCAAAAATAGTTTTTTTGAAATTCTTTTCATTTCGTGATTTTGTGATGCACTTGGAAAGCAGTGGATATTGGTATAGTATACTATATAGTATATTTTTCCTGAACTGATTTGAATCTTGTAAAAAAATCTGGAGAATTGGGATTTTATTCGAATTTTCAATCTCGTTAATCTGGATTTATCTCTGGAGTGAGTGATTTTCGGGGAAAATGTCATAAAGCTTTCTTGTAGCTCATGAAATTTCCAAGAATAAAGGTTTTTTGGTATTTTCCCCTAAAATCACTCGTTACCAAGATAATTCAATGATTAATTAGTGAGGAGAATCGGCTTTTTCTGATTTTTCACAGCGAAATTCTGAATTTATCTGGAGGAGTATTTTAATAAGATAAATGTCAAAAAACCTTTTTTGTAGTTCATGAAATTTCACTCAAAAACTATCTTTTGATATTTTCCTCTAAAACCACTTATTACCGAGGCAATTTGTAATTTAACAAAATTTGAGAAATCAATTTCAGAACGGAATTATGAGTTTATCTCCAGAAGTAATGGCTTTGGAAGAGAACATCGAAGGCCTTTTCTGCAGCTCAACACCTGTAATTCAATTATCACGAAGAAGTGCGTAAAAAATGACTAAAATGAAGGAATTATTAACAAGACATTTTATTAACAAAATTACGTATGTAGGGGAGGGTGGGGTAAAATGGACACTTTAGACTTTTTAAAATTCTTCATAATTCAGAAACAAATTTATCAATTGAGTTCAGTTTAGGCTCGTCACAAAGGGAAACAATTGTTCTTTGTATTGAAAAAAAAAATTATTGAATTTGATCAACATTTCAACCTCTCATTAACATTTTAAAAAAAGTCAAAGGTGTCCGTTTTACCCCAACCTCCTCTATATTTCAGTGAAATAAATGTCTCCTCCTTGCCACAAAATACATAGAAATGAATACGTTCTACAATATAGAATCTACATCTCCAATAGTTTGAAATATGTCACAATATTGATTCATTTGGAGTGATTAAAATTGACTCAATCAATCTGTACAACGGTCTTTGGTTCATTCTGCAATCATCTCGGTCAACTGATTTTCCCTAGGTTTTTTCACTAGATTTCCTAATACTATTCCTGCGAATAAAATCAATCCTATCGTGCTGTTGGAGATGAACTTCCTGGCACAGTCTTTGGGATTGTTTATTTCCAACGTTGATATCTGCAGAAAAATAATGATTCCATTATTGGGATTATTTTAGGGTGATATTCACGAAAAGATGTTGCAGAAAAAATATTCACTTGTAATACCACAAGAGCTTCAAAATTATCGGGTATTTCCCGACAGCTTCGTTGCAAACAAACGAAAGAGTCAAGTTTTTCAGGCTAAAAAATCACGAGGGCGAAGTACGAGTTGACTTCATTTGTATGCAGGGAACCTTGAGAAAAATGCCCGATTAATTTTGAAGCTCGTGTGGTAGTCGGGGGATTATTTTTCCAATCCAAATGTCGGGCAATATAATTGGACCATGAGACGAAACTCACAATTGAGAAACGAAAATTGTATAATTAACACTCATTTCGAATAAAAATCCTCGGATTACCACAATTGAATTCAATCTGTCAGTTTGACGAGGGGTTAATTCGACTGCATGATGTTTTGTTTTTTATATAGCAACTACCAGAGAAAATTATCAAAAAATTATCAGTTGAAAACCCTGTAGCTTGTACCACGTGATGTCGAATGGGCCAATTATACTGCCCGATATTTGGGTTGGAAAAATAATCAGGTAAAAAAAATTAAGAACTGCTGCGAAATATTCAAAAGCTAGGAGGAAATATCCGAAATAAAACTGTCGGGTAGCCTCAAATACTGCGCTCTGATTGGTCGAAATCCGATTGGCAAAAATAATCTATAATAAAAATAATAATAAAAAAAATCACTTAAAAAATGACGAAAAAATCAACACAGTCCAATTTTTCTATGCAACTAACTTATTCTATTGAGATATTTCCAAAGAAATTCTTCAGTTCAAATTTTCCAAGTTTTTTATGTTCGATGTATTCAATTAAAGGAGAAGAAAACTCAAGTGGGAATAAATTAAGAAATGAATTCTGGTAGAAAATATTTAAATAGAAGAAGTTGTATAGAAACATGAAGTTCTACTGATTTTTGTCTATAAAATCGTCGGTTTTTGTCGTTTCTATTGGACGTTTTATCTGAAAGATTAGACTTTTCTACGAAATTTTTTCGTGCATGGATATTTGATGACTCACCTGGTTCACCAAGTGTCCAGCAACTAGGGTAACAGCTGTGTAATATGGCCACGTTTGATCGGACATTACGCCAGATGCGATTAAACTACCTATCATCGATGCTCCGAATCCAGATAAATACAAATTCGTTTTATCGCCAAATTTTAGTGCTGTGGATTTGATTCCCAGGAGGATATCATCGACTTTATCCTGAAAGTTAAGAATTGCTCGGTGAATTAAAGAAAATATAATAATTATGTGTACGAAATAATTTACTGTCTTTTTAATAATTGCAGTGAGACAAAAAATATATTCATTTTTTATTTATTCATCTCTCTGGTGTTACAATCTATCGTTATTTAATGATTAAATGACGTCAATTATATAAAATTTCTTCTGAACTCTTATTTCAGTTTTATTTTAACTCTGTTTTAATTAGTTAAGATCGAATATCACTGTTAGTCCTTACTTATTTGAAGACAAATAATTTTCTATTGAAGTTCCGTCGCAGTTCTACTGAAAAATTTTGTTTATTGATTTGAAAATTACGTCACCTCTATTGGGGATTTTTCAATGCATTCTTTCCTTCATGAATTATTCTTTTGAAATTTGTCCTACAGAATTTCTTGGGCATAAATTTTTCAATTTTCTTCCCCTGTATTTCTTCAATTTCTCGTTACGAAATCGTAAAAAAGAAACTAGGAAAATTCAAGCCCCAGAAGTACTTGTGGTCCTTTCAATTCTTAGAATTCCAAGAAAATAATGTAAATGAAATTCACCGTAGAAATTTTTTTATTAATTTTTTCTCACTTGTGAAGAATGGAATAGATAAATATTGTAGATTAGGTTTACCTGATGGGCATAAATAGTATCGTAGAGAATAGTCCAGCATATTCCAGCAGTATACAGTGGCAAGCAGATGGACCAGTCACAAGAACCTTGTATCGCTGACCATCCCAACAGTGCGCCCCAGTTGAAAGTCATACCGAGGATCAACTGAGGCCAGTACGTCACTCTTTTCATGAGCGGATAAATTATTACTAAACCTGAAAATCAGGAGATAAATCTCAATAATTTAATTGTAAAAATGTATGGGTGGAAATTTTAGTTGATCGCATGTTTTGTCTTTGCTATTGACGAAATTATATTGAATTTCTATTGGAACTTTGTAAAAATCCCCTTGAAATTTGGGTAGAATTCTATTAAAAAATTCTATTTTTTTGCGCCATTTCTATAAAAGATTATGCTACTTTACCGCGTCATTTTTTCGAGAGATATTGATGGCAAAAATTCAATAGATCTTGATCTTTTCTATAGAAACTCTTGGCCGTTAATTTCTCAAGCTTCTTCCGCTGTATATTTATTTGTTTCCGATAACATCCAAGAAAAAAAAATTGAAAATTCATCCCCAAGAATGCTCATAGAAAAATCAACAAAATTTTTTCTATAAACAAATAACAATTAAAAAACGCATGAGGAATTTGCATAATTTTTAATAGATTTTTAATAGAATTAGTGCAAAATACTAATAGAATTTCTCAATGGAATTGTAATACAACTCTCGTATAATTCTTATAGAGTTCTAATAGCAATTCAGTAGAATGTCTTAGAGAAATCGCTAGTTTTTTTTTTTTATTTTTTTTTTTATGTCCCGGTGGCTTCGTGCAGTGGGTAAGTTCGTTGCCTCACATGCGAAAGGTTCCGAGTTCAAATCCCGGCCGGTAGAATGTTGCGATCTAACCATTTAAAGTCTTGATCATCATCACAGTATACCCTAACCGGGTCGAAGCAATGTAAAATAACGATAAAAAAAAATTCTGAATTCACCATCCTCTCCACTTTTTAATATAATCCATGATGATTTCAGAGCCATTCAATGGTTCTCTGACTCAACTAAAGCCTTTCGCAAGGGACCAAGGTCCCCTCTCAGCAGATGACGTCTATCAAGGTCTATTCCGTATAATTATCATACCACTCGATCTATTTATCACCGAAAAATCCTTCAATAATTATGGATGTAAACATACAGACACGTACATGTTTTGAAAAAATTAGTTGTCAGATTTTCTGTTCACTGAATCCGATATCAGTTTGAATTTTTTAGAATCTAATTTTGGATCACGAGAGATAAAAAAGATCCAGATAACATTCGAAAGATAGTACACCCGGGCCTTAAATAAAAAAAACATTGCCCGAATGGAAAAAAAACAGACTTTTGTGATCTATAAATGAATAACTAATGAAGAAATAAATACATAAATGCATGATTCAACAAATGAATGAATGAGCGAATAATTGAATTGAATTTGATATTCATACCTAACGAACTAGCTCCAAGAAGAACGCTGTACCAATTCAGCTGAAGTAGAATAGCAAGTCCGACACTGAGTTGTCCCCCAAGGAAAACGAAGGACTGGAACTGCGTCACTTCACCAGCAACCAGGGGTCGATTTTTTGTTCTGGCTACCTAACATTCAGCATTAGAACCAGAAGAACTAGAGTGAGAGGTCTCGAAGAGGTCGATTACCTTCTTATCAATGTCCTGATCCCACATGTCATTGATGGTGCAGCCAGCCCCTCGCATGACGAAGGCCCCCAGGCCGAAGAGAGCCAGCATGTGAGGGTCTGGGAGGCACCCTGGGGCTGCTGCCATGGCGATGCTCCAGCTGCAGGGCCAGAACAGCAACCAAGACCCTATCGGCTTGTCAATCCTCATGAGCTTCATGTACGGTTGGATCTTTGGAGGCGAGAGGTCAACTATTCTCGCTGCCAGACTCAGCGATCTTTTTTGATGGTAATTCAACCCATTTTTCGGACTATTTACACTGTATTTGCGGTGGAGATCGATGGGGAGAACTGAAGCTGTATGCACATGCCTAAAAGGGTCCAGTGCTTTGTATCGGGAGTGTCTCCAGGGATTTGTTCTCAACAAATTTGGGAATACATGGAGTTCTTTGGATGATTTTAGAATCAACATTGTCAATGATCAACCTGGAAAATTAAATTACAGGGGGATTAATGGACTTCGAATGCGTTCTGCACATTTTTAAAAGTAGATGCATTCATTATAAATGATAACAAATGGGTAATTATTAATTTATTAATTTTTTAAAATTTGTAGGAAAAATTGAATTGTGATTGGTGTCAACAAATGGAACTTATTAAAGTCTATATTTATGAAAAAATTCATGAAATTGGATTAATTCCTTATAAGAAACTTGGGAAAAACATGAAGAAACATCAAAGTCATCATCATTATTGTAAATTGACAAATTATACTGAATAAACGCCTTTAAATATTTAAAAAAATCTTCCATTCGGACTCAAAAACAAAGAAAAATGAATGTTGTATCATGGAAACGATTTATATTACAGTATAAAGAAATCGATTGATTACGAATTTAAAAAGTCATTGCTACAATTTTTCATGGAAAAAGTGAATTTTGTAAAATTTTCAAAATGGAAAATAAAGTTCAAGCTCTATAAAGTTCAAATAATAAAACTATTACTCAACGTGCAATAACCCGATCTGAAATTAAACTCAGATGAAAGCTTTAAACTCTAATTACAGTTTTTGAGACAGATTCAAATAAAAAAAATTGTCACTCGATTCTCAGATTATTACTCTCTCACTCGTGTTTATTTCCGTCAATGACAATTTTTTGAGCGATCGTTGAAAAATCGATTTTAAGAAAAATATTAATTTTTTAAAACTTGCAGGAAAAATTGAATTGTGATTGTTGTCAATGAATGGAACTTATTAAAGTCTATATTCATCCAAAAATCCATGAAATTTGATTAATCCCTTATTAGAAAATTTGGAAAAACATGAAGAAGCATCAAAGTCATCATCATTATTTCCTACAATTTTTCATAGAAAAAGTGAATTTTGTAAAATTTTCAAAATGAAAAATAAAGTTCAAACTCCATAAAGTTCAAATAATAAAACTATTACTCAACGTGCAATAACCCAATCTGAAATTAAACTCAGATGAAAGCTTTAAACTCTAATTACAGTTTTTGAGACAGATTCAAATAAAAAAAATTGTCACTCGATTCTCAGATTATTACTCTCTCACTCGTGTTTATTTCCGTCAATGACAATTTTTTGAGCGATCGTTGAAAAATCGATTTTAAGAAAAATATTAATTTTTTAAAACTTGCAGGAAAAATTGAATTGTGATTGTTGTCAATGAATGGAACTTATTAAAGTCTATATTCATCCAAAAATCCATGAAATTTGATTAATCCCTTATTAGAAAATTTAGAAAAACATGAAGAAGCATCAAAGTCATCATCATTATTTCCTACAATTTTTCATAGAAAAAGTGAATTTTGTAAAATTTTCAAAATGAAAAATAAAGTTCAAACTCCATAAAGTTCAAATAATAAAACTATTACTCAACGTGCAATAACCCAATCTGAAATTAAACTCAGATGAAAGCTTTAAACTCTAATTACAGTTTTTGAGACAGATTCAAATAAAAAAAATTGTCACTCGATTCTCAGATTATTACTCTCTCACTCGTGTTTATTTCCGTCAATGACAATTTTTTGAGCGATCGTTGAAAAATCGATTTTAAGAAAAATATTAATTTTTTAAAACTTGCAGGAAAAATTGAATTGTGATTGTTGTCAATGAATGGAACTTATTAAAGTCTATATTCATCCAAAAATCCATGAAATTTGATTAATCCCTTATTAGAAAATTTAGAAAAACATGAAGAAGCATCAAAGTCATCATCATTATTTCCTACAATTTTTCATAGAAAAAGTGAATTTTGTAAAATTTTCAAAATGAAAAATAAAGTTCAAACTCCATAAAGTTCAAATAATAAAACTATTACTCAACGTGCAATAACCCAATCTGAAATTAAACTCAGATGAAAGCTTTAAACTCTAATTACAGTTTTTGAGACAGATTCAAATAAAAAAAATTGTCACTCGATTCTCAGATTATTACTCTCTCACTCGTGTTTATTTCCGTCAATGACAATTTTTTGAGCGATCGTTGAAAAATCGATTTTAAGAAAAATATTAATTTTTTAAAACTTGCAGGAAAAATTGAATTGTGATTGTTGTCAATGAATGGAACTTATTAAAGTCTATATTCATCCAAAAATCCATGAAATTTGATTAATCCCTTATTAGAAAATTTAGAAAAACATGAAGAAGCATCAAAGTCATCATCATTATTTCCTACAATTTTTCATAGAAAAAGTGAATTTTGTAAAATTTTCAAAATGAAAAATAAAGTTCAAACTCCATAAAGTTCAAATAATAAAACTATTACTCAACGTGCAATAACCCAATCTGAAATTACACTCAGATGAAAGCGTTAAACTCCAATTACAGTTTTTGAGACAGATTCAAATAAAAAAAATTGTCACTCGATTCTCAGATTATTACTCTCTCATTCGTGTTTATTTTCGTCAATGAGTACCTGCATTCCTCGAAAAATCGCTCCAAAAAAATATCTTCAACTCTAAATGACTCGGATCCCATCAGCACTGACAATCCCCCGAAATTTTTCGTTATTAATAAACTGTCATCATCTCACGAAATTAAACACTATCACAGTTCGCAAAAATAGAGACTCAATCTCGGTTCATCTCAAGGACCTTTAACCTCTCACCGTCATGTGATAAACCGTTCGCTCTGCCGATCAAGTACGCAATAACAATATGTAACTCCTCGTCGTACTGTTTTCAATGCTCCTTACCTAGCGTGCGAATGTCATCTCTCACCGGATAATTTCCAAACAACATTGAATTTATTACATAATGACTGCAGTAATCAATATCATTGCAACAAGAGTTGTCATATCGTGCGTTCGAACCCACGGCCACGAGAACCGCGGACTCACGCGGACTGCACGTTTTTGAGTTTAAATGAGTGAAGTTTGCTGCTTCATGCGTCAAACTTCATAGTGATGATAGTTATTTGACGAGAATGATAATTAAATTTAACGGGATTGAGCAAAATTGTTGTGGAATCACGAATTTTGTTGGTTTTTTACGAATTTTGGAAATTAAATTTAGAAAATAAAGTGATATTTAATTCGCGTTTCAGATTATTTTGAGATTACTTTAGGCTTTTGGCTGACTCTAGTAGAAAGTACAATGCACTTCCGGTTACCAATTTTCGTATTTCTATAGAGAAGTTCTTGGACGTAAATTATCTGGAAATTTATCAAATGAAAGGCTGATTTTTCTGCAAATTTAGAAAGTTAAATTTAGAGAATGATTTACTGATATTTAATTCACGTTTTTGAAATTATTTTGAAATTACTTGAGTCTTCTGTTTGACTCTAGTAGCAAGTGCAATGCACTTCCGGTTTCCAATTTTCGTATTTCTATAGAGAAATTCCGCGACGTAAATTATCTGGAAATATAGAAAATGAAAGGCTGATTTTTCTGCAAATTTAGAAAGTCAAATTTAGAGAATGAACTGATATTTAATTCACGTTTTTCAGATTATTTTGAAATTACTCAAATCTTTTATTTGACTCTAGTAGCAACTACAATGGACTTCCGGTTCCCAAATTTCCTCTTTCTACAGAGAAATTCCACGACGTAAATTTTCCAAGTTTTTCTCACTGCATTCGGTAAGGCGGCTTTCATGGATGCAATCGTCTTGCGGCGAATTTTTATGAAGCCCCCCTGACAAACAAAAGAGAATTGACTTCCATTCTATGAAACACGAATAAATGAATCATAATTGTCAAAATCCTTTAAGTCAGAGGAAAACAGAATAATTCTACTTTCTTAATATTGCGTTTACTAAGGTTTTCATCGAACAAAGTTGATTAGAATTAATAGCTAGAATTATGAGATAATCTCACATTTTTAACATTAAGGATAGGAGAATCTGAATGCAATATAGTGAAAATGACGATCGATTTTTTCACTTTGAACAAATAACATTAACATCCAAATACAAAATTTCTGATATGAATAAAAAAAAGCTTTCACTCAATATTCCAAATGAAGTTTTAATTTTTAATTTGGTGCTGATAACACGAGATGACAATATTCTCAGCACGGAATTATATTGATGAGATAAACAACAGATCAACTGAATTACCGTGTGAACCAACTAAAAATAGATAACAGTGTGGGCACGCACTTTTACCAGAGAATTCACACTCTAAAGTGTCTTCTAGAAGGAATTGAATTGTAATTATGATTAAAATCTTATTCAGTGAGCGTAGGAATTAGAACATGAGCAAATCATTAATTGTAATATGAAACTTCAACAGCTGATAAATTGCTACATATAATTCCCATCAGTCGTATCGCTCTTCGCAACGAGAATGATTATAAACAATTAATTAAAGAAACGAATATCGACTCACATTGTCATACTAGAAAAGGGCATCACCTGACTCCAGTAGTGCTCCAAGCACTGACGATCAATTTCCTGTTTCCAAACGAGCCTTTCCACGAACATTACGCAAAAAATAATTGAACACCGCTTCCCACAACTGTAGGCCCCCCAACCCCGCCAAAAAACCCCTCAATAATGGAGCAAAAATTCCCCAAACAATCCTCAAATCCCCGAGTGTCCGCGAGTGTGAAAATCGATCAGCTGTGATCCGTGTGTCCCCCCCCGAATACCTTCTCAAATTCTCACGTCGAAATAGCCTCCAAATTTCCTCAGAATGATATTCCAGAGGTTAACGACAGGTAAAACCAACTCTCCAGACCCTCAAATTAAATCCCCTGATTTTTCAATCATCAGAATTGCCGAGTAAATCTCGTTAATCATCTCCTCGACTGTTTAACGTCTTCGCGCCCCTGCCGATGCGTCGGACATACCGGACGTACTGCCAGACACGTCATATATTTCATAGGTATATCCCGCGTAATTCCAGGTCTACGACAATTTGCTAGAGTCGCTATGCAGAAGCCGGAGGTGATATTTGTGCTCGGGGGGCCGGGCTCTGGTAAAGGCACAACTTGTGCTAAAATCGTTGATAAAACTGGATATGTGCACTTGTCTGCGGGCGATCTCCTCCGTGAGGAGCGGGCCAAACCCGGCTCGGAATTTGGGGAACTCATCGAGGGACACATCAGGAATGGCACCATCGTACCGGTTGCAATAACTTGCAGTCTCATTGATCGGGCTATCCAGACGTCTAGTCCTCAGAAGAAGTTTCTCATTGATGGCTTCCCGAGGAACCAGGATAACCTGGATGGCTGGACAAAAGTAAGGTTATAGACGTAGCCCAGGGTTGGGGTAAAACGGACACTTTTGACTTTTTTCAAAATGTTGAGGATGGAAAAAGACGATGTCAAGTAATTTGGTGGATGTTTTGGATGTTTTTTTTCAATACGAAGAACAATTCTTTCCCTTTGAGACGAGCCTAAACTGAGCTCACTTGGTGGATTTGTTTCTGAGTTGTGAGGAATTTAAAAAAAGTCTAAACCTTCCTCTTTCTTTGAGGAATGTTGCAATTGTTTCAATAGAATTGGAGCAAACAAATAGAATTGACAATTTCCACGTATTTTGGATATTTTTTCTCCAGTGAAATGCTTTTCTACTTTTGTAGTCGAACGTCTGACCCATTTGACCCCAAGTTTGTGGATATTTTACAATGATTTTGTTATTTAAACTTTGCAGGTCTGGATTTGAAAACATTGGAATTGGGTTACAAAACATTTTAAAAATCTGAAAAAAATAGAAAGTCTACTTTTGAAGGATCATTCATAATAATAAAATTAAACTAATTAAATTAATTAATTGAAGTAATTAAATTTAACTTTAAATCTTCTTTCAATTTTCTTGTTCATGAAATTAATTAAATTAGTTTTTCATTTTTTTTTTATTTTGGGGGCTATTTTTTAGGGTTTTTTAAATACCCTTTGCTCTTAGGAGTTTTAGGTAAATAATGAAGTGACTTTTTCATTTTAGTTTACTGGCGATGTAATCGTGACAGGTTCATTCAATTTTTTGTTTTCTGTAATTTGGTTTTAGATTCAATAAATTGCGCTGATGGAGAACTCTTAGTAGGTTCGAAACGTTGGCATGGAGAGAAGTGTTTTTTGTGGTTCTTTTCTTCAATTATTTTCATTTCATTTGCTGTGATGACCGTTATGGCTGGGAGAACTGGAAGTTTAAGGAATAAATTAATTTTTAATTGTCATAATAATTGTAAAATCGTCTTTTTTTTAAATTACGAGCTTTCATTTGAGCCCAATTTGACACCAAGTTTCCGGATATTCTAAAATGGTTTTGTTGTTTAAAATTCACAGGTCTGATTTTGAATCTTAATATTGAATTGTTAGAAAACATTTAAAAAATCTAAAAAAAATAGGAAAATTTACTTTTGGAGGAAGATTAATGAAATAATTTTAAAAAATTGCAATTTTTGAAAATTACGAGCAATTTCTATGGATAATTTTTAAACAATCAATTTTCGATCATAAACATCATTTGTTTGCAATCGTAAAAAATTTATTCATATTCAGAATTTTCTCAGAAATCGATTTTTCATGCCTAAAAATAAGGTTTTCAATGGGTTAAACAATTTCATTCATTTATTTATAAACAACCAATATTTAAAGAACTAATAATTCTGTGCAAAATATCATCTGAATGACGCAGAATATTCATGATTTTCACTGGAGAAAGAGTAGCCAAAGTAGGGGAGGTTGGGGTAAAATGGACACTTTTGACTTTTTTAAAAATGTTAATGACAGGTTGAAATGGTGATGAAATTTAATAATTTTTTGATGAGCCTAAACTGAGCTCCATTGATAAAATTATTTCTGAGTTATGAGTAATTAAAAACAAGTCTAAAGTGTCCACTTTACCCCACCCACCCCTATTTGGATATCCTTAAGTGCCGGGGAATGGTGAAGTTCGTGTTCCTCGTGTTTCATGGGAGACAACAGAACACATTTATTTAATCGCCAGTGAAATACTCCATGTCAACAATATCGCCGAATATTGAAACATTTTCGTCGCAGTGAAAATCAGCAAAATTTGTCCCATTATCCTGCATGAACAACGAGTCTTCGCACTGATACGAATAACAAATCGCTGAATAATTTCAGATAACAAGCCTGTAAAAATCTAATTGGTATACGCGACGTAATCCCGTGGACACGTAGCCATTCCTCTTTTTCAATGCGCGATCAGACTAGGAAAATTAATTTTTTCTGAAGAAATTAACGGCTGACAGCTGTGAAAAATGATACTTTACCAAATGTAGGCATTGTTGAACGCGATCTATTGAGATTAATCAAATTTTAATTCATATATTAATTTTTAGAATTTCAGAATTTTCTCAAAAATCGGTTTTCTCACGATAACTAAAAGAAATTGTTCTCAATTTATTGAATGTTGGCTTTAAAAATTTAAGAGACTCAAAAAATTTAAAAGAAATAATTCTTGTTTTGATTTATAGAATAATTTATAAAATTTTGTGTTTTTCGAAAATGAGAATTCCGGATATATTTTTGGATATCATATTTCAGGATTAATTGATTCATGGGAAACGGGATTAATTCAATTATAGAGAAATAAAATAATAATCGACACTTGTGGGAAGTGTTCTTTGACCCTTGGGAGGGTAGCACTCGCCTTCACAACACTTAAATCTCTCCTTGAATTTCAGATTTCTCTAAATTTCCTGGGAAATATGCAAAAAACAAAGAGAATTTTAACGAGAATTCTCTCTAACTTTAATAGAATCCCAATAGAATTTCTAGAGAATTCCAATAGAATTTTCTAGCGAATTTGCCATGTTTTTATATTGAATTTTTTCTTACCTGGAAACTTGGAATTCCACTGACTTTTTCCCCTCAAGTCGAATTCAAAGTCTTTTTTCCGGGAAATTCAGCCAAATTTCTGAAGACAAACGCAATTTCCCACCTGTTTCATCCTATTTTTCAATGAAAGACGACAAAAATAGAGTAGGTGATTCATCAAACTGAAAAAAGAGACTTTTCATTCAATTTTTATATCTCTCTATATTATAAAAATCCAAATCGGCTTCTGGTGATAAAAATTTTGTACTCAAAATTAAGACTCCAAAATTAAGGGTCACAAGGGTGACATTAAGGGTCACAATGGTCAGATTGAGGGCCGCAAGGCTCGGAATATCTGTTTGTAAAATTATGAAAATGCAATTCGACTTCTGGCGATAAAAATTTCGCACTCCAAATTGCGACTCCAAAATTAAGGGTCGCAGGGGTCAGAATAAGGGTCATGAGGATCAAAAGATTAAGTCAAGAGATTAAGGGTCACAATGGTCAGATTAAGGGTCACAAGGCGCAGGATATCTCTCTGTATTATTATGAAAATTCAAATCGACTTCTGGTGATGAAAATTTCGCACTCCAAATTACGACTCCAAAATTAAGGGTCGCAGGGGTCAGAATAAGGGTCATGAGGGTCATATGAGGGTTACATGGGGGTTGGTGAGCGGAGCGAGCAGGGGGCGTAGCCCCCTAGTCGACCAATAAATCGCGCATTTCGATAAGAGTGCGGAACATTCCCGAATAAAACTGCTTACAAGAAAATCCCACAATGAATAAACAACGCAAGCTTAATTCGATATCGCCTCCTCTCCCACATCGCACTACGAATTCATTCTTCAGATTTCTCGAAAACCTATCCTCAACATCAATCCGACACCGTGAATTTATGAGTGAAATGAAGCCATTCGTGAATCATTGCGTAGAGATTTCGTAAGCATTTTTTCGTTGAGAATCGGGGGAATTCAGCATTCTAACAAGTTCAATGACTGTGGTATTCAAAAATAAAATCCAATCTCATCGCCTCATTTCAATAATTCCTCTTCACTATATCTGATTCTTTAGATGATTGTTTTTTCGTAATGACGTATTTTTCGTAAGGATTTGTTGCTCAATCCATTCAAGACTCATTTGCTTCTTTGTCTAATTAAACCTGGAGATGAATGATGAAGGGCAAGAATATCACAGACAAAGTCAATATTTAAGTCTGTGAAGAATTTTTTTCTATATTTTTATTTTATTTAAAACTATTTTTGCTGGAAAATTTCATTGACTACAAAGACTATTTTGAAATAGTTCTTGGATAGGAACGAGTTAATAAATTTTGATTTTTCTGAACAACTTATTTAGTTCCGATTTTTTCTGCAAAAATTCTTGGGCGTGGAATTTCCAATTTTTCTTCTGAATTTTTCCATCTGCAACGGAGAGAAATTGAGCGAAAAACGAAAGGCATAAAAAATCGCGGGCAAAGCGAATATGATTTCAAAAGAATTGTGATATAATAATAGAATGAATACCTTCCAGTTGAGTCGTTGAGTGTAACGAGGAAAAATTAATTCAAAAAGCCGAAAAAAATTAGTCATCGTTGATAATTCTGCCCATGAATTCTAACTTTGATGAGTGTATGAAATAGATCCATCAAATTCTTTCTTCAATTATTTTTTTAAAGAATAGTCTCTCGTTTGCCTAGGCACGCAGAAACATAAATTATTTATTACAAAAGTTTGACGTAATTTTTAAATTATTTCATCAATCTTCCTCCAAAACTAGACTTCCATTTTTTTTCTGATTTTTAAAATATTCACGTATGAAAAAATTTGGTAGAAAACCTGGTGAATTCGCTAGAGAATTCTATCGGAATTCTGTTGAAAAATTTTACGTGTTTTTGCGCTGATTCTATTGGATATTTGATAAGAAAAAGTGAATAGATTTCGAATTTCTGTTTGAATTTTTCTCTTGAGATTTTTTCGGGCATCAATTTTCCAAGTTTTTTCCACTCAGATTGGGCAATGCAAAAAAAAACAAAATCCAGCGGAAAAAACTGGGAAATTAATGTAAAATAATTATTAGTAATTAATTATTAGTAATCAATAGAATTATTCTTCTATTAGAATTATTGAGATTAATTAATAATTCTAATAGAAAAAAACTCAAGAGTAAAATTTAACCAGAAATTCAAAATATATTGACTTTTTCCTATCAAATATCCAACAGAATCAGCGCAAAAACCAAGTAAAATTTTTCAATAGAATTCCTATAAAATTCCAATAGAATTTTCTAGCAAATTCGCTAGGTTTTGAGATTAAAATTCCGACCTGCGAAGTTTAAACAATAAAATCATTGTAAAATGTCCGGAAGACTAGGGTCAAGTGGGGCTCAAATGAAACTGAACATCATCACTGGAGAAAAAATAGTCAAAGTACTTGAATATCCTTAAAGCGATCCAAGTCGATTTGAATTATTGACCAGTTTTCAATGAATATCTCGAAACCCAACCGAGATAGCCAAATTTTCCCCAAAACCTTTTTTGCAGCCCTCGATTCGCTCTCCAAAAAATGTCCTCACAAAAATCTCCCTATCTCCCTCAGATTCCGAGATATTCCTACTCAGCCAAGGGCTCATCCACCTCGAACCGATCTACCGCTTCGCTACTGAATTATCTCCAAATTTTTTCAATACGTCAGTACATCATTCCTTCAAATTACGTAATTCCGCGCTGGAAATTTTCCTCCTCTCCAGAGGGCAATGGCTGCTTCGAAAAATACCACGAAGTACCTTGAACAATCTCCTCCTTAAGAAATAAAATTTTTATCAGCTCCACTCGACTCCACCTGCCCCGCAATTCCATTTTTACAATAATTTTTCGACTTCTCTCTCTCTCTCTCCAGGAAATGTCCGATAAGGCTATTGTAAAAGGAGCGATTTATCTGGAGTGCAGTGCCGACGTGTGCACCCAACGCTGCTTGAATCGTGGCCTCAAGGGTAGTGGTAGGAGTGACGACAACATGGAGTCACTTATCAAGCGACATGAAACCTTCATCAAGGACACAATGCCAATGGTCGAGCATTTTAAGAAGCTCGGATTGCTCTATCGATTCGACTCCGAGAAATCCCCGGACGAGGTATTCGCCGATGTCTTCGAGAAGCTGAAGGAAATCAGCTGGGTCGACAAACAATGAGCTCACCACGACTGACGATTTCAATGGGGTATTAATTATACATTAGATAATTGTTCAAACAATCATGTAGAATTTTCTTTACATTTTATTTCTTTTTGTGGAATTTTTTATTGAGCCTGTATCATGTTTCGGCTAGTGAACTCCTGACGGTAAGCAATATTTTTGAGGTACTTACAAACATTCCTTGTTCAGAGGCGCTAAACTCAAATGCAGAGATGACATTTTTTAGTCAATATCAATGAAAATCGCGGAGACGATTAATGTATTACGATCATGTTTGAAGAGCGAGGGGAACAGTTGATGATTATTGTAATGGAACATGCAGTTGCAATGTGAAATATATATTTGTGGCATTGAGAAATTGAGTTTTTATTGAACATTTTTCACGCCTTTCAGTATTTTTTTCTCCCCACGTCTATTCGGCAGAAAAATTTGCAGTTTTCCAACGATTTTTCTTTGGATATCTTCGGCGAAGCTATCCTGTGACCACTATATTCTCTGAAAATTGAAGGACATTTTGGGGTTTAAGTTTCGTTGTGAATTTTGCTGAATTAAAGAACTAATTGGAAAATTGAAAATATGGAATGGAAAAAGGAGCGAATTCGCTAGAAAATTCTATTGGAATTCTATGTTGTGGAGAGGATTTCTATTGAATTTTCAACTTGTATTTTAGTTTTGGCCTCAGGAGCACACTTTATTAATGTCTACAATCAAATTAAAACATACAAAATAATTAACAGTTTAAAATCTATTAAATAATTGATAATAATTAACAGTTTAAGGCCGAGGTGTACTATCTTTCGAATGTTATCCGGATTTTTTTTATCTTTTGTAATTCAAAATTGTCAATTGAGTGGTATATCATGTAGAAATTCCCAAAAATTATGATAGAATGATTAAAAAAATGGAAAAAATTCTGAACTTTTTCAAAGAGCGTGTTTAATTGAGATTCAGAATGAGATGAAAAAAGTGGAAATTACAAATATCTGATTCGCTGTAGCAAATTATCTATTAGTTGTCATCTCCCATGGTGGATAACAAAACACTAACTCCTCATGGAAAGTGACAGCTAGGTATCTCAATTTTCAAAACAGTGGTATGTAGTCCTCTGCAATTTTTATGTGATAAAAGTGTGATTAAAAAATTCTCCAAAATATTACAACTTTTTTCAAAGAGCCGTTTTCGTAATAAATGTCTCTGTGCAGTGTGGGAAAAGATTTACGAAATCAGTCTTCCCCTGCATGATATTGGGTGACAGGCCGCCATTTGTCACCGTAAATCAGATACATTTTTCAATTTCTTGTTATTCAACTTATTCTGAACATAAATCAAAAATGCTCTTTAAAAAAATTAAGAATTGTTTCTACTTTTTTTTTATTATTCATTCATAATTTTTCAAAACTTCTGCATGATGCAGGACTCAATTGACAATTTCATACGACGAAAGATGACAAGAAACATCGAGATAACGTTCGAAAGATAGTACACTCGGGCCTTAAAATATTTTAAATTCTTAATTATTTTGTATGTTTTAATTTAATTGTAGACATTAATCAAATGTGCCCTTGCGCTATTCTATGGCACATTTGATCGGAAAATTTCAATATATTTCGAATTTCTGTTCGAATTTTTCTCTTGAGATTCTTTCTATTAGTTCTACTATTAGAGATTAGTTCTAACATTGGGCACAAACGTTCTAAATTTTTTTCCGCTTGATTTTGCTGCGTTTTGCATTGCAGAATCCGAGTGAAAAGAACTTGAAAAAATGATGACAAGAATGCTTATTCTTGTAGAAAAATTTCAAGAGAAAAATCCAAACGGAAATTCGAAATCCATTGACTTTTCTTATTGAATACTCAATTAAATCAGCGCAAAAAACAAATGGCATTTTTCGATAGGATTCTAATAGAAATCCTATAAAAATCCCACAAAATTTCGAGTTCTACTGTTATACAGAATATAAAAACAACTACACTCGTGCTAAAGTGTTATAGTTTACATTTGTTAATTGATTCATACATTAATTTGTTCATGATATTTCCTGTTCGATAAGCAATAAACGAAATGAGTGGAAAATGTTATTAATTGTTTTTTTAAATAAGAAAGTACGTGAAAGGTTCGATGGGGTCGTGAAGGGAAAAATTCACAACTATTTCGTCTCCTATAAGAGATGAATGAAATTACATAAATTTAGCAAAAGCCATTTCTGGAATGCATGGCGATGCTCGGGGCAGCAACACTGTCCCTATAATACAGCAGCTGAGAATTACATTCTGGCTTGTGGGGTATTGGCGGCCACAATCGATTCACAACCTCAAGTTTTGCGGTACATGCTCTCACCACCAGGAAGTCTAACCAAACGGAATGGAAGAAGAAGTTCCCGGGTTCGAGGTCCGGTCGGACCGATAATCCAAATCAATTTTTCCACATAATGTTATGTACATCTGGAAACTTCTGACAATTTTGAAATCTTTCTCCGCTGTTCATTTTCTATTGCAAATGGTTCCGATGAAAAAAAAAAATTCTCTGTAAGTGATAGAATATTTTGGAAAATTCAACTCACTTTGTTTATCTGCAATTGTCAGAGAATATTTTGTTATTCGATGGTTTTGTTATAGATTATGCAAAATGAAAAAAAATGGGAGTGGATGTAATAAAGGGGCGAGGGCGATGAGAATAATTATTTTCCGTGATATGTTAATTATTAATACGATTAGAGTAGATTTATTTTGACTCTCTGAAATATCGTGCTATCAATTACAAAAGTCTATGCAGGAAGGGTTTGTCCCCAAAACTGTATACGTCATATCCGCTATCCAAAGTCTGCTCCCGAATTTTTCTCCCGAAAAATCTTTGTTTTATGCGAAACAAGGGATAGTAGTTTTTCGTTTCGGCTGTCTAATAATCACAGACAAGAAATGAACCCTTAAATGAAACAATAATAATGATATGATAGCAATCTTGTAACTTAGGGATAAAATATTTGTTGATAAATTTTCCTCTGTATGAGATATTTTGAGCCAAATATTTCGTTGCTGTCGAAAGCAGAACAATTATTCATGTTTGAGACTTTCAAATTCGAACCAAACAAATTCTGTTTTGGCAATTTTCAACTAGCGATTTTGTTGGCAGAAACAAGACTTGTTTCATTCATCTCTTATAGGAGACAACGTGTTTGTTTTTCTCTCAGTGTGGGCTTGTGGCTCAATTTGGCGCAGCGTGCAATTCACAATCTCAAGTTTGCAGGTTCGAGTCCCGGTCGGGGCGATAATTCACATAAATTTTTCATCACAATTTTCCACATAATTTACATCTGAAAATTCTCCACAGTTTTGAAATCCTTATCCAATATTTCATGGATAGAATATTTTCTGAACATTATAGAATATTTTGGAATGTTCAATTCATTGTTGCTCATCTATCATTGCCAGAGAATGTTTTATTATTCAATGGTTTTGTTATAGTTTGTGATAAATGAAAGAAAAACTAATCAGAAAATTGAAATTTGGCTTGTGACACAAAGGGGGTTAGCATGTAATTCACATTCTCGAGTTACCAATTTCGAGCTTCAGCAAGACTGAAAATCTACACCATTTTCCAGTGTCCATTTTCTATTGCAAATATATTCCACGAACAAAACATTCTCTGAAAGTTTTAGAATAGTTCTAGAATTTTCAGAGAATATTTCGGAAAATTCAAGGCATTCTGCTTATCCATCATTACCAGAGAATATTTTATTATTGAATTGTCTTGTCATAGTTTATCCTAAACACAGAAAATTCAAATTTGTCTTGCAGCATGTAATTCCCAATCTCAAGTTCCCGGATTCGACACTCGGCCTCCCAAAAATCCACACAAGTTTTAACCACAATGTTCTCCATAATATTCATAAGAAAATTCCACTTAATTACCTCTTCGCGACCGCTCGCCCGAGAAAACTGCTGACATTTGAAATTCTGGAAAATTCACCGAAAGTCATCTACATATTCATCACGACATCGAGCGAAGTCTAAAAAAATCCTGTATATTGATCTCTCGAGCGCCAAAAATACCGCAACCCGTCAAATTCAATTATCCTCGCGAATTAATCCCCAAAAACCCAAATGCCTCGCGTTTACTGACCCTTCCACTAAAAAAACGAAGGCAAGTCACTGCTTGAACTTCACTGTCTCTGTTCGATTAGGTTTGATGACGATCATCGCGTACCTTATTCCGGGTTCGTGTCGTTATTAATGAGTAATTGGATTTGGCTTCCTCGGGTTTGCGTTTATATTTACCTGCAGTTAGCCTTTGTTTATGCCGTTTTCGGGTCATTGCAGTATACAAAATGTTTTTAGACCAGAAACACTGAGAAGACAAGAGTTTCTTGAGAAGCAATTGGCTCATAAAAAAAAAAAAACGACTTCTCAAATCAATTCAAGTGGCTTTTGCATTAAAATATTTTAGAATTGAGGCTAAAATCCAATTAAATGAATTAATTCAGCAGCAAAGTGGTAAAGCGGTTTAAGTCGACTTATCTCCCAGTTGAGTTTTTGAGGAATACTTCCGAATCTAAGGGAGATAGCGAAATTTTCATCATAACATTTGTTGTAGCCCTTAATCGGCTTTACAAAAAAGGTTATAATAAAAATTTTGCTGTCTCCCTTAGATTCCGAGATATTCATTGAAAACTGGTCAATAGTCAAAACTGACTTGTACCGTTTTACCATTTCGCTACTGAATTCAATTTTACTTGATTTGAGAAATCGCTTTCTTGTCATCGAGAAATTGTCCTCGTCTTTAGGACAAGTCCAAAATGTCTTGACGAAAGTTTTCTTCTTCTCACTGCAAAGAATTTTGCTCAAATAGTTTTCGGACGCAGTCATTTCGGATCAAAAATCACTGGTCGAATAGTTTTTCGACCGAGTGACCCCCACCCCACGCTCACCATGCCATCAATCGAAATCTAAAAAAATCCCGCATATTGATCCCTCGAGCGCCGAAACTACCGCAACGCGTCAAATTCAATAATAATCCTCGCGAAAAATCCCCAAAAACCCGAATGCCGGCGTTTAACTGACCCTTCCACTGAAAAAACCAACGACGAGTCCCAGCTCGACCCTTGCATTGCCGAAAAAAAACGCATCCCGACCTTTCTACAGGGCCATGTGCCGAGGCCACGAGGAAAGTGTTGAATGGAAAAAAAATCCAGTTACAAAATAGACTTTTTCATTATTATGAAACTTGGACGAGGAGCTTTCACACGTTAATGGTTCATTGACCTTTCACCATTCGAGTTCAAAAGAAATCTGGCACAGCATCGTTAATTTCACGTACCAACCCGAAAATGCATTGCCCAATTGTACGTTGGTGAGAGCTGGAGTCACAATAACGACTGGTTTTATACCTCATTGCTCCTGTTAATTCGATGTCTGTATTAAGAAGTCATCATCCGCCCCGAAATGTAACTCATCGAGTGAAATAGCAAATTAAATTACAGTAACCAGTGTGAAAAATTAAACATAGATTTGGCATATTTTTTTTTTTTCATTAATTGAAGCAGTTGAAAGACCTGTGACATAATAGTTGGCCAGAAATGGCGTAAAGTGGTGGTTAAAATCTTAAAATATTACTTCTAAAAACGGCATTGGCACTGGTGAACTGAACATTTAACAGTTTTTAATCTCAACCACCAATAATAGACGTTAATGGATTACTGAAGACGGAGACAATAGATAGAGATAAAGATCCAAGGCGTCGGGACGCTCAGACCGAGGCATATATACTTCCAATGTTTCTCTTTCTGCCCCGCCATCATCATCGAGTCGAGCAATATATAAGCGAATCCGGCATTCTTGGCGCGAACAGTTGACGTTCCGACTTCCAAATTGTTGTGATCGATATCAATTCGGGGGAGATTTGACTTTCTGCGGCACATCGCCAGCGCCAGAGGATTTGTTTTATTCTTCCCTCAGTTTTTTTTTATTAAATCATGAAGTTTGTTTTTATTGTCGGGCTGTGGCTCAATTGTGGTGGTGCGAGTGATGTTAGACCGGAAGAGACTCTTCTGAGGGTGATTACGGAACCTCTGGGATTTCCTAGTGATAAAACGTCGCATGAGTGCTGGAGGGATGGGGGATTGTATGCCGGGGCTTTGCGTAATTATACACCCTGGGCGCTGCAGAGTAAGTACTTTAGGAATTTAAAAAAAAGTTTAGTTGCGAAAAAATGATTTTTTTTAATTTTTAGTCTCATGCAAACGACGCGAGTTGGACTGTTCGGTGGACAAACTGAGCACTTTTTATTCTTTTTTTTTTCATTGAAAAAAAAACAGCTTTCAAAACTTTTCAACTTTCAAACTTTTTTTTTTCTTTTTTCGGGTTTTTGGAGAGGGGCAAACAAAATGAAAAGTTAATCTTCACTTCGGTATTTGAAAACAAGACTTTTTTCAGTTGCGAAATCATCAATTTTTTGAATTTTTAGTCTTTCATGCAAATTACACGAGTTGGACTGTTCGGTGGACAAACTGAGCGCTTTTTATTCTTTTTTTTTTCATTGACTGTTGCATCTGTTTTTCAATTACTATTTTTTGAGAGATAGAAAGGGTTTTTGGAGAGGACAAACGAAATGAAAAGTTCATCTTCACTTCGGTATTTGAGAACAAGACTTTTTTCAGTTGCGAAATTATCAATTTTTTGAATTTTTAGTCTTTCATGCAAACTACGCGAGTTGGACAATTCGGTGGACAAACTGAGTTTTTTAAAAGTTTTTTAAATTATGTGACTGTTGCATCTGTTTTTCAATTACTATTTTTTGAGAGATAGAAAGGGTTTTTGTAGAGAAACAAAAAAAAAATGAAAAATTAATGTTCAACAATTTTTGGAGAAGAAATCTGAAGATAATAATTCATATCGAAGATAAAATCTATCAATTATTATGATATATCTTGGACGTTACAAAGTACTTCAGGTATTTGAAAAAAAGATTTTTTTCAGTTGCAAAATTATCAATTTATTTATTTTTATTCTTTCATTCAAACGCATGTAGGATAATTCGGTGGAAAAATTGAGTGTTTTTTAATTTATTTTTATAACTATGTGACTGACGTCTGTTTTTTAATTACTATTTTTCAATAGAAAAGAAGATTTTTTGTAGAGAAACAAAAAGAATGGAAAAATTAAAATTAAATTTTTGTAGAATAACTCTTAAGATTTATATTGAAAATTAAAAACCTATCGATTTTTTTTGTACTCTGGGGTTTTGCGTAATTGTATATCTCGGACGCTAGAAAGTAAGTACTTCAGGAATTTGAAAAAAAAAATTTCAGTTGTAAAATTATAAATTTTTTATTTTTATTTTTCAATTCAGATTTTATTGCACGTGTAAAAAAATCAATTAAAGAACTGGCATTTTATTAATTAAACGACCCATTTTATGTATTTATGTGAGTTTGGCATCTGTTTTTCAATAAACATTTTTCGCCAGAAAAAAATTTTTTTTAGAGAAACAAAAAAAATTGAATAATTGAAAAATCTATTGATTTTTTGTGTGAGGGAGCTTTGTGTAATTAAACCTTGGGCGTTATAATGTACCTCAAAAATTTAAAAAAAAATTTTCATTTGCAAAATTATCGGTTTTTTATATTTTTATTTTTTCATTCAAATTTTATTGTACGTGTAGAAAAAATCGATAGAAATCTGAGTTCATTTTATTTATTTCTTCATTTTTTGAAAATTATGAGTTTGGCATCTGTTTTTCAATTAATATTTTTCGATAGAAAAAGAGTTTTTTCAGAGAAACAAAAGAATTAAAAAAGATAATGTCCAAGAATTTCTATAGAATAAATTTCGGGATAACAATTCATATGGAAAAATTGAAATCTATCGATCTTCTGTATGCGGAGACTTTGCGTAATTGTAAAAATAAACCTTGAACGTTACAAAATACTTCACGAATTAAAAAAAAAAATTCCATTGCAAAATTATCAATTTTGTATTTTCATTTCTTCATTCAAACTTCATTGCACGTGTAGAAAATTTCTATAGACAAACAGAGCCGATTTGATTTATTTATCAATTTTTTAAATTATGTAACCTCGGTACCTCTTTTGAATTAGTATTTTTCAACAAAAACAAATTTTTTTTTTTCAAAAAACAAAAAAATTAAAAAAATTATGTCCAAGAATTTCTATAGAATAAATCTCGGAACAATTCACATCGAAAAATAAAACTCTATCGGTTTTCATTTCTGTGAAATGAAATAAACAAATTGTTTGATAGAATTGTCTTCTATTACGAGTAGTTACCGGACTTCTAGTGAATTACTCCGATATAAATCAGTCATCGATCTTTCCTAATCTAAAACTGCGTCGCGAATACTTTTGATGATATTATTTACATTGTCGAGAGCCACCCGATGCAATTTATGGAAGTAGAAAAAAAAAATATGACGACGTAACAATATTGCGTCGACAAGTTGACTTTAAGTAGGTCGGATTAAAATGACTGACCTTGCACAGGGGTTGACTCTGAGATTACTATCAATGTAATAAACTCAAGTGCATTATTAATAGACATGTATTATAATTACGGTGAAGCTTAATTGATTTTGAACAGTTATTCATCTCCACGAATTGAGTATCTTTCATAACAATTAATTCTCGAGCCGCTGGAATGTTTGCGAAACTGAAAATTCTTCGATATTGATATTGAAGTATTGCGGGTAACTGATGGTGAAGGGCGATTTATAGTATTTATGGTAATGGTGCAGCATGCGGGTAATATAACATTGTTATCGCGAAAATTTATCGGTACACTCATTGTGCAAGATGACCTCACAGTAATTTCAGGAAAAAAAATCTCCCAAGTTTTCCTGCACTATTTATTCAAGTATGGAAACATTGAATGGAAAAACGATTTTGCTAGACAATTCTATAGGATTTCTATTAAATTTTCTGTAAAATTTCCTCGCCTTAAACTTTCCAATTTTTTTTTTAATTCTATTTTTTTTTCATTGAGAAAATCACACAAAAAACTTCGAAAATTTGAGCCAAGGAAATTTTATTGAATATTTTGAAATCTATTGAGATATTTTCTGTAGAGTTTCTTCGGCTCAAATATTCCAAGTTTTTTGTATGATTTGATGAAAAGAGATGAAAAGAGAAGAAAAATATAATGAAAGAAACTCGGAAAATTTGAGCCGAGGAAATCTTATTGAGAATATTAAATTCTATAGAGATATTTTCTATTGAATTTCCTCGGTTCAAATTTTCCAACTTGTTTGTTTAATTTTCTTGATGAAAAAAAAATAAAAATATAATGGAAAAAAGTTGAAAATTTTGAGCAGAGGAAATTCTATAGAAAATATCTCAATAGGATAAATTTTATAGAAAATTGAATTCTATTGACTTTTTCTATTGAATGTTTTCTATCGAACATTTCAATAGAATCGGCCAAAAACTAATAGAAAGTTCAATAGAAATCCAACAGAATTTCTTCGCGAATTCGCTAGATTTTTCTATTAATTTTTTTTTGTTTAATTATTCTTGAAAATTACTCTCGAAATTTCAAAATTGTATAGAAGCAGAAAAGGAATTATAGGAAAAACCTAGCGCTTTCTGTAGGAAATTCCATTGAATTTCTATTGGAACTCTGTAAAAATTCCAAATTCCCTTGAAATTTGATTCGAGTTTTATTTAAAAAATTTCATTTGTTTTTAGCGCCATAGGAGAATATGAAAATTTAATGTGCCATTATATTTAGAGATATTTGATTTTAAAAAAGTCAATAGATCATGATTTTCTATAGAAATTCTGCGGCGTAAATTTGCTACTTTTATTTCCGCTGTATTTTCATTTGTTTCTCATAATAAAATCTAAGATGTTCTCTTCGATTTTCTAATATCTTCAAAAATCGCACAGAAAACTTGCATAATTGTTCATAGAAATATGCGCAAAAAATAGATAGAATTTAAAAAAATTGAATTCTTATAAAATCACAATGGAATTTCTCCGAGAAAGGACTAGGTTTTTCTATTACATTTTTCCATTCGTGCACCGAAAATGCATGAAAACTAAATAGAATCATCAATTTTTATGATGAACTTGACAGTTCACACTATTATCTATAAATACCGATAATCGCTCAACATTAAAAACTCATTTCCGTAGAAATTCCAGAAAGACTGAAAACATTCCCCAAAATATTTGGTCTTAAATTCATTTTTTCCAACTCACGTAATCGAAGATCATTGACCGCTCGAGAAGGTGAAGTAATCAGGGCAATTATCGGACTCTTGTATCTTCGTTAGTAACGTCAAGAATAATTTGCCTGATATCTCGAGATTGGAGTGGACGTTGATAAGGATCAGGCCAATGGGCTAATTCAATAATTCAGAAGTAATGTGATGTAACAGATAAGTCGTGAGTTGTTTAAAAATATATCGGCTTGGACGGGATGTTGCGAAATTTTTGGCAACACTTTTATTGGCGATCTATAAGAATTCTACAGTCGACTCTCCCTAGTTCTCCATATCTCTGGCTCGTCGGGCGTCACTGAGCGGAGGGGAATGGTCCCCCCACTACGCGTGTGACGTCACGGAGGGGAAACATTGTAGACGACTGCGGCGTTCTCGCTTCAAACGTTGCGCAGTCTCTGTCGTTAAACACGCCCCTTGCCCACTGGGAGGGGCAATCTCTAGCTCTCCGCTCCGGAAATGTCGAGCCCCAAATGTGGAGAGCGGGAGGGTTGACTGTATAGGAATTCTGAGCCCAGTGTTGCCGATTTGGCGACTTTGTCACCAACTCTGATGTTTTTAGATGATCAGCTAGTGACGAAAATTTTAAATTCTCACCAGTGACAATTCTGGTGACATAAAAAAAGTGACTTATTCAGTTGAAAAATAACTTCAAACGTATTTTTTGTGAGGAATATGAAGATTGAGAAAATCCACGGTTGTACTGAGAAAAATGGCACAAGACAAAAACACATTCTTGCTTCTAAGAGTATATTAGTGAGGATGTGATGCGTGAAATGTTAATGTATTTTGTTAAATACATTGTGACATGTAAAATAGTATTCATCATCTTATATGATCATACATATATATTTTTTTATGTAGTTTCTTCTGCTCGTGAGTTATTTTATATAATTTCACTAAGCAAGTGTACCGTATCTTCATTTCGTTGAGTGTTTGAGAATTAATAAAAAAATGTTCATACTTACGAATTTTTTTTCATCTGGTGACTTTCAACTTTTAATGGTGTTTTTTCCGCATAACGCTGCTGACACCTCATAAACCCGAGTCGGCAACGCTGTCTGGGGCATCAATTCGCCAAAAGAAAAGAGAATAGACAAAAGAAAAAAAAAATTTGGGCCCAAGAATTTTTATAGAACCAGAGATGGGCATCAATCCTCCGATTCTTCAATATTAAAGTAATTTCCGAGTTCATTGATCACGTTTTAAACATACTAATCTAAATTAACAAATAGTAAAATAATTGATTACCTAAATTTCCAAGTGATGATGAATTGAATATTTAAAAATATGGAACTAAAAAAAATTTTCTATCAAGTAGACAATACAAAAATTCTCACAAGGGATTTGCGATTATCCAAATATCGTCAATTCCTACCTCAATTACTGATTAATGAATGATTCGACATTTGACTATTTCAATTGATGATGAGTTCAATAATTGAAATTTAAGAATTTAATTGACTAATTGACTACTTGATAATTCAACAGTAATTGTGGACGTCCGTATGAAAAGGGACCATTTTGTCGATTCTATTTTCCGAGATATTCACGTTTTTTTCTTGCCAACTCCCATTTAAACCCATGTTAAATTATTTTTTCGATCGTCTATAGCGTTGTCACTCTTTACGCTATCAAGTTCATTTTTGGCTCTAAATTTGCAGAACCGGATCAAGATTATCGGCATATACATAACTCCAATAGTGCCAAAGTGGTCCCTTTTCATGCGGACGTCCACAATTATAGTTTATCGATATGGCTATCCCTGTATAGAACATTCAGTTCCCTCTAGACTGTCATGGAGTCAGGTTCTAGTCAAGTTTGGATAAGGTGAATTAGATAATGAATCAGAATAAAGAAAATAACAGCAAGATTGCGGATTAAAAATTAAAAAAAAAGAGAATTGAGGTGAATCTTACAAGTAAAAATAGTGTTTTGCAACGATTAAATAGTGGAGAGAACATAAATAAATGTGGTGATCATTTATGTTGGAATTTATGTTGGAAGTGCGTCACTCAGCGCTGGGGAAGTGGAAAAATTATAAAGACAAAATCCACGAATTCGCTAAAAACCAAAAACCCCTTGACAAGAAAAAAATTTTCTTGATAAAAAAATTGGGTGATTATAAAAATAATTAAACATGTATCGAAATGTTAACGTAATAATTAAAATTATGTAGTAAAGCGTTGAATTCAATAAAACGAAAATTAAAACTTTAGTATTTTTATTTTATGGCTCCTACTTCTCAGAAATCTCGCCGCGCGTCGGTGCGTGGTGGAGGTGGGGAAATACATTCGCATTCTCCGAATTCGCTTCCCCTATCCCCCCATGAGCGCGACTGTAACGGGAGTCTACTGCATGTAATTGAACATTTTTATTTTGGATGTAAAAATGGATTTAGTTTAATTTTATTCTACAATTGGTTCTATAAACAATAAATAAATAAATAAATAAATGAATGAATAAATAAATAAGTGGACATTTAAGAAATCAAAATCACATCCACCTGATTTTTCAATACTAAAATACCCGAAAATTTCGTGTGAATGAATGATTATTAAAAATTTCAAGATTTTTCACTTGAAATTTCATTAGTAATTTTCCAGCAGTGTATAACTCATCCTACAAACTGCAACAATCATCTCCCCTTAATATCTCGAAAACAGCATAATTAAACCGTGGAGATAAAAAAAAATAGCCAATTGAGAATAAAAATCATTGTATTTTTATCTTCCAGTGTACGATGCGTCAGCCAAGATACCGTCTGGCGTAATAACCGGTAATTACAAGCAGCTCGGTAATTACGACGAGTGCCTGCGGGTCAAGAGCGGTTACGGATTTGTTGGTAAAGCATGTAGCGCTAAAGTGCAATTTACAATTTCGGAAACAACCGGAAGGGCAAATACAATTCCAGACCTCGGTAATTTATTGGAGAGTGTGGCCTTGGCAGCTGTGAGCATCGAAACTAATCTGCAATAAAAATATGTTTGCATTGTATTCACATCCGCGACTATTTTAGGATGTGAAAAACTGGAAATCAGGGACTACTGTTCCGTACGAGTGGCTGTGGTGTGTCCCGTCATCTTGCGAGAGTCACGATGTTGAGAGGGCCTTGGAGGTATCACTGGAGCCACTGGTGTCTGCCAATCGTGTCAATTTGACAGTCTTCGTGGAGCCCTGTCACACCCTAGACCTCGATCGCCCTGCGCTCCTCCTTGCCGATTGGATTTACATGTACTCGTAAAAAAAACAATGCAAAGTTATGATGGTACAGGCATAGAGCGATTACAGGTCATTTAATCCTGGAAAGTAGATCCGAGGATATAAATCCTGGTAATTGAATGGAAAAAGATCCTGGGAAATTTGATCCTGGTAAAAATTATTCTGGAGTATTGAATCAGAGGTACTATGGGTTATTTGGGGAATTTGCATCAATTTTTTAATTTTTTAATCTCCAGTTTTGGCCTTAAGGTGTTTATGGAGGGGTCGGCATGTTGGTGAGACGGAGGGGAATCTATTGTTCTCCCGCAGAAAACCAATCGTTGAACGAAAAAACGATATTTCAGTTACGAATTTTCAAACTATTTCGACTATTTTTGTGAAAAATTCGAAATATTTTTTAAATTATTTTTGATAATAAATTAGGAATGTGCGTCCGAATGGTTATTTTGCACATCATTTCCTTCTATCATGTATAATTCATTGTTTATTTCATTTCATTGAATTGAATAAGATTTCTTTTTAATTAATTTTGTCAGATTTTCAACTTAGTTGAAATCTGTCAAAATCATTTTTCTTATTATTCCTTTCTTCTATACAACCGATTGTCTTTTTTACGGTTCCATCTCTCCCCTCAGCCCTTCGATAAAATGTTAATAGAAAAATTTTATTTACACATACTTGAATAAATTTGAAATTCATGAAAAATTCAAAATTTTCAACAATCATGAAAATCAAATCAACCAATACAGCTATCGTAATCATCTTTTAACTTCGACTTAATGGCATTAAAACGAACATTTTGAGCTATGATTGAATTCATTTGAAGCATGATACTCAAAGATATCCCCGGAATTCTGATTTTCAAAAAATACAAAATTTTTGCAAATTTTCAAATAAATCAAAATAACGATTCTTGCTATCGCCTTCATCTTCGAACGCGGTCAAAAGGATATGGACACAAATTTTTTAAGCCATCATTCAATCAATCCAGAACATTTTTTTAGCTATCGTGGGACAACCGATTTTCGAAAAAATTCGAAAATTAAAAAAACTAATCGATGAATTAAATTTTAATTAATGGCGATTGATAGGGCTCAACAACACCTACATTTGAAAAAAAAGATTCAATTCCATCCATTCATTAGCGAGCAATTGAAGAAAAACTGCCATACTGGGTCGATATGACACAAAAAATCCAAAACTTCTGTTCGCAAGCGAAAAAGAATGGAAAAATTTGATCTTGAATTTAACATTATTTTAGATGAATTATCGCATAAATTATCGAAAAAACTCATATTTGACAGGATTATATTGTATCACACGGAGAGAAATAGTCAAGAAAAATTACGGAACATTTCACGTAATCCGCAAGCGAGAATAGTTTTCAGTGAATTTCTATAGGAATATAAGAAAACAAATCTGAAACGTTCAGTAAATTTACGGGTCTGTCACCGAAAAAATACAAAAAAGTCACGTAATTTTTCTGGAAGTTTTAAAATCGAACAGAAACTTCAAGACTTATTATGCCTCAGAACATGAAAATTCTTGGATGTTTAAGAATTTTTACGAAAAGTTCCGGAAAAATTACGGAACGTGTTGTTAAAATCTCCCCCCCTCACGGTGACTCACGGCTAGCCCTGAGGCGTTGGACGGATGAGTAATTTTTACGGAACAGATCGTAGAATTTACGTGACGATTGACACTTTTTATTGAATTTTACTTCGCTCCCAGATTACGTTTCGAAACGTATTTTTTACGTCTTTTTTCTGGTAATTTTTATTAAATATTTCTCTCCGTGCAGGATCAATTTGAATAGGATTATTCTGCCAGCTTATTTTGTCTAGGGCCTTTTTACCAGGATTAAATGACCGGTCATCGCATAGAGCGTATGTCGATGTTAATGATGGACTCAAATATTGACATTTATCTTGGTATAGATCACTCCTGTTCCTGTTTGCCATCATCGTCTTAGTCAGCACTACTTACGACCTGGTTAAGAGAACTGACACAGAAAAACCGGATCCAAAAGGTAATGCAAAATACCATCACTTGAGAATTGATTTCCAAGTGCCAATGCAGTCGTGCAAAATGGCAAGGTTTTCCACGTTGGCGTTTTATTTTTATAATTTCAGACACTAAACACTTGCTATTGACTTCATTCTCACTTTATACTAATGGATTGAGTCTATTAAATACGAGTAATAATGGGGATATTGTGACTTGTTTGGATGGCTTGCGATTCCTGAGCATTTGCTGGATCATTTATGGTCATGGGTACTATCTGCAGGTCGTTGGGGTACAATTGGATGTCAGCAATGTTCCCACTGTGAGTGCACTCTGTGAATTGAGATTAAGATTTTCTGGTAATAGTATATTACCGGCTGCGCCGCCCTCGTGCGTAACCGCTTGCTGCCCGCACGAGTTGCGTATACTATTTTATACCATAAGTGCGTGCGCGGCGAAAAGGGGTCGGGGGGGGGNGGCAGAAGGGGGTCCAGGGGGGCGAAGCCCCCCGGTAGGGTCCAGGGACGAAGTCCCTGGTGGGGTCGAGGGGTGAAACCTCCGCGGGGTGCAGGGGCGGAGCCCCTGCTGGGGGGGGGGGGGGAAGCCCCCCCCCACTGAAAAACAAAAAATCAAAATCAAGATCAAAAATAAAAAAAAAGTTCAGACTTGGAAATTGTTTAAAATCAAATTTCTCAATTTAATTGGGTGAAATTTCATAGACAGTCTTGTATTTATCAACCGATTTTCCGGGGATCAAATTATTCCTCACTTCTTGTGCTGATTTCGAAATTTCTGGTGGAAGATTTTCATCATTCCAGTTGTTATTTTCATCATTTTCATCATCCAGACACCTTTTTATTTGGCGGAGAACCGACGGTGGCTTCGGTGAGGAATGTCGAATCTCCATCAAATAAATCTCCCGAGAGATCTCCTCGTCACTGTCGGGTGTGATGTGGTTGTCCATTTAATTTCACTGCTTTTATATTGAATAAATGAATAAAGTTAACGACAGAATATTGAGAGGGTTATGTGGATACCAACAAGTGAGGCAGTGGGCGATGTTATGAGTCGATGCGCGACTCGACGCGCAGTGGATGTGTGGAATCCAACGATGATATTGCAACGACCATTTGCGCATCGATCTGCGCATCGACCCGTGCATTTGCGCATGCCCATGGGTTACGCACGGGATTATACACAGATGTGTAGGGTTCCACACTACAATGTGAAACCCGACACTTTCTGTGCGTCAACACTTAACTGAAACCGGCCGGATTTCACGCACGTATGGTATAAATAGTATATTTCAGCACATGTGGGGGCAATATCGTCTTTAGCGTGTGTGGGATTTACAGCATGAGCCGAAGGCGAGTGATGTAACCACACACGTTAAGGACGAAATTTCCCAACAAGTACTGAACAAAATTTTATGTCACGAAGCCTGAAACCGGCTGAATTAGACACGAGACGTGAAGCATCGAGTGTGTAATCCAGCCGGTTTCAGGCATGAGTGGCGTAAAAAATTATTTAGTTCTGTCGAAAAATTATATGTTCCCTTGAAGAGATCTTTTGTCGTGTTGAATCAATTTACTTTCGGACAAAAAGGAAAGTTTCCAACAAAAGATGATAATTTTCGTAGTAGTTCTCGTGAGACATTTACATGTCTTTCGGGTAAATACATTCGTTCTGCAGAGAATTATATGAGGCTCCGGCTTTATCAAGTGAATGTTATTGAGTAGTGTATATCTTTGTCCAATAAACACTTATAATTTCCATGGAACAGGTGATAATTTCAAGAGGAAACTACAATTTTCATACCGAAAACTGTGTTATTGGCAAAATTAAATAATTTCGAGGGGACAATTTTTTTTGGGAAAAAAAAATTCTTTCTACCCCCTTTCCTGGGGTTTTGCGGACGCGCAGCGTGCGTAACGCGTCTGATGCGCTGCCTTACGGCCGGAATGACAAAAACTAAATTTCGAGTGCGTAAAGTTTCGCTTTACGCACGAGAATTTACATTAGGCACGACCTCTGAACTAAACGGTTTCGAAATCGTATTTTTCCGACCTGTTGCGATGGGATTTTTTACTCGTGTGGCGTTGGCCTCCGAGCCGTAGGCAAGGACTGGCCAACCACACGAGAAGAAAAACCCCATCGCAACAGCCCAGGAACAATATTTTTCTGTAGTGATTTTCAAGTTTTCTAGTTTGGGAAGTATGTAATACCAATTCCCAGACGAGAAATCGTGAGAAGCAGTACAGAAAAGTGAACTTTTCAGGCAGCTATAAAATAGTATATTTCGTAACGAGTGCAAAAAACATTTTTTCACGAGTTACGAACAATATTTTTCATCACAATGTGGCGGAAATAGGACTTTTAGGCACGCGGAGCGTGCCGAAAAGTTCACTTTTCGTCACAGCGTGATGAAATAGTATATTTCGTAACGAGTGCAAAAAAGTGTTTTTTGGCGAGTGGGAGGTTTATATCACGAGCCGAANCACAATGTGGCGGAAATAGGACTTTTAGGCACGCGGAGCGTGCCGAAAAGTTCACTTTTCGTCACAGCGTGATGAAAAAAAAATTATTCAATTGTCCGATTATACGACAGATGCACGAAGTCTGGACAAATCTCCTCATCCTCAACGGAAACCTCGTGACAGACACATTTTTCCTCCTCGGTGGTATCCTCCTCACATACTCGGAGCTCAGACGAAAGGAAAAGCAGCCGCACACGTACAACTTGAACGTCGGAGTTCTCTATTTCCACCGTTACCTCCGACTGACACCGGCCTACGCTGTTGTAATCGGATTCTACGCAACTCTGTTCCAAAAAATTGGCAGTGGTCCACACTGGAACACATGGGTGGGGAGCAATCAGGAGTTCTGCGTGGACAACTGGTGGACCAATTTACTCTACATGAATAATTACATCGATGTCGCCAACATGTGCATGTCCCAGTCCTGGTATCTCGCCGTGGACATGCAGCTCGTCTGGATCTCCCCGATATTTCTGTATCCATTGGTTGTTCTCGGAATTAAGCATATCGCATCTGTCATTGTACTGTCAGTGGGCCTCTTCGTCTCCGTTGTTGCACCACTCCTGATCACTTACTTTGATCGATTGACTGGGACGATGCTGTATTATAAAGAGTGAGACTCTATTTGTTTCATGCATTTTTAAAAATTTGTTACACTGAGAAAAAAACAAACACCTCAAACGAGTCTTGTTTGAGCCAATAAAATCGCTAGTTGAAAATTGCCAAAAAAGAATTTATTTGGTTCGAATTGGAAAGTCTCAAACATGAATAATTGTTCTGCTTTCGACAGCAACGAAATAGTTGGCTCAAGAGGTGGATAATTCACACCAGACGGTGCCTTTTCAGGATGAAAATATCTCATACGGAGGAAAATTTATCAACAAATATTTTATCCCTAAGTTACAAGATTGCTGTCATATCATTATTATTGTTTCATTTAAGGGTTCATTTTTTGTCTGTGATTATTAGACAGCCGAAACGAAAAACTACTATCCCTTGTTTCGCATAAAACAGAGATTTTTCGGGGGCAAAATACGTATGGGAGTATCGAATAACGAAGGAGGAGTGCTTGAAATGACATTTCTTCCGTATACAGAGAATGCAATTTTTTTTGAACTACTAAATCTATTTTTGCGACAAAAATTTTTCATTCCGGCGCACTCTCCGCATGTTTGGCACAAGAAAATCCTTTTTTGATAATTTTCAAAAAAATATTTTTTGGCACAAGTAAGACTTGTTTGAGAACTTTGTCGTTTTTCTCCCAGTGTAGCTTTGAAGTCAGTGGAAGGGACTCTGAGTTGACTGGTACAAGCCTCCTCATTATTAAGAATATCCAAGTATCTTTAATCTCATCAAATTTCTCAATTAAATTCAGTCATTAAAATCACATTTTGCACTGAATTATTATTTTTTAAACACTCGTTGTTTATAAATAAATAATTGAAACTGTTTCAACTTTCGGAAACGTTTATTGGTGTAGGCATGAAGTTGATTGTTTATAAATTATTTTGAGAAAAGACTGGCAATTTACAAAAATTTCACTATTTAAATTATTTCATCAATCTTCCTGCAAAAGTAAACTTTCTCATTCTTTTTCAGATTTTTTGAATGTTTTCTAACGCTTCAATATCGAGATTCAAATTCAGACCTGCGAAGTTCAAATAATAAAATCATTGTAAAATATTCAGAAACATAGGGTCAAATGGGGCTCAAATGAAAGCTCTCATGTTCCACTACAAAAGCAGAAAGGCATTTCATTGGTGGAAAAATGGCTAAAGTACCTGGAAATCCTTAAGAGAAAAAATAATTGAACTTATCAGAAAAAAATTACATATTCGACGCTTCTCACACGATTTCAGAATTTCATCATTTCACTCAATAAAAAAATGTGCCACAACAAGGTTAGCTAATAATTTCGCTTCATTTTCGTTAAAAATTTTTGTTAGGCAGACCGAAGTAGCCAATGTTTACCTACAGATTTATACGAGGGTCTACGCTCGAGCTGGACCTTACATCATTGGATTGATTCTTGGGTACACGCTTCGGAAATTTCGTAACGATTCACCGAAAATATCTCGTGTAAGCGATGATTTATTCACCTAAATAGGGGAAGTTGGGGTAAAATGGACACTTTTGACTTTTTTTTAAATATTAGTGACGGGTTGAAATGTTGATGAAATTTAATAATTTTTTTTCAATACAAAGAACAATTCTTTCCCTTTGAGATGAGCCTAAACTGAGCTCTATTGTTGCATTTGTTTCTGAGTTATGAATAATTTTAAAAAAGTCTAAAGTGTCCATTTTACCCTACCCTCCATTATAAATTCATAGAAAAACACGTACGAAAAAATTTAATAGAAAAACCTATCGGATTCGTTAGAAAATTCTATTGAATTTCTATTAAACTTTCTATTAGTTTTTGGCTGATTCTATTGACATGTTCAATAGAAAATATGTAGTAGAAAAGTCAATAGAATTCAATTCTTCTAGTATAACTTATTCTATTGAGATATTTTCTATAGAATTTGCTCGACTCAAATTTTCCAAGTTTTTTCCATTCTATTTTTCCTTTATTCTCATTAAGAAAATCAGACGAAAAAACATAGAAAATTTGAGCCCAGGAAATTCTATAGAAAATATCTCAATAGAATAAGTTATACTAGAAGAATTGAATTCTATTGACTTTTCTACTAAATATTTTCTATGGAACATTTCAGTAGAATCGATCAAAAACTAATAGAACAGTTCAATAGCAATTCAATAGAATTTTCTAACGAATTCGATAGAAAATTCTATTGAAAAATTTCGCAGCCCATGTACAGGTTTTTTTTTTACAGAAATATTCCATAGAAAATGTTCTATAGAAAAAATAAATAGAATCTGATTTTCTTTACCGCTTATTCTATTGATATATTTTCTATAGAAATTCCTCGGCTCGAATTTTCAAAGTTTTTTGATCGATTTCTTTAATCAAATGAAAAAAAATTACTTCGAAAATTCATGTAAATAGAAAAAATTGTATGGAAAGACGAAATTTTACTGATTTTTTCTATAAAATAGTTCCTATTAAACATTTTCTATAGAAAATCGCCCAGTGAAACTGTGGAATTCTTCAATGGAATCGCCCAAAAATTATAGAATATTTCAAATAGAATTCAATAGAAACTCGATAGAATTTTCTACCCAATTTGTTGGATTTTTCTACGAAATTCTTTCGAGTGTGACATGAATGCCTATATATCCTATTTTTTAGGCGTACATTATCTTCGGCTGGGGATTCGCTATAACAGTTGGTTTCGCAGCGATTTTCGGTCCACGAGGAATGTACTTCGATGATCACAAGTATGACGGAGTAGAGGCTGCTTTCTACGCGGGATTTCATAGAACTGCATTTGCGGTTGCTGTCGGATGGATCGTACTTGCTACAGTGCTTGGATATGCGGGTAACTAGTCTTTGTTTTAAGGGTGCCAAGTGAATTTGGCGATGACCTTGAAAATTGACATTCACCAACAAAGTTATAATTTTTTAAATTAATAGTATTAGACAGATGGTGAACATCGGTGACAATTTAAAAATTTTAGAACTTATGGATATCGAGAAATTAAATAAACAAAATCAGTCTTATACACGGCCTCTTATGGAGTTTTGATTAAATTGAACGTTTCAACCCCCTAGGAACTCAAGAAAAATTTGAAAAAATTTGAAGATATGGGGAATGATGTGTTCAATGTGATGGCGACAAAAAACAATGGGGTACCGGGGTGAATAAGAGAGATATTTCAACCCGCCGTACCCATTTGATCCCATGCTTTCTCGAGGTTCGTCACGCGAAATAGAGGATTTTCCGCATTTATTTTCTCGATGTCTAGTTCCGGTTGCGGGTTTGAAATTTCGTCGGATGGGTGAATACATATTTCTCCAATGATGGAGGGAAAGAAAAAAATTTTTTTGAATCTTTTTTCAAATTCACTTGGCACCCTTAAGATTGATAAGAGGATTTTCCTTGGAAACCCCTCCGCCTCACCTCCTCCATTTCCTCCTCGCCCGATTATCCTTTATCAATGTAAATCGGAAATTCTTTTAATATTGAAAACTCGAAAAATTGATGGCCATCCCTGTTTATCTGCGTTACTATGGGCCATTCTACTCTTATCAGTTATATCCCAAGAGAAACCATGGAAAACCCCAGTCACACAGCCGGCCGATATCGCAGGGTCCTACTGTATCCATCCGTCACACTGACTAGATGAGCACAGTAGTTCTCTACATTCGCGCCTCGCGGCAGCAGTTCCACACGAGGAAGTAGGGCTAAGCGTGAAAAAAAAAATTTACCACTGAAGAATTTGAAAATGCTGCGTGTTTTTTTTGTGAATAACTTCATGTCACATATTGACCAATCAGAATTAAGAATTACTATTTTTTCCACGAAACCAGAAACATTTTTTTTTGGTCCTGAAACCCAGAAGCATTTTTTCTCTGCACAATTCGATGATTTCATTGAAGGTCCCGTTGGAGTATTTCTGTCCTGGTCGGGATGGATGCCGTTCGGAAAACTCACGTACTCTGCATATTTAACTCATTACATCGTCCTTCTCTACAACAGCGGAAGTGTCAGGACAGCCGGCAGCCTCACCACTTTCGGAACGGTAATAAATATTTTACTATATAATAAACTAGCTGGTGTGCCCGGCGTGGGCCGGGCAATTCCCTTCTTCTGCATTTTATTTTCATATTTGAAAATGACGATTTGTTAAGAATTTCACTAATTTTTTTGGGACAGTTCCGAATTCTCGAGAATTTATTAGAAAACCTCGAAATTTTAAATATTTTTGTAACTCGGAATTTTTATGAATTTTTCGGAAAAATCCCAAATTTAGTAGAATGTTCTAAAAAGTCCAATAATTTCCTTGAGTTTTCTGCCCCCATAAAAAACGTTTAAAAAATATAGGATATGGACCAATTCCATATATTTTTCAAATTTATAAAGAATATATACAAAAATATATAAACCACATAAAATATATATTCTAAATGCAATAATAATATTAATAAATTATATAGATATAATAATATAATATAATTTATATCATTTTATATTATATAAATATATCATATTTTAGAATATATATAAAATATATGGTTTATATATTTTTTATATAAATTGGGCCAATTTAAGATATTTTATTGTAAATTTTTCCGTGTACGTGGACATTCCCGAATTTCCTCGAATGTTGTAGAACTCTGGAGAATCTTCTATTTTCTAGTGAAGAACAGGTTTCAGAAGATGATGATGATTGGAAGAAAAATTTGTCATAACGAATGAAAATGATTTGTCTAATTGTAGGATTTATGTTGGTTGTAGGGAGAAACAAATCACTACAAGGCGATAAACGATATAATACATTTATTCGCAGAAGCGTTAGTCTGAACTATGTACAAAAGAAAGTATTTAAATTTTGATTGTGCACGGTGAGACGGTCGCCGATAAACTGAATTAACATTTCAAGTTTACGTCTACTTGAAAAATTTCTTTCTTAAGATCTTTTTCTATCTGAATTCTTAAAAAAAAAAAAATACATATGTAATGTGCGCAATCATTGAGATGAATCATTGAAACCCTCAATAGATCTAAAAATTCGATATCAAATGATTTTCTCGTCCTCCAGGTCCACGTCTTCCTCGGTAATCTGGGCCTCACAATGTTCCTGTCCGTGATCCTGTGCCTGTGCTTCGAGTTTCCATTTACTCGAATAGTTCGGCTCATCACACGTTCCAGCGAACGTCGAAGTTTCGTGAAGGGCTCGTTCAATCCAACAATCGGAGGATTTGGCTCTCACGAGTCCACCAATGAGATTTATCGCTCATGCGATGACGTAGTGTCGACTGTTTCCCAGAGCTACGACATCTTCGACCCTTACGCCAAAGGGGCGGTCATCAGTGTTCGCGAGCCATCGAATTCATGTGATAGTTTTGAGTCATCTTCGAAGGACAACCCGAGACATGATAGAAATTCGGGTCGATGTGACTTTTATTGAAATGTAGAAATTAGGTGAGCGTTACTAAGTTACCAGTGAGAATATACAACCTATCTACCTATTGAATCTAAAATGATGTTTTTTTTCGCCTTTGCGAGGATGAATTTTGAGACTTTTAGACAATCCCCTCATTGTAACATAAGTCATGACAGTTATTCGGTTAGAGTTCACGTACACTGAGAGAAAAATAAACACGTTGTCAAACGAGTCTTGTTTGGGTCAACAAAATCGCTACTTGAAAATTGCAAAAAAAGAATTTGTTTGGTTCGAATTTGAAACTCTCAAACATGAATAATTGTTCTGCTTTCGACAGCAACGAAATATTTGGCTCAAGAGGCGGATAATTCACACCAGACGGTGCCTTTTCAGGATGAAAATATCTCATACAGATGAAAATTCATCAACAAATATTTTATCCCCAAGTTACAAGATTGCTATCATATCATTATTATTGTTTTATTTAGGGGTTCATTTTTTGTCTGTGATTATTAGACAGCCGAAACGAAAAACTACTATCCCTTGTTTCGCATAAAACAAAGATTTTTCGGGGGCAAAATACGTATGGGAGTATCGAATAACGAAGGAGTAGTGCTAGAAATGACATTTCTTGCGTGTACCGAGAATGCAATTTTTTTTGAACTACTAAATCTATTTTTGCGAAAAAAAATTGTCATTCCTCCGCACTCTCTGCATGTTCGGCCCAAAAAAATCCTTTTTTGATAATTTTCAAAACACTTTGTCGTTTTTCTCTCAGTGTACTTCAACATTTCCAGCATTTTCTCGACATTATCATCTATTACGCACAATCAAGAATGGGCAGAAAATGATATTAAAAATTGTAAGAAAATCCCACATCAATGAGGAATCATTCTGAATATATTACTAATTGTTAAAGTATCGAAAATGCTCTAAAGAACATCAATAGAATATCAATATGTATATTGTGGAATTAGAATTTAAAGATTTCGATTTTTGCAAAGGCTGAATGCAAAGTATCGAATGTATCGATTCCACCTCTGCTTATTATGGCACAATTCATCATTCCATTTTATTATGACACAATTCATCACAATCTGTTCCATCACAAGCAATTTATTACAACATATCTCATCGCAATTTGAACTCATCACAAATCTATTCATCACAGTTATAACATGACATTTTTAAATACATTACAAAGTACCAACACGTTTGGCTCAATATAAGAACAGTATCGAGAACATGGGGAGCGATATAAACAAACATCTTTCAAGAAATTACTGAAATTAACCACCTTTAAGAAGCATTTTTTTGCCTTTCTGGCTCAGACTCCAATTCCCAACGACGAATGACTCGCACTCCCTTATGGAACTCAGGATACCTCCCCCCCCCCCTCAATTACGCCATAATCAATATATTGATTGCCATTTCGGGCAACTAATCACCATTAGAAATTGAATTTATCTATAGAAATCATTGATTAGAAAAAATATTATTTANTTCGGGCAACTAATCACCATTAGAAATTGAATTTATCTATAGAAATCATTGATTAGAAAAAATATTATTTATATAATGAATAATGCTGTGATGAGTTTCTCATGTAATGAGCAGCGCTGTGATGAATTAATCGTGTGACGAATTGTCCATGTGATGAATTTTAGTGATGAAACGTGCCGTAATATCACACAACTGTAATAAGTAGAGTTGACACCGAATGTGTCAAAAAATGAGGTATTTTGTCGAGAGAATGTTGTGTCCGTGTTGACGTATGGCTGGACGTTGAATGTAAATTGAGTTTATGATTAATACGACATCCGTTGTTATGGAATTGTTATTTAATTGTATGGAAATAAATTTAAGTTGATGGTTTACAATAAAGAAATCATATCACTGTTATGAAATCCTGAATTTCTGAGTAAAAATTAATATTGAGACGAATATTTTGAAGAAAAATGATTGAAATCGGTTGGAGAGTTTTCAAGATATTTGACGCAAAAGCAGTTGAAAACAAATGGCGATTTTTACAGATGCTTGAAAATATATTTTCATCACGCTGTGACGAAAAGTGAACTTTTCGGCACTGAAAGTCCAATTTCCGCCACATTGTGATGAAAAATATTGTTCGTAACTCGTGAAAAAATGTTTTTTAGCTCGTGGGATTATATCACTCGCCTTCGGTGATATAAACCTCCCACTCGCCAAAAAACACTTTTTTGCACTCGTTACGAAATATACTATTTCATCACGCTGTGTGAACAAGTAACTTTTCATCACGCTGTGACGAAAAGTGAACTTTTCGGCACGCTCCGCGTGCCTAAAAATCCAATTTCCGCCACATTGTGATGAAAAATATTTTTCTGCCCTCCGGCCGGAAAGCGTCAACTTCCTGGCCGCTGCGCTAAACGAAGTTGCCACTTTCCGGCTACGTCGAGCAGAAAAATAGTATACACACCTTGGCCAGTAAATAAGAAAGCCTCAGATCACATGTTTGTTGACCTCGGCTTCGCCTCGGCCGACAATTACATGCGATCTGAGACATTCCTTACTTTACTGGCCAAGGTGTGTAATCTACTAGTTCGTAACTCGTGAAAAAATGTTTTTTAGCTCGTGAGATTATAAACCTCCCACTCGCCAAAAAACACTTTTTTGCACTCGTTACGAAATATACTATTTTAGACACGCGAAGAGTGCCTAAAACGTCCCTTTGCGCACATTGTGATGAAATAGTATATTTCGTAACGAGTGCTAAAAAACATTTTTTCACGAGTTACGAACAATATTTTTCATCACAATGTGACGGAAATTGGACTTTTAGGCACGCGGCGCGTCCCGAAAAGTTCACTTTTCGTCACAGCGTGATGAAAAATATCGTTCGATACTCGTGGAAAAAGTGTGTTTCGGCTCGTGAGATTATATCACTCGCCTTTGGCTCGTGCTCCCTCCCACGAGCCAACAAACACTTTTCCGCACTCGTAACGAAATATACTATTCAAGCATCTGTTGGTGATTGCTCGGTGGCAAGGGTTGCAGCAAGTGTCATACCTCGGGCCACACGACTGCGCGTGACCCTAATACTCCCCAGAGTATCCTAAAAGAGTTCTTTGTCGTGGGAAGCGACGTCAACCCACCTTTTCCACTCCAAACAGATCCTGATAATTACGGAATTATTGCCGCAATATTCATACAGAGAATCAATTTACGATAATGATGGGGGCATCGTACTGCTGCGCACCCCCAGATTATGTCGTAATTCACGGAATGGGGGTTCGCGTGTATGAATGTAGCCACAACATATCCCACAAAGTGCAACCGAAATTTGCGTAATGGAAATCTGAATTTTCCGTTGACACCGGGACGCCCCGTGGGGTCGTACCCCATCGCGCTAACCGGCCGGATGGATTTCGCCTACTGTTTGATCACGGGACATCTGCATCACCCCCGACGTAACACACTTACGGAATTATTTCCTATTTTATGAAAAACAAGAGGAAAAAAGGAACACTTGCACAGTAAAAATTTGGTGGTGAGTATAACGCGAAATCGGTGTGACAGAAAATTCACATCGATTTGGCTTAGGGGAGAGTCGACCTGTACCGCTCGGCGTGCAATACCGCTCACCCGGTTTTCTCCATAATTATGAAATTTAAAATTTTGTTCTTTTTCCTAATGTAAATGATTTGATAGCACGA